TCCAAACCCGTGGGTTCTGGCTAGCCCACCGGTTCTGCGTCCGATGAAGCTTTAATAGTCTCGGGACTGAAAGCAAAAACATCAGTTAATACAAGATACAAGACAATAAATGAACACCTTAGCCCACATAGGGGATAACTTTTTAAAGTTGTATTAAACATTTAAATTCTTTAAACATCAATATTTACAGAGTTATTAAATTTTCCAAAACAAAGAATTTTAGAACAACCTTACCTTTAAAAACGTAACGTAAAGTTCATTTGTAAAGGTCACAAAGCATATGAATGGGTTGAATGAATTTAAAAGAGACAAAACATACTGTTAGAAGGAGAGGCTTGTAATACGACGCTGTGTGCGAGTTGTATAGGATGTTACAAATTTTGTTTCTTTTTTACTTAATTAGTTTGTTTGTAAAATATTTTTTTTTAATTATGGATTTTGTTTAACGTTAATATTTTTTTATGATTATTGGCAAGTAGCGATAGACGTGTGTTCATTTATTGTCGCGATGGTAACGACACGCTGTATAGTTAACTATAGTTTCATTCAATTCAACTATAGCGTTTTATTGCACATAACTGCAATGTGATTCTTTAAGTTATAAATAATATAACTTTTTTATTTATGAACCGATTAAATAACATTAAATGTGAGGTGAAGCTTACTACAACGCATCAGTAAAAGTTGCACCTTAATCGGTTATGTCGTTTCTGAGATTAGCGCGCAAAAACGCAGAGAAAAAGATACAGGGACAAAAATTTTAAATCATTGTTTTGCGTTCTACTGTGTTGATCAAGGCCCCCAATAATAGTTTTTCTCAAATACCTCCATGTACGGACTTACAGAAGGTACATGATTTTTTGCGACAAAACATTACCACTTGACTTAGTAGATTATTTTCTAAAATTATTTTCTAAGAAGGAAAGGATTGTTAATGAATTTATTGTTCTTGCAGGATACTGGATATAAATACCGTATTTTTAAATATACCTAAAGTAGGTGTTTAAATTGTAACTTTTATGAAGCCATTAATAAAAAATTCCACAATGTAATACTTGAAGATATATGGTGTCGTTTTTAGTGAATTGGATAGAATCCAAATACTTTTGGCACTAATAGTACTGTCGTCAATATAAATTATGCCGAAACTCCGAAAAATATTCTGGGCGATTATAAAAAATGAAAAAATGGCAAAAGGAATGAGTGGTTTGGAAATAGGTACAATTTCTCATAACTGAATAATTAGAAATTGTGTGATATTTTTACTTTAAGTTTCATCTGTAGGTACAACTCAAAGGAGAACAATGCAACAAGCGCGGTTCTTTGCAAGATCGCGAAGAAAGCGTGCAAAACGCACTTCACACCCAAACTGATATCATCTTTAATCTTGGCACCTTTTTATGCGGTTTATAAATAGAGAGTCGAGAACGCTTTGTGAGATGAAATGAGACCAGCGAAAGATAAGAATCTTGAAAGCGCTCGGAGCGTGCGGTAAGCCGCGTGCCTGTCAAGTGCTTAGATCTATTGCGCTTTTCATTATAGAACTAAAGATAAACGTTTATGTTACATAATGTAATCTCATTTGAAGATTGGAATCTTCGGCGGTAAATTTAAGATGGAAAAAAATTTCATGAATGTATTTTCTTAAAATTCATATTTTTAAACACTATTAAATTATGTAGATCTATACGAATGTGACAAAATATACCCAAAACCTAATGGGGGTAACAAGGTAGTATGATCCCAAAAAAATTGGACAAAATGTAAAATAATCATCATGGAAACGCAACACCGAAAACCTAAAGAGTAGACTATCCCTATAGTTTATCACATTCTAAAATAATTTTCTATAAGACATGACAACAACCATGAAACATCACTTGATTATCTACCGGAATAATAATAACAGATTTAAATTTAAACTTTTAGAAAGCCTGTATAAAAACGAAAACAACTAAAACCTAAATAAAATGCACACGACAATACTGGTGATGCTTTATATACCGGCCGGGCAAATATTTCTCAGGAATATACCGATGAGTCTTGAAACTTGTGTCTGAAGTCGATATTATTTAGATTTTGTTAGGAAAATTTTCTGAATGGGGCCGGCTAAATCTAGTCTAATTTAACCGTAAGATAACAATGTTGCGCGTTTACCGCAAGGAAGAAACCGTTAGTCGTGTCTCTTTTTTTAGGGCACTCCCCTTGTTGCCATTGACACGATTGGAATTCGTGGAGTTGACATATCTAGCAGCGTTCAATTTCGCGGTCACTTGGAAGAGAAAGAAAAAAAAACTGGCTTTTAAAAATCTTGGTGTTCTGGGTAGACGAGGCGGTATTTCCTGCCGTCCCATCGCACTGTTCTCATCTCTGGGCTCGGGCACACCAATAGGAGCTCTTTCCTTTGACCGCATCCAACGTTTTGCTGCTTGAATCGTCGGCGTCGGCAAGAGTCGAGGACTTGGTTCCTCGACTCTTGCTTCTACTGAATTTTTACACCCTACGACGCGTCAAACTGTAAAATACCATCGCCACCACCTCGGTGGTTGGCAGTCCACAACTGTGCGTTTTTCGTCCAACTTACTGCCACGCACGACTAAGTTTTGAAATCCGTTTTCGCCAGCGGTATTTCCCGACCGATACGACATAGGAACCTTCAAGAAGAGAGCCTATTCCTTACTTAAAGGCCGGCAACGCAGTTGTGACTCCTCAGGTGTTGCCTGTGTCCATGCACGGCGGTAAACACTACCAGGGCCACCTACTCGTTTTCTTACAACGATGCCAGTCCTAAAGTAATTCTAGGGCTGCTATACCACCCTTACTAGGCAATAATTTGTAACCCCAATAATAATACTTTATTTATCAATAGTTTCATCCATACATTTTATCTGCTAAACTTTTGTATAGCATTCGCAAATATAAAAAAAATATTGTTAATACCATAAAGCACGATTCGGTTACAATACATAAAATAAGTATTAAATTATTCTTTCATGTGATTAAAATAAAAATAAAAACAGCTTTCTAGTTTGGATCTCTCTACTTAGAATGGCTTGAGCTTGAGTTCGACTTGAATTAACTAAAACACAAAAAAAGACTGCTGTACAAAAAATATTTTGAAAACACATTTTAGCGCCGAAAACCCGTAATTGAGATTTTTTATAATTTGTGACTCGTCCAATGAAGGAGAATCTTACAACATATCATTCATCAAAATCGGTTCAACTGTTTAGTATTTACCAGGGAACATCGGGACAAACATACACGTACAACAAACAAGGGTAAAAAAAACTTTTAGTTAAAAATAATGGCTTTTAGTTCATAAGCACGGTTCAAATCTTACGTGCTTGAGCGAATAAAACTGATCGCAGAATAGAATTTTTAGAATTAAAACATTTAAGAATTAACAAAGCGCAAGGGTTGCAATGTTGCTATATGAAATCACAATCAATGCAGTATGTGGTACATCTATTAAAAAAAAGTAAAGTAACAGCCTATACATGTCCCACTGCTGGGCAAAGGCCTCCTCTATACAGAGGGTCTCAGGGCATAGTCCACCACGCGGCCCCACTGCGGATTGGCGGATTTCACATATCTTCGAAATATATTTTTTTTTTGTTATTATTTCGAAAATATGCAGGTTTCCTCACGATGTTTTCCTTCACCGCGGAGCACGTGATAAGTCAGCACTTAAAGTTAAAAACTTCATTGGTGCCGGCACCGGGGATCGAACTCAGGTTGCTCGAGTATATTGAATTAAAGGCGAGCGCCCGGACACTGGGCTATCACGGCTCTTACATCTATTAATGTTAACAAAATTATTATAATCAGTAAAGCACAGTGACTGGGTCGCCGCGCCAATCTAGCGTCTTCACTGCCTCACTTATCCATCCAATTCATATCCTATATGCTGTAATAAGCCTCACTACCATCCCACTTAAATTTCTTGAGGAAAAATTTGCAACTTTCTGTCTACTCCGTTTAGGTTGAGATATAACAAGTTTTTCGTATTTTCTAGTTCTTCCAGAGAATTGTAGATGGAATTAATATAATGGACAATAATACAAGTATTCGTTGAATATAATATGTTTATTCGTAAAGTGATTACTACTAACATACGTAGCAATAAATTTGCTCGGGGTCACCATTCAGACGTTTGCCTAACATTCGATCCTATTCATGCCGACTCTCATACTTCCCATAACACCCGAGCTACTTCCAAAATACCGAGAACATCAAAACGACAACGTGGACACTATTTAGTTAAAGGGTGCATTTTATTCATACATAATAGAGCACAGAGTAATTAGAATACACGTAAATTTTACGAATTATCGATGGACATGTCATTTAAACGGAAAACTCTTGCATTAAGCATAATCTAGTTATTGTTTACGTATATATCAACGTTGCAGTCCACTAACTGAAATTTTATATAAAATACGCAATGATTTGGTGTTGATCCTTACATATTAGACCGTTTAAAACGGCGGTAACTATGTTAGAACTACATCTATATGCACAGGGAACGATCGGTTGCAAATAATAACAAAATCTACGCTTTTAATTGCTTTTAACGCACTACTTACAGCTTTTCTCTGAACTCTCCATCGATTTATTAATAATATCCAATAATATCTCACGTCTAATATCGTTATACGAGTTTTACGATATTTTTTTTATATTAGATATGCTACAAGAATGTTAAAAATTTGTATCTGCATCACTGTAAGTAAACTGTACTTAAGGTAAAGATCGTTCTCGCAAGGCTATTTAATACATAACAGTGACTATATTTATATTTAAATTACATGTAACTCCGCCAAAGATCAAGACTACCTGCCTAAATTAGCCAACAAATGTTACGAAATAAAAACTCGTTTAAATATTTTCGCACATAGATATTTTCGCTATGTGAGGGATAAAACAAAAAAATTGTTTATTTACAAAAAAAATACTAGCAACGTGTTAAAATTACTGAATCCAGCGCTACATGACTACGACGGAATCGCTCTACAAGTTAAACATTAAATAAACGCTACGGTATCACGTATTATGCTACAATTAAATAAATAAATAATAATTTTATCTAATCTACCTAAACGTGAAGAGAATTGTCGCAAAATACTGACAGTAGTAGTAACATAAAATAAAATTGAAAACAAAAAAATAAGTCGTCGTCAGTGGAGTAAATAGCAGTATCAGAAAAATGTTTTTCGGTTGTATGCAGTGTGATAGACAGACAGCTATTTCGGTAGTAAATATTTAACAATCGTTTAAATGGCAAACAGAGAATTCGTTTCAAAGGCTTGTCGGCGGTGGTTTGTCTATACATTTTGATAGTGAAATTCGAGGTGGAGGGGGCATCGTTTACAGCACGCAGAACTCGTCTAGTAGATTCTTCAGCTCCTTTATTGTGGGCGGCCTTGGAACCGGTGGCGGGCGATGCGGCGGTCGGGCGGCCGTTGTAGCTGCAATGTTATCGTCGGTTTTTTATTTGGTAACAGTAGTCTGAACCAATAAAACAAACACAAAAAATTAAACATTTACAAATAAGACACGTAATACTCATTTAAAAGTCAATTCATTCAAATTATTTATTGCATGTTATAGTATGGAGGTATATGGTGTCTTAATGAGAGAATACTGACAAATGTAAGGCTGCTAGGGAACACCATGCAATGCAGTAAATATCGAAATGTTGTGATAATTTTTTTTAACAAAAAATGTTCACTGTACAATGAAAATTTTTACAATTTTTAGTTAATATAAAACACTTTAAAATTAAGACAAAATATAAAAACATCCTAAATTAGATTGATTTTCTAAAAACAAAATAGTTAAAAACATTTTAAATTAAAAACCCATAGTAGAATATAATTAAACTTGGCAATTGTGAATTGTATTGATGCCAGACTATTATTTGTAATTGACATAAACATGGCTTGGAAGTCGTCCAACTATGTTCATTTAAACTAAAACAATAACAACTTTTATTCACATGTTACAAAAACGCACAGAATATAGTTTAATTTATTACGTATAAATAGAAATTATAAAAAATAATGTCATTATAAAAAAATGTGTCAAGAATAGGTGTCAAAATCATCATTGCGTAATAATAAAAGTATTATTGTAATAATAAAGTCAAATAAAATAAAAGCAATAATTATATAAGTGCCCGCAGCCAGCCCCATAAGTCATCCATCATAATTATATAGATTAAAATCTATTAAAAACCTATATCCAAATAGTTGTCCTAATAATATATGTACCAAGTTATTTTCTTTTTGTTCAGAAGGTGTATCAATACTAACTTGTCCTGCGCTTATATTTGAAAACAAAACAACTATTGAAAATACGAAAACAATATAAGACAAAGCAATGACAAAACTGTGAATAAAAGATCTTTACCCTCGCATTTCTTTTCTCATCATTTCGTACTAAATTTTTTTTCTCAAAGCTAAGCTCTCATATCTCACCTAATTACTCTCGGCACAGTTTCAGTTTCCGTACTGTCAGTTTGTGGGGCTGGCTGAGATGAGCCGAGAAGTTGGCTTAACCAACTACCCCCTTTTGATTGGGACTTTGCCCTGGAACCAATAGCCGATTAGGTAATGGAATGTTGAAAATAATGTTAATCAAATATATTTCATACGCGCACAAATATTCTTTCTTGGGTACCTTATAATAATATTTATATATTATATACCTTATAATAATATTATACATATAATAATTATATTATAAGTATAATTTCTTTGGTACCTTAAGTCTCGAGTAACCATATAACGTCAAATTTCAGTAGTAACTATACCTTATATATTATTATTATAAAGTAACGTCAGTAAACATGATTTTTAGTAAAACAAATTTGTGGAACAAAATCAAAAAAATATTTATGCACTACACTTCAACAAATATTTGCTTATTTTTATGTTATATACAAATATTTGGCCAAATAACAATTGTCTAGGTAATATTCATATAATTACGTAAGATGTTTTGTTGTAAAAATTATTACATAGAATTATTTTTCTGTCTTTATTACGCTATTTGCAAACCTAAATTGTCTAAAGCGCATTAGGAACCGTTCTAGGGATGGGTTAAAAATTTCAGATACGTCATAATAAACGATCGATCATTATAGGCAGTATTAACTGAATTCAAATTCAACTATATTTTTATTTAAAAAATATCGATACATATCGCATAAATTTTCAAGTACTTTACGGCAGTTTTTTTTTTTATTAATTCGCAGTTAAATACCTAACTAGCGGGGTTTCTTCAGCGTGTTCCGAAGCGTTGCTTTAACTGTGATCCTGACAGTACCTGATAAAAGTAGCCGCTTGGAGGCAAGCACATCACCTAATGCCAATGGCTGTTAAATACTGGTTCCGACCGATAAACGAACAATAAGGCAGTTTTTTTACATCTAAATTAGGACTGCATTCTTTTTTTTTATCCTTTATTTATATGAATTTAAAATCATTTTGTATATATCGCTTTTTTTCTCGATAATTAAGGATACTGATTTAAAATATCGATATTTTTTTTTTTCACTGGCCATCCGTAAATTGGTGGCGCGAGGCGGCGCGACGTGGGAATGAGGTAAGTACATTTGAATAAAACAGCGAGAAATGATAACATCGATACCAGTTTTCTAGCTAAGAGTGGGCCTAATACTTTTGCCATATTCTCCTATTCGCTATTCGGTATTCGGCGTGTGAACGAATGTACTATTCGTTGCAAATTTAAAGTAGGTACTACAAAGCCTAGAGAGCGAATCTGTGATAAAAGTCGTATTAATCAAAATTATAAAATTATAATGCTAAATATATTTAGAATATTAGTATAAATAATGTACATTTTTTAACATATTGCTACAATATTGGGGATTGAAAATAAAGAAGACTGCACTTATTTCTTCATTAATACATATCTTATTTTCCTTAAACGGACATATATTAGAGGAAATTAAACCTTTCCTACCATAATAGTAGTAGTAACCTATCCATGAGGTAGCATGTGGTGAGTGCAGCGGAGCAGGTTAGACATAAGTAAATTAAAACAAATAAATTAGGAAACACACAGTACAAGGTTACAATAGAGCCTGTAGTGCCATTCACAATTAAATAACATAATTTAGTTTTTTTAGAGACTAAATATAAATAAAAAATATAACTAATGAATTAACTCATTACTTGTATATATATGCAAATACAGTATACAAAACTTGCATGAATAGTAAAACATACTTGTCTTTCTGAAACCAAGCATTACCTTTGGTACCAATATTTTACTTAGTTTACTTATAAATAAATAATATAATTATTCACTTATAAATAATAATCAAATTATAAGCGTAATTAATTTGCTTAATCATTCAATTAAATCAACTAAATTAGAGACTTATCATACATGCAATAACTAACACACCAATTTAGCAGGTCAATAAGAACCAGTTGTAAGAGCTAAATAGAGTAAGCAATAAGCCCCGGGACAAGTGGATTATATTTACTGCCTTCTATAAGGGTTAGAAATAAGTAAGCTTGATGGTCAATTATATAAACAAATATGGGGTAGATATGAAACTAGCGCACCGAAATTGAGGCACTCGAATTACGCTAATTTGTGTAATAAGATTCTAAAGACTGCTATATCTTTACATAACATACATGCTACAATACACATCACTTATACAGCGTGTCGTTACAAACGCGACAATAAATGAACACACATATAGAGGATAACTTTTTAAAATTGTATTAAGTATTTACATTCTTTAAACATCAATATTTACAGTGTTATTAAATTTTACAAAACAAACATTTTTAGAACAGCCTTAGGTATGAAACTGTAACGTAACATTCATTTGTAAACGTAACAAAGCATATGAATGGGTTGAATGAATTTAAAAGAGATAAAACATACTGTTAGAATGAGAGACTAGTAATGCGACGTTGTGGCAACGAATGAAAACGTCTCTGAATGTATAAATAAGTCAGTTGTAGTTGTATAGGATGTTACAAATTTTGTTTCTTTTTTATTTAATTAGTTTGTTTGAAAAATATATTTTTTTAATCATTAATTTTTTATCGATTTATATTTTTTATGATTATTGGCAAGTATCGTTAGACGTGTGTTCATTTATTGTCGCGGTTGTAACGACACGCTGTATGACATATACAGCAGCATAATTTCAAACGCCGCGCAGTATGGACATATTGTAGGTACAGCACTATTTCTGTCCTTCCCGCAAGGACTAGCGGCGTGGGTTGTAATTTATGAGACGGTGTTCGTACCTGATCTGCTTCTGGTTCTGCAGCATGGTGCGGAAGCGCGGCTCGACGTAGCTCCAGGCGCCCATGTTCTTGTGCTCCTCCTGGCTCCACACTAGCTGCGCGTTCGGGTACTTGGCCACCTCGGCCTTGATCAGGTCGTACGGGAACGGCGAGATCTGCTCCAATCTGCGTGATCGCAACATATACTGTTAACTTTGCTATCACCCAGGCAATGAGCCCGTGGTGCTGTTGCCAAGTATCGTGGTCTCCAGGGGTCGTGGGTTCGATTCCCACAAGAGACGAGTCTAGCGCTAAAATTAAACATTACAAAGAACCGAGCTGAACATAATCTGTGACTATAGCGTTAGTTTATAAAGGGAATAAGAAGTATAAAAAACTTTGAAGTTACCTGACAATAGCGATGTCTTTCTCAAGCCCTCGCTCGCGTCTCTCCTTCAACATGTCGTAGTAAACGCGACCGGAACAGAATGCCACTTTGCGCACATTCTGTGGGCATTGAGACGCTGGACCTTCCTCAGGGATCACCCTGTGAACATAATTAATAAAAGATTGCATAATTTGGTTTTTGTTCTTCATTTCTGAACAAGGATGGTCATAGAATGGTATGACACTTTAAATTTTTCATAAATGACCTTGGCATTGCCTCTAGTAGTGTACACTCGCAATATGGGTTCAGTGATTATATGCCAATTGAATACGCAAATGGTGATACATTTTACGGAACACACCAGTCGCCTGGTAAATACTATACAATGGAGGGCCCCAACTTGATTAGACCCAAAATTAACTCATCACTGAAGCGATCGAATCTATGCAATAGACTAATTAAATCTTGAAATTTTATATGAAACAGTTCAATTCAATATACAATTATCTAGTATTTTTTATTTGATTAAAATGGAAAACTAAATAGAAATATTTTTTAGTAAATACTTATTTTCATTAGTATTGCATCTTATTCGAAATTGCCAACCTTATGGTGCGTTCCACTAAGCGTTCACAACGATCACGCTCACGATCGCAGTTTTTACCGTTCCACTTGCTTGTTAGCGTTACTGTCGTAAACTCAAGTGGAGTGGATTATAGAGGATTTTAAACGTGGAGGTAAATAATACAAACGCCAAGTAAGTAAAAAGGAAGAAACAGATTTAAGAGGTTAGGTTATAAACTGTAAGTCTTGAAAATAAACATAAACAATTATTCTTTAAATCAATTTATATTGAACAATTTAAAATGTATACTATATATTTTACTTTTACGTAAGTTTCAGGGTCACCATCTTCGATGCTTTGAGTATTGAAAAAGCCGCTAATTTTGTCAACGATTACTTCGACCCACTTTTTAAATGGGTCGTAATGACTGACGTTTTCGCCGTGACCACAATGACCGCGGTCGTTATGTGGAACAACTAAAGGAGCATTTTGATCGTTGTGGGCGCTTAGTGGAACACACCCTATAGAAATCCAATGTATGAGCATCTATCAAGTGAGAAAGGTTACTTGTCGTTTGTTTTAAATAGAAAAATGTTGAGTCACATGCAGTACATACAAGTAGTATTAAACCATAAACAATTGCAGTTATGCAATTATTCATCACATCTCTTTAAACTTGAATATTTCACGTTTTAACCATTGATCAAAAATATAAAGATGATGAGGTCAGAGGATGACTTGGGTCTAAGAAATACATTGCAACATAGATTAATAATTTCGTTTTAAAATATCATTTGGTCTCTTTGAAATGTATCTGTCACAAGATCAATGAATTATTAAATGTATAACTAATAAATTGCACCAACTTTTCTTTAAATCCTTAAATTAGCCTTAAATTCTGCATTGTATACTGTCAAGTATGCATAATGAAATTGAAAATAGAATGTTTTTCATAAAATCCTTGATGTTTACAAATAACTTTCTTTTTCTTGATGTCATTTATCATTGTCGGTATTTGACTTTGGAAAGCTGCACGTTATCATATCTGTTACCGAGCTTATCATTATTATTTCCGAATTAATATCGCAATGACGCAATCGCTATAAATCATCATACCTCTGTTCAAGAAACTATTATTTCGTCCAATAGATAGATGTCCAAATTAATCGTCTCACACACTTCCCGCTTATTATCCATCACTAAATTAGATTTAAAGAGAGCTACTGCGTTCGAAGAGAGGATAGGTAACTTGATAGAACGGCGATGAAATAATGATAAAGTATGATGCGCGCAGTTGATGATTACGTTGCGCAGTCTGTTCTCCGGACTTCTTTGTTACACTATAAATTAAATTTATGTAAAACTAATGAAACTTAAACTCTTTTGCTTTGCCATGATCGACTGGACTAATCGTCGCGATCGACCAATCATCGAAAGGTTACCTGAATTACTTTTGTCTACCCCATATGGGTAGAAAACTAATTTTAGTTTCTTTATAAACACAGGTAACACAAGTAATATTTTTATTTTAATATTTCAATCAATAGAATTTTTTAATAACCGCAATATTTTTATAGAGGGGAAAGTAGCAGGATCATGATGGTGACCAAGATGACTGCTCAAGCAGTTGAGCGGAATCAGCGAACTTGGTGATTCAGATTAAAAATAAACATTATTTTTAAGTTTCACTGACCCTACCTATTTTTTCCATTTTACAGCTACGCAATACGCAGCTACACAATACGGCAGAATTAGAAGCACATTCTCATTTGAAACGTGTAGTATACATGGCTCTATAAAATTTGGATGCACTGTGTAAATTGGGTGAGTATTGATATGATAGCTGATAGAGGAAAGCTGGAATTACAGTGAAAGCACGTAGTGTCGGATAATGGCAGGAGAAAGATAAGATTATACATGGATGTATGCGGGAACGCGGTACCTCTTAAATGCGGTGCCCTCGTTCATGTCGTCGAAGGAGGACTTGCACTCGGGATGCCTCAGCAGGGATTTGGGCGTCATCAGGATCAGCGGCTTGCGGAACGGCAGCGCGATCTGGCGGCGCAGGATGTGGAAGTACGAAGCCGGCGTCGAGCAGTTGGCCACGATCCAGTTGCTGTCGTGGAGCTGGCGCACTGCACAGAATGTCCAAAACAATAAATAAAATATATATATATATATATACATATATATATATTGTTCGAAAACGTCATTTAAAATATGTCATAGCGCCATGTACCACATTACACAGGATTCAAATTAAGATGAATCTCTGTGTCTCAATTAATTAGATCAATACCGACATGGCGTGTGCGACATTATATCATAGCAGTATATGAGCAATTGAGAAAAATTGCTAAGATAGAGTATCTTAGCAATCATAAATCTACAATAAAATCAGATATATCTAATTATCAAGATCTATAAGTCAATACATATGCGCCAATTGACTTAATTATGAATATTGTACAAGTGATATCCATGTGTAATGTTGTGCTTACCCTCATAGTCTGGGCTTTCGGGCGGCATATAGTCTGGATCGTCGGAGCTCATTTGCAGGAAGCGTTCCAATCGGGCAGAGGAATGTTCCGGACCCTATTAAAAAAAAAATATTACTCAATGGTATTGATTTACAGTGAGAGATTGACAGTGTAATATAGAGAAATTGTTATTTTGATTGTTTAGTCAACTTGAGCACTTATCAATTTATAAAGTAAGAGCCTACTAATTTTCCACCGCTGGGTAAATCCCCATTATAATACCAGGTATTAGGACATAGTCCACCACTGTAGCTTGGCAGGCACTTTTCAAATATCTTCAAACATTTTTTCTAAAAACATGTAGGTCTCTTCATGACATCAGTCATTACTTGAAACTGGAATCAACAATGTCACTGTTTACTATATTAAATTTTTTTTTCATCCTGTATATTATAATGTACCCTGATTTTTTTTCAAAAAGAGCAACTGTTGAGTGTCTTGCCGGTCTTGTCTCAACCGAAACTGCTTTCCGAACCGGTGGTACCTTACAAACCTATATAATCTTTGATGTTAAATTTTGCGATTCATAAGAGCGCGCAAGCGTCTATTTGAATAAATATATTTTTGATTTTGATTTTTTATTAGATATTTAGCTCAATCAGCCTTGCGCCTTAAAACTATTTAAGGTTCACACGGGCACCCACCATGCCCTCCATTCCGTGCGGCTGCAGCAGCACGATGCCCGACTGGCGCACCCACTTGGCCTGGCCGCTGGAGATGAACTGGTCGATGATGCACTGCGCCACGTTGTTGAAGTCGCCGAACTGGGCCTCCCAAAGCACCAGGGCGTTCGGGTTCGTCACCGAGTAGCCCACTTCGAAACCGAGCACACCTAGAAAAGGCCAATTAATAAGTCTTTTTAGTAAGAATAATCTATGTCATATATGACAATAAGCCACATTGAAGACGTTGGGATAACTGAAAGTTGTAGTTGTGTTAAGCCCTAGTGGTTGACATTTTATACGAATTTTATTCATAAAATTAAACATAATTTGAGGTGTAATAAAGACTGTGGTACTTGTAAAATTAAGGAATTGGTATATGTAGATACTTACCATATTCAGACAAGGAACTGTTACACACAGTGTATGGAGCCTGATCCGGGTACAAATGTGCAAGAGCACAGTAAGTAGCTTTGTCCACTTTTTGGTGGTGGAGTACATGATGTCTGCAAATAAATGCTTAATGTACTTCTTAAGAACTTAAAATATTTATGAAAGAAATAGAAAAAGATCTAACAAACTGCCAAAATGTGCATATTTTAAATTACCTTTAATTAATACTTTTTTACAGGTTTTTCAACATAATTTGTCACTGGAAAGGTAAAATTACTTAAATGCCAAACATTTTTATGCTGCTTAAGTAATTTTGCCCTTCCAGTGACAATATGAAAGACTATGTTATTTAACAAATCACACAAAAACTACTGAAATATAAAAGAATGAAAAGATATTTGAGTCCAATAGTCAAATCTCGCATTTCCTACACAACTCTAATCAATATCATACAGTTGTACTATATCTCAAATTATCAATCACCTGTGCGAGAATGTGCCTCTCTCAACGTCCTCTCCAGAGAGGCGCACATGAATGCCCTCTTTCAGCAGGGATCCAAAGGCCATTGCCTCGGCCAAAGCCCAGTCGACGGTGCGGTTCTCGACCATCTCCATGCGAGCTTTGAGGATACGCAGCAGCCCCTTGTGGATCTCAAACTCGGCGGCGTTAGGGGGAGGCGATGAGAACCGCTTGCCGATATGCACCAGAGTCTCTTCAACCACACCAGTTGGCGACATCTGAATAAAAACATAAAGAAAATATATGCAATAGTTTGTTTTATTAACTATTGATATAAAATTGTTAGTCATGGATTAATATCAATGCACACTCAAAACTACTAAGTCTAGAAAGCTGAATGTTGAAAATAATGTCTTACTTGCACACATGTTTTTTTGGAGATTACAACTTTAAGGGGGCAAATGTGATGTTACCCACATTGTATGAAAGTCATTGTCCTTTGTAGTTAGAAACATGAAAATTTGAAATAGCATAAATTATAATTACATGTTTCATGTTTTTGGGTATTTCAGATTTATGGAGTGGAAAAGACTGATGAAAATATGTATGGACTGTCAGTATTCTTGAAGAAAAGCCAGATATTTATACCTAGTGTAAGGTGACATTTTTAAAAGGCTTGTTGAAAAGAGAAAGGACTGACATCTCCATCTTTCCTCTCACTAATGAAACATGCGAGACAATGAAACAACAAAATTACGTTTAAGACTTTAAAATTTGTAGAAAAAGTACGAAAAGATTGTCGCCGCTGTGGGAATCGAACCCACGTCTTCGGCATTCGCGGCCTGACGCTCTAGCCACTGAGCTAAAAGGCTGATAGCCACAGCGACGAAAATCTTGACGTTTTTTATCTACATTGTTTTTTAGCATTTGAATCAATGCTTGACACATCTATTGTTATATCTTTTCCAGCATACAAACAATTTCGAATATCGTTTTACAACGATAATTCGAACGAGAGATGTCGCCATTGCTTCTTATAAATTAAAAATTTTTATAGTGCCAATCTCTGGACTTAAGATTGAACATTAAAATGTTCAATCTTAAGTGCAGAAGACATTAAATTACGTTTAAGACTTTTAAATTCTATAATTTTATTATCCATATAAAGTGACCACTTTTTGTAAAAGCAATCATTGTTGTCACAGAACATGAGTTGTATTTTTTTATGCCTTCGGTTTATGCTAAAAATATTTGTAGATGATGGATATGTTTGTGATATGTCATTTAAACAAGGAGATAAGTTAAAAAAGCCACATATTTAGACATAATTTTAGAAACAGTGAATTAGGTCATGATAATTTTTTTTACATTATATTAAAAAATTCTTTACCTTCAATGGATCCTTTCCCTCGAAGAAACCAGACCAAGGTGAATCGAGCCAATCCTTGTATTTGATATGAGTCTCCTGTTTAGCCTGGTTGTAAGCATCTTCACAGATTTTTTCGTATTTGTCCTTCACATCTTTCACCTCTTCGGCGGTAACAACACCTTCGGCAATCAGTTGGTCAGCATACTTCTCCAATACTAGAAAAACGTTTTCCTTTAATAAATTGTACTTAACTCAGTACTTTATTATTGTACCTTTATGGAAATACCTTCAATAATGTAGGACAATGAATTATTTTTAGGCAGTATTCATATATTGAGAATTATTACAATCTTTTCATACTGAATTATGAAAAGAATCATTTTTAAATCCAACTGATCATTTAGTTCATTTGAAATCTCATAATTTTTTTTCATATTACAACAACTTTGTTTTAGTGATTAAAGTAACCCACAAACATGAAACTCTGCCTTTCCTCTGATGTGAAAGGACACGGACTACGTCGACCAGTTACGGTAACTGGTCACCATCGTCCATGAGACATCACCCTTTGATAACCATGTAACCAAATCGATGTTCCTTGATAGATTAGATAAGCCACAGTGATTGTGATGGCGTCGTGTGAACTAATTTCCATAGAAACATTCTCATAGTCACCTGGCTTCGTCTTCCTGATCTTCTGGTACATGAGGGGCTGGGTGAACATCGGCTCGTCGACCTCGTTGTGCCCGTTGCGCCTGTAGGACACGATGTCGATGACCACGTCCTTGTGGAAGGTGGCACGCCACTCGGCGGCCACGTTGCACACGTGCATCACCGCCTCGGGGTTGTCGCTGTTCACGTGGAATATGGGCGCGTTCACCACACGGGCCACGTCTGCGGGTGGAAAAGCCACAGTCAAAATGTGGCGGGACCGCGCGGCAGCTTCTGCTGTTGCGCTAATGGGCGCGCTCCGGCGGCAGGAGACCGTTAAGTGGAAGTATTACAGTATCGCGTCTCGTCGCGTCAGCGAGTAAGCCGGGGTCCACTTTTTTATGGTTGGCAACGCATCTGCAATCAGTCTGGTGCAGCAAATGTCCACGGGTGGCGGTAATCACTTTACATCAGGTGAACGGCCCGGTTTGCTTGCCAAGTTTTCACATTAAAAAATGTTAAATAGAGCCGGTACAAGTAGATTAAGAATTAACACAAATTTTCCTTATATGGCTTGTTCACGCTGAAAACGCAAGAAGTTGAAGTATTTTTTTTATGTCAGAAACTATTTAAATCGATGACTCCGTGGCGCAGTGGCCAATGTATTGGCTTCCGCATCGAGGGTGGTGGGTTCGATTCCCACACGGAACAACTATTTGTGTGACCCACAGATAGTTGTTTCGCATCTGGGTGTGTTTGTCCGCGTGAAATTTATGTTTTTAAAACTTCCTTACAACACATGATAATGTTATCCTAAAGTAAGGGCAACGCTTTTTAAAACAAATTAATAAAAAGTTTCAAATTACTTGTAATTCCTTGCAACCCTTGGGTTATCAGCATTACATCGACACCCGATTAAAGGAAAACTAATGAATTTCTATCAACAGTGAAACTCAAAATATACAGCGTGTCGTTACCATCGCGACAATAAATGAACACACGTCTAACGCTACTTGCCAATAATCATAAAAAAATATTAACGTTAAGCAAAATCCATAATAAAAAAATATATTTTGCAAACAAACTAATTAAGTAAAAAAGAAACAAAATTTGTAACATCCTATACAACTCGCGCCACAGCGTCGCATTACAAGCTTCTCCTTCTAACAGTATGTTTTGTCTCTTTTAAATTCATTCAACCCATTCATGGGCTTTGTGACCTTTACAAATGAACTTTACGTTACACTTTTATACGTAGGGGTGTTCTAAAATTGTTTGTTTTGGAAAATTTAATAACTCGCGTAAATATTGATATTTAAAGAATGTAAATGTTTAATACAATTTTAAAAAGTTATCCTCTATATGTGTGTTCATTTATTGTCGCGGTGGTAACGACACGCTGTATAGTGACAATAATATTTTATTTAAGGTACAAACTTTTTTGCTATATGTGAGTTCGAAAACTGCTCTATTATTATTCCTTCGACGGAGTTCTTCGTAGATATAACGATATAGAAACAGCGCTCACCTGTGCAGTAAGCGGACGAGCGGGAGTGGCGTGGGTCGGTGGTGAAGCCGATCTGGTTGTTGACCACGATGTGGACGGTTCCGTGGGTGGTGTAAGCGGGCAGGTCCGACAAGTGCATGGTCTCGAATACGACTCCCTGGCCGGCGAATGCGGCATCGCCGTGCAGAAGGATGGACATAACCTAAAATTTAAATGGTCTTATAAAATCATCTGAAATTCAAAATTTTATAGTGCTAACGTCTGCACTTTGGGTACAACATTAATTTTTGAAGAATTTACGGAAGTAAAGTTTTTCGCCGCTACGGGAATCGAGCCCACGTCTTGCGGCTTCGCACCCAGACGCTTTAACCACTAAACTGAACGCCTGATAGGTCGCACCGACGAAAATGCCAACTTATTTGATCTACATCATTTTTTCCAATTTTTAGCAATTCTGGTGCACCTACCGTTATAAACATTACATCGAACAAACATTTTCAAATATCGTTTTACAACGATAATTCGGACGAGAGAAGTCACGAGTCAAGAGTTTTTCCAGTAGTGGGGGTCGAACCCACACCCTATGGCGAAAGAGACAGGTTTTCTATCGGGTTCTCAAATCGTACCTTTTTGCCTTCATTGTCCCCCCTGTAGAACTGCTCGGCGCGCGTCTTGCCCTGCACCACGGGATCGACAGCTTCCAAGTGGGAGGGATTGGCGCAAACGGCGAGACGGATGTTCTTGTTTGTGACGCGGTTGAGGCGCTCGATGTATGTTCCCAAGTGATATTTCACGTCACCGGAACCCTAAAGTGTTATAACAATGTCAATGACATTAATTATGATAAATTACGACGAATACATTCCTCAACTTATCCGACATACATTAGGGGTGCATCCGATACCGATACATCAGCTATATTCGGAATTGCGACTTTCCGATATATCGAAATCGGCGACACACGACCACATTATTAGAGTCCGAGGAAAATTAGCCTCTGACCACCCTGAACCGCAACTCAATGACTAGCAAGATTCTACAACTCTCCTAATATATCGGAAGAAGATCGATGAATTCGTAAATTAGACGTTATTGAAGTATTCTATAATGATATTGAGAACTTTGTACCAACTTGAAGAAGTGAACGTTATTATTAATTTAATAATTGAAGTAAGAGTAATTTCATAATAAAATAAAATAATCTCACATCATCCTCGGCTTCGAGTCCTGCGAACTGTGTGAACAGCTGATGTAGAGGTTTGCGACAAACATTGGCCAGAACGTTGAGGCGACCTGTCAAGACATCATTATTATAATGCTAAATTCAATAAAGGGCCACGCAACAGTCTTCGCTGTTGCACGAATGGGCCAGGTCCGTCCGGGAAGTACCACGACCTCACTGAGGACCGGCGTGAAGTGTAAGAGTTACACTTCTGCGTTTCGTCTGGTGACAGATGGCCCACTTTATTAAAATGTCACAACGCATGTGCAACCTTACAGATATTGCAAATGTCCATTCCATTGGCTTACTTAATATCAGGTTAAGCGCCAGATCGCTTGGAATTTACTTTTATAAAAAATAAACATTTGGTAACATAACATTGGCAGCTCTTAACCAAATCATGCGCATTGAAAATTACGGATTTTTATATAAAAAGCTACAAAAATTAAAGGAAATTACCGAGAAAACCAGTCTCATGCTCATTACTGCATTAAACAACTTTTAATTTTCTTTGCTTAAAATGTTTAATAATATTTAGATATTTATAGGGTAAAGAGTACGAAGGGTGCAAGGCTGATATTTAAAAAAAATAATGATAAAAAAGTACCTCTATGGGGCATGCCCATGATGATAGACTCGACACCAAGTTTTGTAGAGACATCGATGACCTGCTTCATGGCAGGGATAAGAATTTCGCATCCTTCCAAACCGAAACGCTTTTCCGATGACCATTTCTTCGCCAGGAAGTTTTCAAAACTGTACAGGAAAATTATGAACAGTTTCAATTAGTATATTATATAATTGTAAAATACACTTTTCAATGATTGTACCTTTAAAAGATACATGAAAGTTATATCTTTTTTCAAATATATATTCTCAAGTTCTGTCCAGATTTCTTTAGAACGCCTGATATCTTCTGGCTATTAGTAACCCCAATATATTTTCTTACAATGTATTCTTAGTGATGACGGTTCTTATACGACAGTGAAAATTACTGGTGTTTACCCGTTCACCCTCCTGCTGCTGAACAGATTTTGATATCATTATCATCACCATCACCATTTGAGTCTGCTGAACATTTGCCTCCCCCACAGGATGCCACGAAGCACATTTGTAACAAGTGCACAGATGCATTCATTCCTTCTAGTAGGGGTGCTTGATTTTGATATGGGATCTAATCCGCTTAAATAATATTAGACTTTTAGTTTTTACATTCTCCCCCTACGATATTGTTCTCTTAATTATGTATTCTTTGTATTATCCTTAACATTTAGCTATTCTAATTTATTAAATGAAATTATTTATACAGTAATGCATTGTTTGTCCTTTGTTCAGGTAACTCAACTGGATTCGCATAATAGTCTAGCTACCGCACAAAAGCCAATATTACTGGCTAATCTCATGTTTTACTATCTTTTTGTTTATCTACATTGGTATGGGACGTAATAATTAGCATGCAATTTCTTCACGAAAGCCGCAAGAAATTAATGATTAAATATTGAACAGACAATCGATCAGCATTTGTTTGGTTCCATACTCTTTATTATCGCCCTTATCTTAAAAGGAAACAATGTTTCGGCAGTGGCAGTGGAGTGACGCGGTTATCAGCCTGCCATGACATTGTAATAGATCCAAAAATCTGATCGGTACTATCTTATCAGCGTAGTTCCCATTGATAGATAGATAGACACGGTTTATAAGAAAAATGCTGATTATTTTTGTTACTCTGTCGATAGGCCTTATTTTCTTTATGATTGCGTGATGTATCATCAAATATGACATATTCACTTTCATTTCTTAGTTTAAAAAGAATTCTAAACGATTCAAAATATCTAAATAAAAGTAATAATAACCATTTATTGTATATCTAGTGATACAATAATTGGTTCAATAGTCTACAAATATAAACGCTGTACACCTTTTATTTTGTGATGAATGAAATAGACAATGTTATCAATTATAAGTAGATCATTTACCCAGTGGATCTCGTAAGCCGGGCGAGGATCAACCTCTTTTGGTCGGGGCTCATCTTGGTGACGTTGGGTGGTTCCATGCGCTGCCTGATCCAGTTGCATTGCTCCAGAGAGTTGATGAACATGAACTCAATGCCAATGTTGTTACAGTATGCCTGCTCCAGACGATTCAGGATTTCCCTAAAAGCGTATAACGTTTTTTTTTAAGTATTTTTAAACAATTTTGATAGCGATAATGTCAAACTAGTTTTTGATTACTCATTGGTTCTAAGAGAAATAAGTTTACATAATTCTCTTTTCATAGTGATGATAACAACGGAAATCTTTAAAATATCATTAAGAACTCGCTTATTTTATAATTAAATATGTAAATGATTACTATGATATTGTGGTAGGGCCACGCAACAGTATTGGCTGTTGCACGAATAGGCAGGTCCGTCCGAGCTAGTACCACAATAAAGAATATTAAAATTGATGTTAAACATGTCATACAGCTCTTTCAGTTTTAATTTGCTTACTAATATGGACTAATTTAGTATTTCAGTCTGTATCGTGACCATGAATGCTGCAAAGATATTTAAGACATTAGGAAACCTTAGAAACAAACGCGATAAATCGATTAAAATAGCTTCATTTTAATATAAGAGATATGATAATGATAATTACAGTCATTGTTCTTCCTATATTGAAGTCATACTTTTTTTGGCGCGTTTAGAAGAAATTATGAGTAAAATTTTTACGATGCGCGCACACAGATAGCCAAAAAACAGCTTCGCTTCGAAACCCACTTAATCAAGCATGCTTGACGCCAACCGTCCTTAGGGAACAAACAGCTAGATCCGTAACAATTATGTGGTTCACACAAACACTTGTCCCGTATGGGAATCAAGTCCACGACCCCTGACGCCGAAGCCAATAGTAGCAGGGACACCACTGACTCATCTATTTAACTATACTGTTATCAATGGAATTTAATGTCTTCATTTAAAACATATGGTCATCCTTAAAAATCCCATACCTCAACGGCAAAGCTTTCTCCTTTTCGCCGATAAAAGTCGTCGAAGGGAGTTTGAAAACTCTGTCCATGTCGGCCTCATCTAAAACATGCAGTGCTATATAAGAGTATGAATATCTTCACATACATTGTAATCACATTCAGAATCAAACATTATACAATGCAGCATAAATATAACAAGCAAATAAAAAGCAGTTGAAATTAAGAAGTATAGTATATACATCTATCATATCCCTTTACTAGCTTACGAAATGATGTACAATGACATTTTCCACAAAGACTCATACCATATGACATGTAACCCGTAAACCACCCATTCAACTTCACAACCGTTGCTATTAATAGTCCAAAGGAAAAACCACTTTCATCGGGTGTAATACGCAAATCGTTATTGTCCAAAGTCGAATAGTGTCGAAACATCAAGATCGATGCCGGGCCTAAACTATTCGCTGGCCGCGCTCCAAGATCGCCCGAGGAACTCGCTTCAAGGTCGCTCCGATGTGAAATTACCACACTCTTTTTATAACGTTACGTTATAATTGACAATAATTGTATGGTACATGTATGGAGCTATTCGAGAGTGCAATAAATAGTTCGTTCGAGTAACAGTTAGTTCGAACTCATGCTGTTAGTATATTAATGTTTATGCTGACTCATGCAAAACGGGACGGCGATATCGGACGGAGGTTACCACGAAATGATGCATGCAAAAGTATGTCGAGATATATGAATATAGAAATATATACAGTTAATGGCGTGCGAGACCAGGGTTCTGTGCATTACGTCACTTCGATGATGCGCTACAGTTATGGCGTGAACAAATTTTGATTATAAAAAGGCTGTCTTTCCTTGATAGTTCAAATAACCGAAAAAAAAGCAGTTTGCAGTGACATACTTCTGATTTGAATACGGCAAAGTTATCATCAGGCAACCTTGTATTTATTCAAAGCAACTGCCCTTATCATTGACATAATTTTTTACAGCGATCTGCATTAGGTACTACAAGATGAATTCAAAACACTGAATATCAGAAATATTTCGATACAACCAGCAATATCAGATAGTATTTGAGGTTATAACGAATTCCAACGGATGGCACTGGCAACTGGATATATTTTTTTTAATGGCAGCCTCGAAAGTAATATATGGCAATTTTAAATATACGAAACTGTACAGCCATAACTGCGCGTTGTTTCTGTCGAGCGGCCAGGATACTTGCTATGCCAGGTTCTCTAGTCTCCTTACCAAACCTGTAGCTGTTGTGAATCACCTCCCGGGGATTTTTACCGGCCAATTCATGATTTGCTATTTCCAACGGGTCGAGTTTCGCTATATGGTGTCCTCGGATCTGTTTTTTTCAGTTTATTCTTGTGAGTATGCAAAACAATACACTTAAATCGTGTTAGGTGTCAAAGTCACCAATAATATAGATAAAAAGCGTTGAACTAAAGGAAGAACCAATATAAAAATAACATAAATGGGACGCGTACATTTTTCAGTGAATAGTAACTTGCAAGAAACAAAATATAACATTAACAGCCAAACACCTCGTTTAGTTGGAAGGAAAATAATAATTTTATACGTAAGCCGTACGTAACAGTTTGCATGGTTGTTAAAATGCACAACTATGTATATTATGATAGAAAATCCTGAGTATTAACATATTGATTTTACAACTTGTGTGTAAAGGTGAGAAAATTCCGATAGAACAATATATAAAACACAATCGACATGACAGATAACTAAAACATATAAACATTACAAAAGATATAATTATGACGTGACAAGTTTGATCACTATTAGAAAAAATGTAGGAGAGTAATGGATATAATATTAGTTACATTAAATATCTTAACAGTCTTATAATCAAACATTTGTCATTAACAGAATATGCAGTTAATAAACTGTTTACAAATTTCTGATGTTTCTTTAACCTGGACATATCAAACAATGTTTCGAATGTTAAGGCACTCAATCGCTTGGCACCCGCCACAAAGGAGAAAGCTATAGTCAAGTGCATTCATAACAGTGTTATCATAAACTTTATCAATCAAAAGCATAACTTATCATAGGATTACAATACGCAATCATACGATTACAATACGTCCATATCGTTTAAATATATTTTTTTATTCTAGTAAAGGAATATGATTCTATTTGCTTAGCGTTAGTTATGATAAACATACATAAATGAAAGCAATTTTAATAAACGTGTTAATCAAATCAAAATCTTACAAAATGTTATTTACACTATTCTAATGCAATATGTAATATGTTTGTATCATATAATCATATGTCAATAATGACCGAATATATCAAAAAGCTAGTCTCAAATTAAAAATCAATCAATGTTTTCGACTAAATTATTCAATTATTTACAAATTTAGAGACTTACGCAATAACACACATTCTGAACGATATTTGTAACGTGATTTTAACCATATAACTTTTGAGAAAATTAACTTTAGGGTAAAGGTAATCGTCCCAAGCACCTGTTGATGCGAATACAGAAGAGTTTAACGACAACATTATTTTTAAGTCTAATCTACGACCAAACACCAAGGAAAAGCGTAACTAGTAACTACGGCCCAAATGTACGCAGTGAGAACCGACCTCCGACAAAACAGAAGACGAAATGCAACAAATCCTCGGGGGAGAATCGATGCAATTTGTGCGACCGAAGCTATACAAATTTTGAAGAGACGTATTGCTAATTGATAATTAACGGCACTGGGTTTTATAATATACACGTGTAATGTCGTACTTAAAAAACAAAAATAATATATATTAAAATTATCGAACGCCGATAAATAACTATTTTTTTATATTTATCATAATTATTAGGTATGGATAATTAGCTTATATATAAAATTTACTTTATAGTTAATTTCGTATCGGGCGCGCAAAACTTTAATGCGCCTAAGTTCGTGCGCATTGAACATTATAGATATCAAAACTTACGCGACGCGTGAACGGAAATCCGTTCGTCTGTCTCGTTTGCGCAGTCAAAACCGCTTTCTATCTCGCTCCCATGACAAATTCGTGTACAGTCGCTAATAGCTTGTTTTGCGAATATACACTTTCATATTAGACAGTCTCGTCCAGAGATTTTTGCGCTCGACGGTACACGCGCCGCGGTTGCAATGTCACTCGGGCGCATTCGAGTTTCTCGCGGCCCGTTTCGATTGTATCTTCAACGATCGCGACGGATGCGTTATACGTTAGTACGACTCCAAGTGGCCGGTGGTAACGGTCAATCGCAATACGCCCTCTGGCTTTGTGGTCATACCGAATCGCACGTGCTGCCTAATGACGGCCTCGCTAGCGAAGGCGCGGAGGCCGCCGTGCCACTCGCCGCTCGAGATCGGGTCCCCGATGGCGATGCCCAGCGGATCGAGACGCGCCACGAGGTGGCCCCGGGACTGAGCCAAGGGAACAATCCAAAAAGAGCTTTACGGGAAACTCCAGACCGACATTTTTTCTTCTTTTTCTTTTTATTAATGGAAGCGCAGTACGGCATCGTCGGCGCGAACCGACCGAGATGCGTGTTTGTCATAACGTACAACCTACGCTACTTCAATCCTACTTTTTACATAATATTTTACTATATACCTATGTTTGAACAGGGTATACAAACAAAATCTTATATTATGCCAAAATTGGTTGAGACTAGCAATTTTACAAATCGGTCCGTTAGTAACGAGTCTTGGGATAAAAATGTGATGGGATACGTTAACGTGGTGTTCGAAGAGTGATGCATTGATGTTACTTGGTACACTGCTACGCTACGTTAAACAACTACTGCAAACAAATTAGTTAATTTCTCTTTACGCCAATATTATTACATACATACGAAACTATAGACACCATATTAATCCCCCCATATTAATTTTAATAAGCGGTACGTTTAGAGCGTCATTCAAGAACAAGTCATTCGAAGAAACAGCCATAAAATAATAAATTCAAAACGATCGCCTGTAAAAGGCAATTCAAATCGAATGTATGTAACAATATCGCATTATAAAATTAACGTAACAAATGCAACACGTGACACGCAACGTAATAATTAAGAACCTCTGCACACCAAACCGAAATGCGTCATGATCGTAAATAAGAATTCATATGATAAAGAACTCATGGGAAATACCAACAACCACGTTTTATTTTTATAACGTAGTTTAACTTGTATTCGAATTTAAAATTCGAACGGTCACGAGCGATGCTCATAATGACTTGGACAGCGTGAATGTCACGTTCGAAAACCCACATTTTTTTTTATTTTACCGTCGAGTTGTTTTCGAGCGGTTCAGTTCGAACGACAACAACACGATAATGACGCATAGCGTTTGCGCACCAGACGTCTGTACTCGTCCTGTCTCCCGCGGGCCGGGCGCGTACCGAAATTGAAATATTTCCTCATGATGAGCTCGGAGCTGGGCGCGCGCATGCCCAGCTCGGGCAGGTTGGCCGTCGTGATGCCGAGCGGGTCCACGTCGGCCGCCAAGTGACCGCGAGCCTGCCACGCACCCGCCACCAACATTGTTTACGCCCGTATACCGGCGCCCGTGCGACTTGGCGACAACGCCAATACGCTCAATCGCCTAGCCCTTATTTTTTTTAATATCCTTTGAGAATCGAAAGCGCATTCGAAATTCGAATGGTCCTTGTGCTTAATCTTTTTTTTAATATCCTTTGAGAATCGAAAGCGCGTTCGAAATTCGAATATTCCTCAATTGGAACCATTCGAAAAATTAATAACATTGTGATTGGAGGATTTGACTTATTTTTTTGCCGGATGCGTGATAAGCAACCAGTTTGTTTTGCAGCCATTCCACTACATGTAGATGTTAGTTAACTTTTTTTTCAGTACAATCTGTTATTGGGACAATTTGTATCAAATTTTAATCTAAAACGTAGGGCTTTCCTATAAGCGCTAGCCAATCGTAAAGTAACAACTTTGTAAATGTCCTTATAACACTATTATAACTAACTGCGTTATCAATTAAGCTATTCTGTACAGTTGGTAAAAGGCAAAGTGATATTTTGATGGTTCATCGCAAGTGTCCGCTTAAAACAGTGATAAAAACTTTAACCAATTTTACATGAGTTTATTAGGAATAAAAAGGGAAATCCTAACATAAAAAATTCAATATCCATATAATAAATTATAAATGCAATTTTTTGCCCTGTTTGAAGATTTCTTTATCCTAACATAATTCAGTCGTATTTTAAAAATATCTTATTGAACCGTACTTAATCAGACACTTGTTAATATTATCGTACGTGCACGAATAACAATTAAGTCGAAAAGAAAAATGGTTCAAAACAAATACATAAATGTCAAAATTGTAGGACAGTTGTTTTTATTTTTTTTATCTTTATGTCGCCAGGTCGCACGTCGCTCTGTAATTCCAATGTCAGTTAAACAATTGCAATGCCAATCAATGCTACAATGTTAAATTCCAAGTTCTCGTAAGTAAACTTAAAACGATTTTCCTAAAAGTTAACAAAAGTAACATCTTTATCTACAATTTCACAACTTCCCTTAAGATTTGCATCACTGAAAGTATGACATCGTATTTCCATTAACACCTAAATGTGCACCATCTTGTCAATACGTGCATTTAAGTGAATCGTGAGATGTTAAAAACTGGGAAATCAACTCGACCGTTTACCAAGGAGTTTATAATACATTACGTAATCTTAACTACGTCTTAAAAAATGAAAAAAAAACAACGTTTCTTTAACCTATAACATAGATAACTACTTTTATAGGATTCACAATTATCTTTTCTAAAATTTCACTGGATTAAAGAAAGCATACGGCCGCACTCAGGAACGTTAATTAATAAGCATTACTACATAACGTCATCTTAAAAGCTATTTAATGCCTGTTATAATTGACGAATCTGCGTGCACCCGACTGGGAGAAGAGCTAGCTGGCACAATTCATTACTTTAATACACCTTTAATAAACATTAGTTACGGGGTCAAATCGAACGTATGAACAAACTGTGCAAACGATAAGAAAAATGTAGAGCGAGTGTTTGTGTGTGTTGATATGGTGAAGTTTTCACCTGGTAGCTCCTGATGATGGCCTGCACCGCCAAATGGTCGTCGATGATCTTCTCGTTGATCGGCGAGCCTGCACAAACACGATAACGTAATAATCGGACCGATTATAATCGATGTTATATTAAGTATTAGAGCTATTTAATTTTATCTCCATGACAAGTTTTTAATTGCCTTTATTATTATTATATTGCATATATGACAAAAAGCAAACATCCTAAAATATATTCCAGTCTGAATGAGATTTTTTTTTGAGAAAATTTAGTCAAATTATACTTTTTCGTGTGACAACTTTGGACCTTATGTTAAGGAAACACTAGAAGGCTTGCATATCTCCTTGACATGCTTTTAAAAGGGCCCCAGTCGTACTCCCTCGCCAGACGAAGCACTAAAGTATAATACTTCCACTTCACGCCGGTCTTTTGTGCACTTCTCCGGACGCTTATTCATTCATATAACAGCAGAAGCGATCGCACGAATCGGCAGTATCTTTAATGATAAACAACAGGTACAACGACAGTTTACTGTGGGAGCGACACGCAACAGTATTCGCTGTTGCACTAATGGGCAGGTCCGTCCGAGGAAGTACCACGACCTGACAGAAAACCGGCGTGAAGTGGAAGTGTTATACTTCTGCGTTTCGTCCGGTGACTATATCCAAGGGTGACAAACCATGTGCAACCCTACGGGTGTTTCAAATTGCCATGGGCGACGTCATCACTTGACATCAGGTGTTATTCCAGCATGATTGCCATCTGTTCAAATGAAAAAAAAACAAATCGTGCCTTACCTGAAGCAATGGACGGCATTCCGGCGGAGGCTGGCACGAGAGACGTGAGTGGCACCTCATTCTTGGAGTACGGCGCCAAATTCGGCGGCGGAGTATAGGCAACGCCGGGCTGCGCGCCATTAGTCGCATTGCGGAAGAACGCGTCCCAAGACTATGTAGGTTGAGAAAACATTGCGATGACGCAGTGACATTGGGAATGGATCACACCTAGCCTAGTTATCGGTCGAGTACATTTTTAATGTTTGACAATCGTCACTACGAATTATTACGTACGACACGGGCCACGATAAGGGGCTAACGAATGACGCTCAGAATTGCTACGGTAAACATCAATGAATTCAACATAACCTCAACATTATTTTATTGCGTCGTTATCTGACTATACCTCCGCAACTATCATATCTAAATTATGAGCAACATACAAAAGTGTCTGTTTGTAGGTACAGGAAAGCTGCGGCATCGAGTTATAACTAGATAGAATTAGCCACCAACCGCAAATTACCCACGCACGCTTTAACAATATCGTCTCCAGGTCGTTTTCGCTGAATAATTGTAACATTCATGTCTCTTACGATAGAGCATTGCGGTCAGTGTTATACGCAATTTAGCAATAAAACAATTAAAATGACACCGCAAGTCAAACTGATCATTGCAGATTTAATTTTCATTGCAAATTGACCCATTATTAAGAAAACACTAAATATTTAAAAAATAATCATACATATCTTTCTTTACTTAACTTTTTTAGATAGTGCTTCTGGTGTAGTGTATATTATTACATTAAAATTCAATTATCATGAAGAAAAGTGAAAAATTCAGATTATTATGATATTTTGTTGAAATGAATAAATAAATATATTAGGACACATTTTTACATAACATTCTCTAGTGCCAAAGTAAGCAATGCTTGTACTAGATTACAGATAAACATATTTTTCTTTTATAAATAAATACATATTACACATATATTAAACGCCCAGACACTAGAAAAACACTATGTTCATCACACAATATTTTTCCAGTAGTGGGGATCGAATCCACACCCTCTGGCGCAGGAGACAGGTACACTAACCTTTACGCTATTCGTGTTGTCAATGTGAGAAAACTTAAGTAATTGTAAGTCTTCTCACTATCTAAATTAAAGTTAGTACTTATTATTCTTTTATTCCTATAAAATACTCATAAATCACTTCTATGAACTAACTTATTAAATTATTAATTATAAGGTATTTTCTTAAGTAAATATTATTTAGTGAAAGCAAAATAAACAGATAAAATAGCTAATGAAAAAATATCTATATACAGTGTGTCGTTACAACCGCGACAATAAATGAACACACATAGAGGATTACTTTTTAAAATTGAATTAAACATTTACATTCTTTAAACATTAATATTCACAGAGTTATTAAATTTTCCAAAACAAACAATTTTGGAACACCCTTACATATAAAACTTTAATGTAAAGTTCATTTGTACAGGTCACAAAGCTTATGAATGGGTTGAATGAATTTAAAAGTAATAAAACATACTGTTAGAATGAGAGACTTTTAACGCGAGGCTGTCAGTCATTTGTAGCTGTATAGGATGTTACAAATTTTGTTTCATTTTTATTAATTATATTTAGTTTCTTTTTTTTTAATGTTGTATTCTTTTATGATTATTGGCAAGTAGCGTTAGACGTGTGTTCATTTATTGTCGCGGTTGTTACGACACACTGTATAATAATATAACTGTTTTAGGGCCACACAACAGTGTTGCATTAATGGGCAGGTCCATCTGGGCTTAGTACCACAACCACACAGAAGATTGTTGATGATATTCGTTGAGGTTGTGGTTGAGATGTGTTACCACCTTTTAATAAAAGGGCCCACTTTATTAAAAGGTAACGCATCTGCGACCATATGTGTGTTGCAAATCTCCATTGGTGGCAATTATCACTTAACATCAGGTGAAACGCCAGTTTTTCACATAAAAAAATAAATTAATGACAAAAGTCTGTGTAGACAGCAAAGAGACAAAAATCGAATCCATAATTGCTTATTATTAGTTACACTTAATATAACAATAATTATTAGAAACAATTATAGATGAGAACATGAATACTTTTCATTTTTCTATATAATATTAAATAGCTATTAATATATAATGTTTAAAAAATTATAAATGAAGTCATATTTGGATAACAGCTTTAAAAAAATTATTTACTTACAGCATGTACAGAATTGGGGTCTGACAGCCAGGCATTATACATTGTCTCAACATACGCAGAGCTAGAGCCATTTAGGAAGGGTTCTGCCGCTGTTGAACTCTTCAGCCTTTGGGCATTTACGGTTACAGCAGCAGTCTATATAAAAATATTTATTTTAATATTGTATTTATTAATTGCTTTAAAATTACAATAGTTTAAAAGATTTTTCTCATCTTCATATTGAAACCTTGTCATTTTCATCACATGTAGATAATTTTGTTATCATTTTAGGGGGCCTGGTAGTGGTAGACATATCATATACTTGCAAAGATAAAACAAGATAACACAACATGACTCAATTAGTTTAAGTTATTAAATTGTTTTCAAGATAGTAATTAACAACAATGGACACTAAAAATTTTTATAGTAGTCCAATAGACTGTATAAGCTAGGAAAATTTAGTGTTACAGACAAAAACAAAACAATATTAATGTCAAAACTTATCTTTAATTTCAAATAATTAAATTAAATTTACATTCCGCTTGACACCATTGAAAAAATTGAATTGGATGATGAGATGGTAAATTACAAGTACAAACCATATGGTACATAAATAACTATGACTTTCCACTTTTTTTTATTATTTACTACTTTTTTCTTGGTGGTAGATCAATAAATATATCTTTGACTATGAGTTACCTGTGGTTTGTTTAAAAGCCATGATGCAAATCTTTCACTATTGCCAATTTTTTTTGAAGCCTGAAGAACAATCCTTGCACGATGCATGTCTGATTCTAACTATGGAGCCTAGGTATAACACAGATCTGTGAACAAATGCTTGCATTATATAACATTTCTTTCATTTTACATTCATTGTGTTATTTTATAACACAAATGTTAGCAAAACATTTAATTGAAGCACAAAACATTTCCTAAGACAATAGATACTAAGAATATCAATCAACTGGATAAATTAAAATTGTCACAATATCAGTAAATCCAGATTTTAGTCAGATCAATTTAAATGCATTAGTAAAATACTATAATTAAGGAGATTTAAAACCATCAATAAATAAAAATTGTCAATACACCATTCAAGTATACACAACCAATAAAAAAGATGCAAAATGTAGGTCACTGCAATTATACAATTCGAGATTCAACTGGCACTGTGACAAAAACACAAGTTAACCAGTAAGTAGTTGTTACGGTATATGAGAATAAAATTCTAAATTTGTGGAGGCCTTACTTGTGTTTAAAGTACTGCAGCCTTAAAATAAATAGATAAGAATATTCAAGATAGAACAGACAGATCAATCTCATAACTTTGTTACACTTTCACACATACAGAACGTATGTATATATCTTAATATAAATAATTCGGAAGCATATTGAGAAAATTTATATGTGATGGTAATCAAACCATCAAAAAAAAGTAAAGCCTTGCTACTTTAAAGTTTATTTTTATGCTATCAGGATAGGAGCATAGATTAACTTCTGCTTTTGTATGAATGAGCAGGGAACTCTGAGGAAGTATCATAACCCCATAGATGAAAAGCATGAAGAAGTAATACAATACTTTTGCTGTTTTCACATATACTACTTTCATATTTTTTTAATATGATTGTAAAGAATCCTTATTACATTCAAATCTTTAAAGTAATTAAAGCTATAGTTTTGTGCACTTACCAAAGATTTTGTAACATCTGCATTGCATAAATTTTTTTCATTTCTAAATTTCCTTACTTCCCTTTATTTATATATTTAATAAATTACATATTCATTATATTTAATCCAGGAAATTTAGGGACGAAATAATCGATGCAATGCAGAAATTACAAAATCTTTGGCGAGTGCACAAAACTATAGCGTTAATTACTTTAAAAATTTGAGTGTAATAAAGATTCTTTACATACATATTTCGTAATGAATTCAAGTAACCAACATTACCATGTATTTAAAAACAATTCGAGCAATTTTGGCCCACGCCATGGTATATTCAAGGTTACTTATCTAATTTTATACATGAATGTTAAGAAACGACAATGAAAGTTAATGAAATACATGTAGTGTTAAGTGTACATAAATACATAAAAGAATGTGATCTAGAGGATTTCCAATTTACAAGAAACCATTTAATAGACATATTTCGCTTTATCGTAACGTCAATGATATCGGTTGTTCGTCGCAGCCTTAACCATTTTCTGCAACGCAAGTAAATGCATATTTAATAAAAATTTTAATTACATACCTCTTAAATATTCTGCTAATAATTTAAAGAAGTCTGATCAATACTTCAATCCCGTGATTCAAGGTTATATAACTCACTCCTTTCTATTGCGTACGAAATGAAATGTTAGCAAATTTAAAATATGTTGGAAATTGTATTTAGTTCAGAATACATACAATAATATTAAAATATTTCTAAGATATAACGTCATTTACCTTTATCACTACCGAAATATGGTCTTGCACAAACCAATCAATTTTTAAAATAATTCAAAGAAAATAGCAAACATCTTTCTCGGTCGTTCGCGCTACGGCTTTCCTCCTCCCTCTTTTCCTGCTCTAAATTTACAGATAATATTTTATCATTAACAAAAATGTTGCCCTATGTTAAAGTTAGAAATACATACCGATTATTTTAATCGAAAAATACTCTTGATTTGTTTGGGCTATCTAGATAAATAACATTTTTAATTTTTGGTAATTATGTGAAAATTGGGAATAAAATTATATTTTCTTGTCTGCGATTTAATGTCATGTCTTGAGGTGTATTAATTCAATAACTACAATTTTAAACTATAGCTTTTAAAAATGTTAGTGCCTATCAGAAGTCGCGTATAAAACATGTCACTATGATTGATTTACACTATGATATTTAGATTGTACATATTATGATTATTTTACATTGGTATGTAAAATAATCATAGTATAAGAGATTACGGTTCACCAGATCTTAATCATAGCAACGATGTTTGCAACACCCGTAGGGTTGCAGATGCATTGCCACTTGCCACCTTTTATTTATACCATATAGTGATGCTTTTTCAAATGGCATCAAGACAAATTAATTGTATATGGAGCGTTATTGTTGGTAGACTAAATTGCTTTAAGGACGGTGCCGTCTTGGATACACATTGCCGAGAACGTGCGGGATAGATGCCAAAAGTTTTTACCAATCGACTTGATTGGCTATTTATTCAATTCAAATGTTGTTTCAACATTTCTTTAAAGAAGGTACTGATTCTAAGATCATATTTATAACACTTTACTTAGAATGAAAAACTCATGGTACAATAACTCCACCTTAGTATATTTTATTGTATGATTGTTTGAGATAATACTCCTTAACTGAACTAAGCTTACATTCCATTATGGTATACTATAAATGATAGATGTTTGGCTTAAAGGCCTTGTATCCACTACCGGGCCATAAAATTTTTATAAAAAAAATTATGTCAGTTGTCAGTTGTCACCTTAACTAAGTCTTGCCAACTTAGGGCTTTTAGCCCCAAATTAAGGGCGGAAATATACATGTTGGGCTTTTTTAGGGTCAAAAAAATTTAAGGCCATTTTAACGGGCCATGAATCACTATTTTCACTGCCAGAATGAGTAAAATGAAAACATAATGTCTATAATCAATGTAATTTATGAAATGTTTGTTAAAATTGTGTTATTTTGTTAATTATTTCAAGTAATTCTAATGTAAAGTAATTAAAATTAAGATATAACATTAATAAAAAATCTTTATTCACATAGACGCTTCTGCGTTCTTATGAAACGTCGAAATTTTACAAGGAAATTAATATGTTCGTAAGTTACCACCGGTTCGGAAAGCAGTTTCTGTTGAGAAGAAACCGGCAAGAAACTCAACAGTTGCTCTTTTTTAAAAGGTCAGTTTATAATATTACAGCTGTATAATAGTCTTGTTTTAGCCTACGTGAGTATCAACAGTATTAACCCCAAACATTGGCGTCGTCAAGATATTCGGCAATAGTATAAGAGGCTTTAGCCATAAGTTTATTTTTAATTTTTGTTTAAATTCATCAAGTGGCAGACATAAAACGACTGTAGGATTTTATTATACATGTGCACACTTTGCCCCATGAACGACCTGTTTACTTTTTGTAGACCAAACAGTGGCGTAGTTAGTTTGTCCTTATTTCTAGTATTTAGTTTATGTCTGTCACTATTCTTTAGATAATTATTAATATTATGTTTAACATACAAAATATTACAATAAATATATTGAGACGCAACAGTGAGTATATTAATCTCTTTAAATAGGTCTCTGAGTGTATTCCGGGTTCCGATGTTATAGATTGCTCGGAGAGCTCTTTTTTGAATAATAAATATTGAATTTATATCAGATGCACTACCCCACAACAAAATGCCGTACGACAAGATGCTGTGGAAATAACTGAAATAAACAAGTCTGGCAGTGTCAATGTCTGATAGCTGCCTAACCTTCCTAATTGCAAAAACAACGGGGCTTAACCTATTCGCAAGAGATGATAGATCGGGAATCCATTGGAGCTTTGAATCCACTGTAATTCCCAAGTTTACAGCGGACTCAACAGGATTAAGGGTTACGCTATTTAATGTTAAGCTAAAACTTTGCCTTCTTACGCTGGGAAGAGTAAAAAGAAGGCACATAGTTTTTTTAGCATTTAACACCATATTATTAACGGTAAACCAGTGGAGGATACGCGAAAGTGCACTATTCACGTCGTCATAATTCGACACGTTTCGGTCAACCTTAAAAATGAGCGATGTGTCGTCAGCAAACAGTACAACATCACATAACTCACTGGCATAAAATGGGAGATCATTTATATACACTAAGAATAATAATGGGCCCAAGATTGATCCTTGTGGGACACCCATTTTCATGGGGGACCCTGCGGAATTTACATCTTTAAAGATACTTTTTGAATTCTATTACTAAGGTAAGAGGCAATGAGATTGAGGGCGATGTCACGAATGCCATAATAATCTAGCTTTTGAATGAGGGTTTTGTGGTCTACGCAGTCGAAAGCCTTTGAAAGGTAGCAAAAGACATCTATAGCATCTTTTGACCTTTCCCAGGCGTTATAAATATGTTTGATAAGTGCGACACCCGCATATCTAGTCGATCTGCCTTTAGTGAATCCATGCTCATTGTGGAAAATTTTGTTCATTTTAAAATGTCCTAAGAGTTGATTTAAAATTAGTTTTTCAAAAATTTTACTTAGAGATGGCAATATGGAGATAGGTATGTAGTTTCCTGGATCATTTTTATCCCCACCTTTGAAGACGGGAATTATTTTACTAAATTTCATAAGATCTGGATAGATCTGGATATGATCTGGAAGATATTATATTTACCTACCAATAAAACGTAAAACTCTTTACGCTATATGTATGAATTCAATACAGGGCTTTTTTGGGGCTTTTAATATTCCTTTTAGGGTTAATTTGGGCTATTTCATCTTGATTTTAGGGCCATTTCTTTTTAGTAGTTGGCAGCACTGATAACCAGCTGTTTGTCGTTTTGTCGTTTGTCCTTGGCATTTGTCATTATGTGACGACATGTATTTTGCATTGTGATAAAATTCAATGAATTAAGTAATTAATTAATAAGTATTTATTAAATATAACGGCTAACATTAAAGCTGTAAACTAGTGCTTGCAAAACACCACATACCATCATTTAACAATAATTTAAAATGTACGGATTAACTTCAAGATTTGGCAAAATACTATGGGAATTAACTGTTACAAGAAAAATATCGCAAGTCGGAAAAGTTTCAAGAATTATCGCACCAGCAAGTCTAAACAAATCGTGTTATTGTTATAAAAGTTGCTTTACGGAAGCTCGAGAAACAAAACGTACTAGTTTTCAAAGATATTCATACAAATATTTATTGTATTCTATTTTATTTAGTACAGCTGCATATACTTCCTACAAGATCTGGTAAGATTTGAAATAAAATAATCTTGCTTGAAATAATGTATGTTTTTACTATCCTTCTTGGTTGTATATTTATTTTTTCTAATATCTTTGTTAAAGCTTTATTTACAAAAAAAAACCTTTTTTACAACCATCAAAACAAACAGTTTCAATCCATTTACTTTACATTCTCAGGCTAAAGAGTCAACTATTTCCCGCAATAACAGCTGCTGAAGAAATAACAGAAAGTGATACAGATAATGAAGTTGAAACAAAAAAAAAGAGATACCGAAAAGAAAAAATTGGATTCAGAGATAGAAAGGTACTATTGATATTTTATGATATTATATTTTATTTTTGTTTGCTATTTCTATTCCTTTGTATATTATTATTTGGTAGTGGTAAGAATATTCAATAGTACCTTTTTCTTTTATACACATAGATAATTGAATATGAAAATCGTATGAGAGCATATTCAACACCTGATAAGATATTTCGTTATTTTGCTACTGTTAAATTAAGTATTGGAGAGAACACTGAAGTTTATATGACCCCTGATGATTTTCTCAGAGCAATCACACCTGGCATGAAACAACCTGATGGTATATTTTTTTATTTTTTTTTATTTATTTTCATTAAACTTGGTTCTCTTTCTTAAATATATATTTTAATAATGTAAGATAGTATATATATAATGTGTTAATTTTGTTCACCATTAAACTAACAATTTCCCATTTTTACATTTGGATTGCTGCTGGATTAGATTATTGAGTATGAGAATCGAATGCGACAATACTCTACTCCTGACAAGGTATTTCGTTATTTTGCCACCCTACAGGCTCAACACCATGATCAACATGAAGTGTTTATGACACCTGATGATTTTTTACGCTCCATGACACCTGGTGTTAAACAGCCTGACGGTAATTGTAGTAAATTAAATCATTCATTGTTCCTTTTTTATTTGGTATTTTAGTAGTTACAATACAATAGATCCATCATTTTAATATATACATTGTAGAAACATAAAGAAATTTTAATCCAAATTGAGAAGTACCAGAGATTTGGATAGGTTTTTTTTTTACATTTTTGGTCATATATATTTTTTTTTCAGGCTTGGGTTTGGACCAATATCGAAGATATGATCCAAAGGTAAGGGTGCTTTTTCAAATTATATAAATGTATTGGGTTGTAAGATTATCTAAATTATATTTAATTTCTTCAAATTTGTTAAATACTGTTTTGTTCCACTTGTATAAAATATTAAATTTATTTGTAATATGTGCCTTAACACTTTTTAATGAGTTTTTCTTTATATTATCTCTGTTTAACAAAAGTGAGCAAAGTTACTTCTGTTTGTAAATATAAAGTTCATTCCATGTACTTTTACTGTTTTAACCTTGTTTAATTTCCTTTTATATAATAAATTAAATGCAAGCCACAATTTCCGAAAAAAACATTTTTATATAAGAAAAAAAGGTTTGTTTTTAATCTTAAATGCATGCTTAAAAGTAAATAACAGCAGATATAAAATAACTTTTTCCATACATTTTATTGCTAGTAACATACTCACCTAAAACAACTATATGAATGAAATTTCCTTAACACTGCACTGGCACAGTCTTTAAAGCCACTCACACCACTTTCTTGTCTTTTCAGAACGTCGATGAGGTATTGCCCTTTCCTTTCTATAAGCCTCTTCTGCTCTTAATTTTTATTGTAATGCACAGATATTTTGTATGGTTTATAACTGTGCTGCTAAATATGACATTTTGGCCTAATTTTTAACAAATTAGAATTAAAAGCAATAATATTCATGTTTTGCGTAGGTTTTGTAGCATATAGTTGAAGCTTGATTCTTAACTAGACTAAGGGTGTAGCCAGCTCAAAATTAAAAAGGCTAAGGGGCATCTATTTTGGTATTAAGTTTTATTAAAGTCATTTTCTATTTAGGTACATAAAATTTAAACATTTGAGTGCATGCACATTTTAAATATTATAAAGAACGCATGACGCATTATCTAAAGATTAATGTAATAACGATTTATATGAAGCAATAAAAATAATGCTGTCTAATTTTTCTTTTTTTAAGCGGTACTTAAACATTATTAAATACCACAAGGCATCTCTAAGTTATTATTGGCACAACCCTTAACTATGGATACATTTATATTTTAATTCCGCATTTAGATTAGAAACTGACATTTATAGAAGCAGGCAAGAATAACAAATGTATACACATATCAGCATGAACAATTTAAGCCAAATGAGATTGCTTTATAACTTGATATACTTTATTTTACTTCAAGCAGCATTGAGCACATTTAGTTATTCTCACGCAGTAATAAACAATACTTATTTAGAATAAAAAATCACAGAAAAAAAGTTACACTATTGTTTCTATAAAAATATTTATGTAGCAGTAAAGATTATTTTAAAAAGATAAAAACATTGATTCTAGATTTGATTGGCTTATTTATAAGTGGCTATAAAAGTTTTGAAGTAATAGTACCCATAACTCAGTCGACATAATTTTTAAACAAATCTAAAAATATTAAAAAAGTTTAAACCAAAAGAAATAAACTTTATAAGGGCCAAAATTTCTACGTTCTATCATCTATCCACTTATTTTTTATTCAAAACTTATATAGTTACTTACAAATAAGTTGTCCAATAATATTTTAAAACTTTGTAACGCTAAAATTTTCAATATTTCTCATATACAGAGTATCAGCCAACGTCTTAACCTAGATCTAGATGAAGATTCAATCTTTTACAAGCTCGGCTCATCCGGTTTGATCACTTTTAGCGACTACATCTTCCTTCTCACCGTTTTGTCAAGTAAGTAGACTCACCTTTAATTCAAAAACTTACTAGATTGATATCCATAGAAATAATACAAATTTTACAATTTCCTTACATAACGATCATAAATTTTCGCTTCATATCCGAACATTTCGAAATCTATACCGTATATGCGTAACAAATCATTGAGCATGCGTTTATCGAGTTGGCCAAAGTAATGTTTCAGGAGCGCCGAAGTGTTCTTTCCGTCACGGGATTTGTTCATGACCGTGCGGAGTCTAGTTCTGCGATCCCTCACCCTTTTCTGCAGAACGTGCCCTAGTCCCAGTTGATGCACCACGTAGGCCGAGTCCCTGGACAGAGTCTCCACCTTAGCGATAACGCTGAAGTTGACGGCGCACGGAGAGCAAAACTGATAATACGGCGCCCAGTGCTCGTCGTAAACCATGTTCGGGCCTAGCGACCTATGCTGCGCTATTAAGTACGCCACGAACTCGTGAAACGTCGGTCCATCGCTCTTAATAGGTCCCAGGATTTTAGTAGCCTGTTCCCTATGTTCCGTCACGATAGTTTTGGCCAGTTTCCGGTAGAATGGCGGCGACACGTATTCGAGTTTATCGCGATAGGCAGACAGCAACCTCACAAACGGCTCCCGCACGATCAGAAGGGAAATCACGCCTGGGGTGGTAATCGCGTCTCTCAGCTCTTCTTCACTCGGCCGAGGGAACACCCGTCTCGCCAAAGTTAAAGGCGTGTATCGAGTACGAGATAGGAACTTCTTATCGTAACCGCCTGGAACAAATTCTATTGTTAATATCCGCTTTTAAATGTTATTTATCACATAGACCTCTTCTAAAAGGAGCAATATACGTGTATGTATAAGTGAAATTCTTTCATAATAACAAAGTTACCTAAAATATTGAATTTGTATAACCACGAAGAACTGGCCGCTTTGAAAATGTTGCACCACACCAGATTGTGTGCGTGGTCCACAAAAAATTCCTTGTTGTTGATCGCCTGCGACCCCAGAGATCTGAGGCGGCAAACTTCCTGAACTCTAGCGGCGCGCTTTTCTATTTCTGTGAGAGTAACGTTGTCCGGTTCCAATAGATTGTCATTGATCACGTATTCCTCGGGGTCTTCGCCTAAAACTGGGCCCTGTAACTAAACAAAAACTCAAAATATAAACGAGTAATGTAGAACGTATATAATCCTTAAGATGCTTTTTAATTTAGAATGTACACAATGAAACGTTAGGGGATTATAAACACAGCACTTGTTGATTCCATACTCAAAATGACTTGTGAATTCCAGATAAATCACTTACGACAATAGAGCTATTTCAAACTATTGAATAAAATTATTACCAGCCACTTAGTGTAATTGTCAGGTACAGCGGACCAGTCCTTCGTTTGATTGCCGCCACTGCTCTTGAATATTGTCATTTTCATCACGACTATGTAGAGCGTGGCCCAGAACAGGAACGCGGAGGTCTTCGCGCCGCAACTCAGGCAGTGGTACGCGTTTGTTTTTATCCTCGTCCGATATCTTTTCATGGATAATAACATTTTTAAGCGTCATGTGGGAAAGAGAAGGAAGATGCTTAAACGCGTCTAACACCCTATTTGGGAACTGTACATTTAGTAGCATCGAAACAAACAAACGCGTGCAAAGTATTGTTTTGCGCCGAGTCCTTCGCACGCAGCATCACTGGGATGGCGCTTACAGAGCATGAGCGAACTTAATGATTTTTTGATCTCGACGCGCGTAGTCTAGACTCGTCTCTGTACCGTCAATTGTTAAATAGAGGCCGAAAGAAATCAATATTTCAAACGACAAAGCCAATTTGAGTCTGATGTAAACTAAAGCTTCACGAATTTTCTGTTTTAATACTTTCTAATGAAAGAATTATCTCTTATTAGAAGATGTTTTTCAATATTACGAACCTTTATCCCTGCGATGGTTTCTTTTTTAAACTGCTTTTGCAAAATTGAACAGTTAATCTGTTTTTAGTGTGAACAAAAATTTACCCTGTAAAATTTTTGGTTGTAATAATGTTAAAAATTTTAATATAATAACTGCTCCACGGAAAACATCTACAACAACTATCTAGAACAAATTGCCTTCATTTTGTAATGAGTGACGGTAAAAGTAGGGTCTTTACGGAAATTGCACTAGCTCAGTAAAAGCTTATTTATTGTTGACTTATATACTCCGCTATTTTTGTGTTAAAAAGTGTTACTTGAATGTTCGAACAATGTACCGTTTTAATGCGAGCTTTAAAATAACAAGATTGTAAAGTTTGAGTAGGTACTACATAATATTACCTCATAAGCATAAGCATCAAAGCGATTAGTGGTCTCATAACGGTTAAAGTAATTCGTACGTTTATAGTTTTTTAGACTCGCTGATAAAGATATTAATTTTTCTAATGGAATAGTAGAGATGCGCAATATACATACATATTGTTACTTGCCACGGCCTTACAAAAGAGCCGTGATAGCTCAGCGTCCGGGCGCTGATTTAATTCAACCTGAGTTCAAATACCGGTGCCAGCAGCGATGAAATTGTTAACTGCCAAGCCGTGGAGTCGCGTGGTGGACTACGCCTATAACCTCTGTACATGATAAGACTTTTGTTCAGCCGTGGAGCATATATAATTTGTTACTTTATTTTGTTTTTTTTTATTACGCAAGATCGTAGTTGAGATTTATGTAGACTTGCATGTCGCCTAGTCTATTCGATAACCAAAGGCCTATCTAAATTTGCCACTTTATCTTATATGAAAATTTCTTTAGGCCGAAGAATAAGGATTAGGATGTTTTAAAGTGCAGTTTTCAGGCGAGCAGGCGGTTCACCTGATATTAACTGATTCCACCGCTCATGGTCATCAACAACACTTGAGGAAGCAGATGCGTTGCAAACTTTTAAAACAAAATCTCCGGCTACCACTGTCGCCAGTCGAAGCGCAAAAGTATAACACTTCCACGTAACGTTTGCTTCCACTGTGAAGCCGGAGTACTTTCCCGAACGGGCCTTCCCGTACGTGCATTAACGTAAGCTACTGCGTATCCTGGAGCCAGGAAAACAAACGAGAGTTTCAAGTACGTATATCGTCCTCTATCGCTCACGTAGTTTCCTCGGGCATTTACGATTCGGAAGCTGCCAAGTTCTGCTCAAGTAAACCTAGCCTCTCTTGTAGCCTCACGTCGTCACTTCGAGATAGCGTTCCGCATGTTCGACCTGAACGGCGACGGGGACGTGGACTGCGAAGAGTTCGAGAAGGTCGCAGCGCTGATACGGCAGCAGAGTAGCATCGGCTCCCGGCACCGCGATCATGCGAACACTGGCAACACTTTCAAGGTATAACATGCTAGTAGAAAAATACAGTTATTTTAACCGTCTCAGTCAGTCAGAAGTTTAGTACTGACAACACTTTCAAGATATAATGTGCAAATAGAAGAAGATCGTCTCATTTCGAAGGTATTGTTTTTTGTATTTTTGAAACGGCCTACGATCAAGTAGAATCTTCTAATTATTGAGTCCTTGATTAAACTTCCCCAGAATTTTTAGTCTCTACCTCTTGGGTAGGCTGGTTTCAAATTGATTGAAAAAAATTTTTTCCTATATACAACATTGTACTTAATATTTTTTATTTATATTAAGGTTTCAAATCTCTAACTAATCGGGAATTTAATACGAAAATCGGTTCGTTTATAAAAAAAACAGATAAGAAATCAGTTTCATATCGCATCATTCAATTTAGAGCTTTTTAAAATGCTCTTTAAGAGTTAATAAAAACATGGTAAACCTGTACACCTTTTAACTTTCTTCGCTCTAATAAGATCCTAAGAACTAAGAAGCTGTTTTAAGGCATAGACCGCCACGTCTAATCCCTTCCTATAGAGGGGATTATGGAAGACACGTAGTGAGCTGAGGAAACCTTGAAAATTTAAGTTGTTAATGTCCACCACTAGAGTTCAAATCGACAATTATAGTTTGCAAATCTGTCGTTCTTACTTCTTCGTTTTCGTAATGATTCAGTTTTTTTTTTTCTGGGCCCATGTTACGGTACAAAATCTACCAATGCATTACGGAGACTGGAGAAGTGACGTTACACTAACTTCCTGATTACAAACCACAATGATACTATGAACAAACCTGATAATTCAAAAATGTGGTCTTGTTGATTGACTTAATCAAGCAATGAAATTTCTCTTTCGTCCGTGATTATAATGGACTTCGAAATTAGGTCGAGTTTTTTATCTTGAGTACGATAGTGTCAAAGACCGTGACCGTACTACCTTAAGTTGAGTAAAACAGTGAAGATAATAAATTATTTACTGTTGTTGTTGTTCTTATTTCGAGAAATATTTTTTTAAATACTAGTGCATATTACTACATAAAACTGACTATATTATAAAATTAGCCACGGCTAGGTTCACCTAATAGTAATTGATAACCGCTCCCCATGGACCTGCAACATCCGTAGGGTTGCAGATGCGTTGCCACCTTTTAAGTTTGTCCCGGTTTTCTCACTCAACATACGAAAGGCAGAAGTATAACACTTCTTACAACGTTTCACGCCGGTCTTCTAGGATGTCGTGGTACTTCCCCGGATGTACCTGCCCATTCGTGCGACAGTGAAGAATGTTGCCTGGTCCTACCTCATAACATAGGCATGGTATCAAAGCTCACCCTAATGCTTAACATTTATATGTATATAAAAATATAAATATAAATTTCCAGGGTATCAATTCCGCCCTGACGACTTACTTCTTCGGTCCGAAGCTGAACGAGAAACTGACCATCGAAAAGTTCCTTGATTTCCAGCAGCAACTCCAAAAGGAAATTCTGTCTCTGGAATTCCAAAGGAAACAACCGGGTTAGTATAACTGCGTTTAAGATGCTTTTAATACTGTATTATCTCATCTGGATGTCTGTTGGAGATAACGAAAGTACTGAAATTTAGCTACTAGGCGTAATTAAAAATATAGCTTTTTTTTAGCGAGTCGAAATGATGTTAAGATTCTTAAGATTTGTATTATATTTTATAATGTGTTTTTAGAAAAATATTTTCTCCTTTTAAGTTTTATGACCTATCAATATGTATGCTTATATGTAGAGAACGCCTAAAAAAACTAACCAGTTCTAAATATTCTTTCAATTATATAGGGTCTTTATTTTCTTTTCAAATAATTTTTGCAATTAATTTATTACTAGCTGTGCCCGCGACTTCGGGTCAGTAGCTTTGGAGTGAAAGCAAGACAGACAGACAGAGTTACTTTCATTTGTAATGTTAGTATGGATTAAAACGTTTCAGATGAAAATGGGCGCATCACTGAAGCGGACTTCGCGGAACTGCTGCTCGCTTATGCGGGCTACCCGGCCAAGAAGAAGGCGAGGATGCTGAAACGCGTCAAGAAGATGTAATAGTTTGTTTCAGTGTCCGCTTACTTAGCTTAACGCGTTTGCAAAACAAAATGCACCCGGGAGAGAATGTGTCGTGGTTCAATAAAACGAAAATTTTTCTTTAGCGATATAAAAAGTAGCAGCTAAACACCCATAATGGTTTCATAAAAGAATAATGGTTAAATTAAATAGCGAGCAACGGATAGCACAGTCCTGCAAACGAAGATGCCCGTGGGTATTAACAGACTACAATAGATTGTGTCTATCGCAGTGGTCGTTGGGTTTCCTACCCAACGTACTCCACACAAATCACGGTGTGGGTGTTAATTACTTGACATCGGAACGGTTACCTTCGGCTACCTTCTCCAATGACGTTTTAACAGTGATAACGCATGTACACACTGCGCGGCTTTAAAAAATTGTATTCGCTTTACATCATATGACATACAGCATAAGTGAATGTGGAACGTATGATACGGAAAGATATAGCAGTCTATAGAATTGTAATCTAATTACACCGATTGGTGTAACTTGCTAGTGTCGCATCTACGTCGTATTTCTTCCACGAAAAGACCCTGACGTGACCTGCTGACGCCGCAGGTTCCGCGACCACGGCGTGGGCATCACCAAGGACGACTACCTCAAGTTCTTCCACCTGCTGAACAACATCAACGACGTGGACACCGCGCTCACCTTCTACCACATCGCGGGCGCCTCCATCGACCAGCCCACGCTGCGCCACGTGGCGCGCACCGTCGCCCACGTCGACCTCCACCCGCACCTCATCAACGTGGTCTTCACCATATTCGACGAGAACAGTGAGCGCAACACCCCACTTAAGCCACCACCCATCAACAAGGTCTTCACCATTTTAGACGAGAACAGTGAGCGCACCTCCCGTTTTAAACCAACTTCCCAAAGTGGGTTTCACCATATTCGACGAGAACAGTGTGCGCAACACCCCACTTAAGCCACCACCCATCAACAAGGTCTTCACCATTTTAGACGAGAACAGTGAGCGCACCTCCCGTTTTAAACCAACTTCCCAAAGTGGGTTTCACCATATTCGACGAGAACAGTGTGCGCAACACCCCACTTAAGCCACCACCCATCAACAAGGTCTTCACCATTTTAGACGAGAACAGTGAACGCACCTCCCGTTTTAAACCAACTTCCCAAAGTGGGTTTCACCATATTCGACGAGAACAGTGTGCGCAACTCCCCACTTAAGCCACTTCATCAACGTGGTCTTCACCATATTCGACGAGAACAGTGAGCACACCTCCCCATTTAAGCCATCTCCCCAAAGTGGATTTCACCGTATTCGACGAGAACAGTGAGCGCAACTCCCCACTTAAACCACCATCCATTAACGTGGTCTTCACCATATTCGACGAGAACAGTGAGCACACCTGCCCATTTAAGCCAACTTCCCAAAGTGGGTTTCACCATATTCGACGAGACCAATGAGCGCAACTCCCCACTTAAGCCACCACCCATTAACGTGGTCTTTACCATATTCGACGAGAACCGTGAGCGCAACTCCCGTTTTAAGCTACCACCCATTAACTTGGTCTTCACCATATTGGACGACCAACATTGAGCGTACCTCCCTTTTTAAGCCATCACCCATCAACGTGGTCTTCAGATATTCGACTGGAACAGTGAGTCCACCTCTCTACTTGAGCGGCACAGTCGACCCATCGTCCACCAGAATTGGAAACCTTGGTCAGACCACATCTTGATCTTGACCTATCAAGATCTCCAACATATTAATGTCAGCTATATCCACCACTGTCTCGGAAACATTTCCTTACGAAGTTCTTTAAAAACCTTTAGATAGTCAAAATAAATTACAAAGTAACGATGTAGAAAACTAGATCGTGGGATCGGATAATAATTAAATCTTCATTGTATGCCTGAAATTTCAAGCAAACTAAAATCCTAATAATTTAGGCATTTCACAATTCACTCTGAGTCACAATCAAAATTTCTTTATTCAAGAAAGGCATATTTTAAGCTCTTACTGAACGTTAAAGAACTAGCACCGGTTCCCTAAAGTAGACATGTCCAGAGGGGAACCGGCGAGTAACTGCGTTCTTGTTATCTCTTTTAAACGATTTAAGTATACAAAATTATTTACGTATAAAATGCGTAGCAGCCAGGGGACTTAAAGTGCAGAGCAATAGTCGTTTCCACACCCTTGTGCGCAATGCATTTTTCGACATTATAATAGTCCCCTTCCATCGGGGTAGCTTTTTTAACGTTTGAAATCGTTTACACTCAGTTGTTTGACTGATTCTAATGGTACATTGTGTTTCAGTGGACGGCCAGCTCAGCAACAGAGAGTTCGTGGCGGTGATGAAGAACAGGTTGCTGCGTGGCCTCGAGAAGCCCAAGGACACCGGTTTCGTGAAGCTCATGTATTCGCTCATCAAATGCGCCCGGGACACCAAGCCCGCACTGCTCGATTTCTAAGCTTCCCTCTAATTATAAATATTTAATCGAACTAGATTATCAATTGCTGGTCATTACGTTATAGGCTCTATTTTCTAAGTGATAAGTGCTATTTTACATTGTTTTTTATTTTTTATTTTAATGAACAGTTAATTGTGTGTAAAGCACATACAGATAGGCTCATTCAAAGAGGCTCAACATACTTTTGTGTTAAGGATTTTTCGTTTTTATTATTTAATTTTTATTCAGTCATTAGATATTTTATATTGTATACAATAAGTTATTTGGTAAGCATTTAATAACAATTATTGTTATAAAAGTCCCCTTTTAAACGAAAAACTAAAGTATTTCACCTGAATCTCAGGACGTCATCAAGATCCAAAAAAAATAGATAAAATAATTAATGCATTGCAAAAATTTGAACTATAATATTGCCTATATTCGCTGACTAAATTATTTGCTATAAATTTTACTATATACACAGTATTAAAATGTATCCAGAACACAATACTTACTTTTTTTCAATTATGCTTAAGTATTTTGCTTTTAAGTTATTTCATGCAGCACGTGATTTATATGATTATTATAAAATTTGATCTTGCCAGCCTCTTATTTCATAATTTACTGTACAAATGTGTATGCAGTAATTGAATAATTTTGACCCGAATCTTCATATTTTACGAAGGTAGATACTAAAAATTATTAACGGTGTTATGCTAGCCGATGCCGGGTTGTTCTGACTATACTAATATTTGAATTTAGATGTCACAAGGTTGCTTTGATTTACGTTGGATTTATGAATGTTATTTTATTTTTATATTGTACGTCTTATAATCTGTCGTTTACTAACGTCAATTTTTTGTTTTACTGCCATCGCAAACAATTATATTCCCTATTGATCTTTTATTTTATTGTTTTAATAAAAAAAATCGACAAATACGTTCGTCCGTGATACCTTATTGATAGATTCAACTTCAATTGACTGGTAAAATAAACCAATTTTATGGATATTTCTTTAATATTTGACTTTATGTTTCGATCAAATTACAGGTAGATAGGTGATAACGGGACGGAAGGATCGGGAATTAAAATAATACATAAACTCGATAAAAATCCATAAAATTAGTATTGTTCAAGATGTGTAGCATTCGCATAAGCTCAAGAAATCCTTATAATAATGCTTATTTATAAAATACTGCGGAAGATCCACGCATATCCGGTGCCTGTAATTTGACATGCCAATTATGTATGGATTACATTTGTTCGAAAAAATCTCTAAAACTCCGATCTTCCTGTGTAGTTTCTATTCTTGCGACGTACGCGTAAACGCGTTGTTGTCGCTTTATAAAATTTCGCTATGTAAGTTTATATCTATCTACTCGTGTTTTCGCGACACAAAACATTTGTTATCGATTAAAAAACGTTTTCATACGTTCGATTGTTACTCGCAGCTTTTGCAAAATAATCCGGACCACAAGTGCTTTTATGTGTAAAATAGCGTTTGCGACAAACATGTTTTTGATGAAAATCTGCACGAGCGAGGCCGATGGAGAGCGTTAACCCCCAGTGTCAGCTGTATCATGAGAGCATTCTCGAAGATGGACTGCGCCCGCGACGAAAACGAAAACGAAAAAGGCACGCGAAGAACGATAACGGGAGCGATGAACCGGCCGCTTTGGCCGATTTGTTCGAAAGGCAAAGGCGAGTTGCGGATTCGGCGCGGCCCAGAGGCGCGTGTAAATCACCCGGGACGACGCCCCGTCACGTTTCCCGCCATCGTATCGACGCCGCGAAAAATAGCCTTGCGATATCGCCGGGAACGCGCCGATAATACGGACGCACAACGCCTGCGACGCCGAAGCGGGCACAACGCGCGCCATCTGGTGAGTGCCATTGTTATGCTTGAAGCTCGTGCTTGTACAAGCTCCCCGTTTTGTGCTTACCCTTGCCGCGGAGTCCATTTGTTACGTAAGCCCATATATTGCCGACTAATTTCCTCTTTCCCCGTACGCCTCGATATCAGCGCAAACGATAAACATGTTTTCACCGCGGCCGCCGCTCGATTCGTTCGAAATCAACATCGGAGCGTTTGCCAAAATTATTGTTATTTATTGCATGTTTCGCTTTAAACGAGCGTTTTTTGATATTCGTATATAAATTTAAGTAAAGTAATGCGTTCGTTATTCCCGCAGAGCGAACACGGAGACATAAATTACGGCAATGCCTATGTATCAGAGACCCCCCTTCTGGAGAGTTCCGCATCAGAGGCCAGACCCCGACGATGAACCGAGAAACTTCTCCCGGAAACGTGTAAGTATTGTCCTACTTCTATAAGTCACCAGTTTCAATTTAATCATCAATAAATCAATCGGCACTATAATCGAAGAAACTGAAAGTGTCGATGTTCTAATTATAATGGTGGTCTTCAATAATTTGTGCCGGCTCGCAATTGTCCTAAGCTGTAGCGTACAGAAAGCAATAGATCATCCGCTCCGCCCACGCATTTCACGGCCTGCCAAATGGCTTATATCTCGGTTTGCCCTTACGTTTAATTATTAATACTCTATTTCTGTACCGTCAATGAGAAATGGACATTTCAACATACACCCTCACGCCAAGAGCGTTTAGGGTGATGATTAATAAATTCTCATCTTCTCGATTAGTTAGTTGAATTTTTTAATTTGTATTTATCGACCGCGCAACTGTTACATTCCTCATAAGTAAACGGCATCAAAAGCATTACGTTAGACTCGAGCCGAATCTATTGCCGCCGGTTCCCCAACCATTCGTTACGTAATCCGGCAGGACGCCGCGGAAAGTTGCTGGAAAGTTCGACGGCTAATTGGTGGACGGTGGATAGTTTCGCGAAACGGAAAGACCGCGGTGGCGGTGGCAGGGTTGCGAGGACCTCGGGTTGGGGGGGAGGGGGCTAGTGCCCGTTCGCGTATCTAAATCCGCGCGCACAACGCCGCGCGCAGCCGTTGTGGAAGCACCGTTCGCGCACAGTGCGCGCGCCGCGCAGTGTACCGACATGGGGCGGCTGCACACTTCTCGTGGTGACACTGAGGCGCGAGGGGCGCGACGCCAACTGGGGCCTGAGGCTGGTGGGCGGCGCGGACCTCGCCACGCCGCTCATCGTCACCAGGGTACGCCGTTTGCGCTACGGAACGCCGGCGACGCGTAAACAGAAACACTAACGCGACTTGGCCCTTCCGCTTTCGATAGTTTTGTTTTTGTGAGATGGGGGCAAACGATCTGGCGGCTCACCTGGTGTTAAATGATAACCGCCGCCCATTGACAATTGCAACACACGCGTTGCCTCCGTTAAATAAAATTGGCGCAGGCCACCTCACTCACCAGAGGAAACGCAGAAGTATAACACTTCCACTTCTCGCCGGTCTTCTGTTAGGTCGTGGTATTTATCCGGACGGACTTGCCCATTCATGCAACATTGCCCTACCACAGTTAGTAAAAGTAAAATAATACTCTATTACCCTCTGCTTCTCGTACATCCTCTCTACTGTGGGTATAAACTATATAAACCCACTGTACAGAGGATGCATGCCCTATGACATGAATGCTCTTTTGGGCATCCACCACGCAGCCCCATTAAATGCTGATTGACGGACTTAACATATCTTCGAAATATTTTTTTTGTTATTATTACAAAAACTTACAGGTTTCTTCACGATGTTTTCTTTCGCCGCTGAACACGTGATTAGTCAGCATTTAATGTTCAAGTCGGGATTTGAAATTGAACTCAGATTGCTCATGTATTTTTGAATTAAAAGCAATGCCGAGTCACTTAGCTACCACGGCTCCTATCCTTCTTTCGATAGTATTTCCCCAGTATTTAGTCTTGAACGCGTAACAAAAATTTCCACACAACACTTTTCTATATAGTTTTCTTTTTTTTTTTTTTGTTTTTTCCTTTTTGTTCAGTTTAACTGAAATTAGGTGCACTTTTATTGAAATATTAATAAAATTTGTCGTAGTTGAATGTAAATGAAAAATTGTTAAGAACGTATTTACTCACAAAAATGTTACCTTTTTTCGGGTTGCCGGTTGTGTCTGTGCGTAAAGTCGAACTTTCACCATAGCACCTCCTGCTGTATGTCGAATACTTGAGAATTGAATAAATAACATTTTCCAATTAAAGTATGACATAAGGACTTGAAGCTTCAACTACGATGGAAAATAAGACTTCGATCGTTAATTTAATCTTACAACGTCCCAATAACATTCGAAGATGTATTCTGGGACAAGAATCGGTCACAGACGTTCGACAGCTGGCGACAAAATTTCACATCGGCCTATTTTCTTTAAAACCTCTGCTAGTCTTACTAGTAACTTTCATCTTGACACATTTTGCCATTAGTCTTGTGCTTGTCGTGTGCTGGGTAAAGTTTATATTTTAATATTTAGACAATGGAAAAACATTTAAGAGAAAAATATTGAGACTCTAATTTATTTAGATTAGAGAGAAGAATTTTGAGGCTTTAAATTTTAAACTTTCATTCTTTTAATTTAGTTTTCCAACAGATGAGTGGATTATTTTTGTGATGGTAATTTTTCTTGTTTATTATAAAAATAAACTAACAAACAACCCCCGATGTACTAAGACTCACGATTCCTTACTGCGACTGAGATATTTGCAATCTCCTTAAAAGATTACGTGAAACGTCATCATCATCATCATTCCAGCCTGCTTGAGTCCACTGCTGAACATAGGCCTCCCCCACAAGTGAAACGCATTACTATATAACATGATAGAAATAATAAAAATATAAAACAGATAATTTTTTTACCTGACAATATTGACAAACTTTAGTTAAAGATCGTTATTGTAAAAAAATCCGTAGTAAATTATTTTCTGGCAATTTTGACAAGAACTTGAAATTGATATTAAAATGACACTAACTTTTTTAAGTTATTTTGATAGAAATAGCAAACTTTTTGATCGTATACATTATTGTATTTTTGACTTCCTTTTATTCTCTCAAAACACATATATTTTTTATATTTGAATTATGCTAAACCAAGTTGACTATGATGGTACGCACAACGTACAACAAACGTGTACGTACGTTGAAAATTATCTCCAAGATCCTCTGAGTCAGTCTGAAATGCCGCAGCCAGTATTGCGGCCATTAATTTGTGTTTATTTATAACGAAAGCCGACATCTAGGCTGGTCGTCGCGCGTCGTCGCGCGTCGTCGCTAGGTCACGAATCAAAACAATCGGATGTAGTGTTCAGTATAATTTCCAAACTGGCGACAGTATCATCTTTAACATAGGGCACACGATAATAGCAGAAAAATGTTTTGGTCATTCACTTATTTTACTTTCTATCAGGACCCTCATATTTTTGTGTGTCTAGGGCCCCGAAATCGGGGCCACTAGATATGTCACTTATTTCGCAATGCAATTTTAAGTAAATGTTTTATATTCTTATCTATAAAATTTCAATAATCATAAATAATCATGGACGGTTTTTATTTCACCCAAAACAGTTTTATCAAAACGTAAGTGGTAAAAACATCGTCCGCCTCGTTATCATTAATGCTGCAAATAAAAACGTTTTCACTTGGTAATACTCAGTATTCGCATTAGAAAGCTTTATGAGATCAGCTAATCCAGACCTAACGCAAACACGTATATGTCTTAGGCTTGAAACCTGCACCTCGTCAAGACAATTCTTTTTTGCATATGTTGCATACATTTTTACCAAATTTATTAAATTTCATCATACGCCAATAAGTCAAACGATATATACAAATGCGTAGGTGGAGTATCTAGCGCGCATCAGCCATCTGGAATATTTCTATTTTTTTCTATGCACTCCCCGGTGACCTCTGTTGTAATAGACCAGACGTTCTTACTCTAGCCTTGAGCCGATTTTAATTCCTGTTACCATAAAACACCGGCTACATATAACGTACGTCGATGACTCAATCGATCTGCGGAAGTTTGTTTTCGTTTTCATTTAGCAGTTTCAGACCATACTCGTTAGAAGCTAATAAAAAAAAAAACAAACAACTTAAAAAACATCTAATATGCCCCAATGGCCTCTTACGATCGTTATTACCACCTAATTTGCACTAGACAACATATAGGGTTAAAAATATTTGTGATACATTCGCTCTTGTTTTGGTTTTAAAACTTATAAAAATCAAAGTTACACAAATCATTACGTTTGGAGACAGGACATCGTCAATATTTCAATAATTCTCTGTTGACTGAACTCTTTATATTTTGTTAATTTATCATTGCTTATAAATCCTTAAACAACTATTCTTTATTTTGATTCTCAATTGTATAGCGTGTTAAAAATGTTAGTAAAAAGTAAATCATTAATCTTACTAGCAAACAGATGCTTGCAAAATGATCGTTCGCTTGTAAAACATGACAAGATACTAGGGCCCTTGTCAAACTGTACATTTATCCTGTAATGTAATCAATTTTATTTTAAGACAGTAGGTCTTCATCTTTTTATTAATGGCTTGCTTTGTGAGTTATCACAATTCCGCCAATATCAAGTTGATCTAAAAATTCTCAATTTTATATTATTCACATTAAAATTTTAATAGACAAAGAAAAACTTCAGAAATCCCACTTGTATATAAAATCCAGTGTCAAACAGTAGGCCAATGACCGGTTTTCACCCTAAATGTCAAAACGCACACAACCCACGTCCGAAATCTGACACAGATTAATAGAATTAACGGGGACTAGTAGTTTTAAAAGTAATAAATGTACGACATAAAAGTCCTTATTTTCATACTTAGTGATTCAATTTGATAGACAATTTGAATTTTATTATCATCGTATGAAATCCAATTATTAAGATGTTTTGCTAAAATTAAAGAAACAACCTTATTGTAAGATTGTCTAGAAGTACCCCTTCTTTTGTCTGGCATCCCAACAAGTACCTTTAATCTGGACATCTCGGATTCACTTTTTATCAATTAATAGTAGTCAACCTTACAGTAAGTGGGCAGTGGCGCCTTTTCGTTTAAAAACTAAATGGTTTTTAAACGACATTAAAAATCAAAATTACAATAATTTTCCATTTTGTCACGTGGTTATTTTTGTAATGGTCCACTTGTGCGGTTCCCATAATCCATGATCGAGAGGAACTAAGATTTTCTTTAGCTGCGATTACTTCACCCGCTAAAAAGAATTCAATAGACTATACCTACCAATATAGTACTTCTCTGAATGCAGCTTCTGCACCTGTACTGTAACAGTTTGTTCCAAGATGGTGCGTCACTCCACTATAGCAATTTACTATGGAATGGCAGATCTAAATAAATAAATAAATAAATAAATTTATAAAATAAACTTTAACTAACTAGCTAGCACATTAATAGCTGATGTCTAGATTATTGATAACAGTGCTCTGTGTTCCCGATCTATTCAAGAAATGCAATAGGCGTACAAGATGATTTTGATAAAATAACTTTAAAAACTTGCATTTTAGTAACATTTTTCTTAAAATGTTTTTGGAAAATCTTATAAGATTTTAATAGGTCCCCGTAAACTGGTTTTATTAATTGGTAATAACTTGATGTATTCGAGTTCAATTTCCTGTTGCAACGATCCCTCCGAGTGCGTCCAAAAACTATAAAAGCGTGGAGATGTATGATTTTTCAAAAAAAAAAAGAAAGTATTCGCGAAACGGCGCGAACGGCGTTCGTCAGCGTTAGATAAGCCGTGGACTTGTGCCAGCTGTGACACAGGCGGCACTCATCGTCGACCTCAAACCGGCGACGGAGCCACGCACGCCACCGAGAGAATTCCGCGTCCGCACGGCACATCTGACACGCTGTCGTTTTGTCGGACACGTGTAAATATAGGTACGCGTCCTCGCCATTGAGCCGTAGGAAGTGCTTGTATATCGGCGCGGATCGATACGCGGACCTGACCGCGTCGTCAGGCCGGCGGTTGTTTTCAATAAAGCGCGATTGGCGGTTGGCAGGAGGTGGCCGGTGGACGCATTTAGACTGGCCACTAGCCAAAGCCGGTGCATTGCGTCCCAACCTCTCCATTGCCTATTCGCAAGGTCACCATAGCTAACCAGATGACATCGCCCCAACTCCCTACGAATTGATGTGTATTAATGATATCAATAAACTGTCCGCTTATTAATAAACATGACGGTATTGCAAACGCTGCCATGCGAAAATGGTCTCGTATTGAGATAGTGATTCATTGAGAAGGAGCTTACGTAAAAGACGAATTTACATCTGCTCTAAGTAAAGATGTCGTGTCGGTCATGTTAGTTTTTAATATCACATCTTGCAGTATAAATCGCGCTTATATAACATTAAATAGTTCATACTATCTGAATCCATTTATGATAGCAAATAATTCGTTATGTGACATAACGAATTATTTGCTATGCACGTAAATAAAGACCTTCACCTGGAATTTTGCTTGCCAAAACATGAGAGATGACGAATGTAACCACAACCTTAGTACCTATCTATATATCACTTATCTGTTTAAATAGTTTAATATGTTTTTTTTTTTTAGTTGTATACTTTCGAAATATAAAGAATCTGTACTGGCATAGGAACCAAAAATGAAATAAAACCTATTTCTGGAGAACTCTATCCCTGTTCTTCTTTATAAGGAAAATGAACCTACGATTTTATTTTATTTCAAAACCTTTATTTGTTTCTCGCCAAAAATGCTTGATGCATTTAAAAATAAGCTAAGGTGTCTTTAACCTGCACTAGCATCAAAGGTCACGGTTTAATTTCAAAGGTGATGTTTGAAGGTAAAACAAGCGACAATGACCAGGTGTCCTAAATATATTATATTAGTTAGACAAATGCGTATTTTCTAACTCATGTATTTACAACTTCGTAGTGTTCTTTCCTCTTTTATTAACTTTGCAATTCACACACTATAAAATGAAAATTAGAATTAAAACAAATATCATATTATCATTTTAAAGATTTCCAAACTTTACATAATAAGATCGCATTATAACAAGGGTACTACTAAAACACTTCAAAATGGTTCTTATAACTCAACATATTCGATAAATCTAATTCCAGTGTCCGTTTCTTTGTAAGCTCAATTTGTAGCAAACAGTTGCCTTTGATGTTCGTGTATCTGTTCTTCAATGGTGGAACTGTTATCAACAAAATGTTCAACACTTCGTTGGTGTTTTCAGTAATTTGTACCTAGCAATGTGTTACGCAATATATAGAATCTCTACAAGTATATTTTACTTTAAAGGTAAATTAGAACTTTCTCTGAAGTCTGTCGTAGCTAACACTGAGATGTGCTGCGCGTAATTTTAACGAGTACAAAATAAAGTTACTTATTTTTTTGGACTATATTCAATGGAAATACTTAAAATCAATACGTATTATTTTGTTTCTTTTTTTATTTATTTCCAGGTGACTCCTGGAACACCTGCTGGTCGGGATCTGGCTCGTGGCGACATAATTGCGAAAATCGACGACTACGATGCACGTGACCTGAGACACGAGGACGCGCAAAACCTATTCAAAAACGCCTCCAACCAGATCAAACTGGTGGTGCAGAGGTAATGTCCGCAATAGCAATGAAAAAGTTTCAGTATGCGGTAACAATTATGTTCCGTAGTTTAAACAAAACAAACTCTATATATATAGAGTATTGGATTTGATTCTGGTTACTTAAAAGTGACTTTGAACTTGTTAACCATAAATTTTGTAAACAATTTAATACCAATTAGAAAAATGTGCCTTATTAAATTTGATCTTCCGTCATTAGGCACAATCGTACAATTTGTAGTATATACGGTAACTTGTACCTCTCTGGCTTATACCTCTTCAGAAAATCCTAACTTATGCTCGTAAGTTATAATTTCAAAAATGTTATTTCTGTACGTTCTGTAACATTTATAACCATAAAGTCTTAAGTTATGGTTTCTCAAAGCATACAGTTACTGTCAAAGAATTAAAAGGCAAGGAAACAAAACAAAGATTCTACTATAACTGGTAAACACACTCAAAAGAGGTCACTTTGTGATGGTTCTATGTCCACAAATATGACTATACATAAAAAAGCGTCAGATCTTCGTCTATTGCTTCTGTTAATGTGAACATAAATAACGCTGAATTTACACTGTGAATCCACGTTAAGGTTAACGGAAAATTTAAGGTTCAGTTTAAACGCAGGGGCAGACCAAGTACCCACCTGTATCCAATGCCGCGCTCTTGCGGCAGCTATGTAGGGCGCTCGCCAACGCCTTCGTTCTATTATGAACGTTTTGAGTAAGAACGTATTGATGTCGTCGCTGTTGTTGTTTTGATGTTGTAGCTGTCTCTTTCTCTCAAAATAGAAGTAGAACTAATCCATAAAAATACCTAAACTATTTATAACGAAAACACTTTTCTTCGTCCGAAATAACATTATTTCTTTATATATATATATATATATATATACATACATACATATATACATACATAACTATATATATATGAAACAATTTGCCAAATGGTATTATCTTTTTAGAATCAATAATTGGTTGATTTTGTTTACTATCGTCTAGTGTTTAATACAGATTAGACCCGAAATCTGTATTAATATATTTAATACGCTGTTATAACATTTGTATTAACACAATTATGAGTTTTTGTTGAAAGTTTAATTCGGGGAAAATATCACCTCTTTTCAATTAAGTGACGCTCAACACCCTTAAATACAGTTCAATCAATCAATCAGTTCAATTAAATGCGTGGGATCTTATCGATCGATTCACTCGATTTCACTGACAAGGGCGTTGGCTTATCGCCACAATTGTTCTCTTTTATAAAGTTAAACGTTTATATAAATAAACCGGTGGCACGTGGCATTATTAGCGGCAACGTGCAACTGCCGGCAGGTTCTTAGATTTCGAAACCCGAGCGGGAGCAAATTTGATTCGGATCGAACGAATGCTCCTGATTTTCCATGATAATACTCTTAATACTGTAAAACAGGGTTGGTCAACTGTTCTTTATGAGATCTATTTTTGTAATAAAAAGGTTGACAATCGGCTTATAACCGAAGTCATTATTTAGATGAAAAGGCGTTTGAAAATATATGCAAACAAACATGATCTTTTTACTAAATATACTCACGAGAGCTGTGAATGGATTAGCATAACATAATTATTTTTTTTAACCCTGAATTGAATTTGGTTTTCAGCAACATACATGGTGAGGTATTTTTTTAATCTGTTCAGGTTATAACAAAGATGGTAGAAATCGTTATTATAGTAATCATTCAAACTACCTTTAGATTTATAAATCTTCGAACCTTTTGCCCCGCGATCGACGTGTCTTCCACCTCTGGCTTAAAAAAATTAAAATAGATAGTATTTTTCTAAATTATTTTTCCGTCACGATTCCTTTAAACCAAAGATCTATATTTCTTTAGATAAAGGATGTACTTGTCTGCATGTAAATGTTGCTAAATGTGTTGTGCACACTGAAGTAGTAGCATGTGTAGGGACGTGGAGCGTGAGGGACTGCGCGATTCGACACAAGCGCAGCGCTCGCCTATATGCCAACGCAGCCGCACCTCCCTTCAGGTAATACTATAATGTATTATTATATTAAACTTAACCTAAACCTTGATTCGTGTAGCCCGCTTGATATATTGATGCGCCTGTAAAGTTCGTCCAAGTCGGTACCCTGTTTATAGGTATCAGAAAAGCTACAAATAGCGTACGGGGCATGAAACATTGCTCTGTCATTATCGCTGGCTTGAGCAGAGTGCAGCTGATTCTCGTTCATGCCGAGAGACTACATTTTTATTTGTCTCGCTCCCGCTACACTTCGTTGGCTATCGTTGGCGCACAAGGGTTTTGTTTATAGATTTTTTAGAGATTCTAAAATATTTTTCAAGCGATTCCTTTTTTTATGTGACAAAGTAGCAAGTGACCTGACGATTCACCTGATGTTAAGTGATAACCGCCACAATAAACATTTGCAACTCCGTGGTGTTGCAGATGCCACATTTTAATAAAGTGGGCCTTGGTTATCTCACTCACCAAATGAAACGCGGAAGTATAACAAGTCGAGGTCGTGGTACTTCCCCATTCGTGCATCAGCGAAAACTGTTGCGTGGCCCTACCACAGTTAAAGTAGAAGCGCAGAACTCGCGCAGCCAACCTCCCTCAAGCGCACTAAAGTATTTAGCATCCTACACATCCGACCTGCCAATTGGAACTTATGAAATTTCACTGAAAACTGGAACAATCCTGTCTATCTCTCTCGCGTCACTAAGGACAGACGTGAGAGTGTTTTTTGTTTTAGTTGCTAATTAAATAAGTATCAATGTTTGAATGTAAGTTCATTTCACTTCGTGTGTAATAGTAACTCTATTCATAAATCGATTACGCAATCGATTTAGGTTTGCATACAAGTACTTCATGTTAGAAAATGCTTTATTTATGGTTTATCATCGATACTTAAGTCAGGAATTCATATGTGTCATTATATGAAATTAAAGCATCTAGCGGTAATTATATTATTTATTAAAGTTTCAAACATGCAAACATTTCTAACATTACATGTTTAAAAGTATTATATTCGTAATTGTAGACAGTCTAAATTGTAAAACGTTGTTTCAAAAACTATCTCAAACATCCTCAAAATAATTGTGAAAAAACACTTCAATCATCCAATAAATGATACATCTACATTTATTTACTATAATTTTAATAGTTCTAAAGTTTATAAAAGGTCTGTTTCCCATTATGCCCATTTTGAAAAACTTAAACCATTATGACGCAATTTAACAATTACATACATATTTTTAGGAAGCATTATAAAAGAGTCTACGGAGAAAATAAAATTACCTCAATAAATAAATTCATTTAAAAATATTTTATATTTGGCTTTAGACATATTGGTGCTATTAGAAAGTAGCAGATATGAACATACTTTTTGTATTTAACAAAGTAGCTACAAATAAATGCTACGGATGTGCTTAAAACTAACATTTGTTTCCGGGCGCTCGCAATTCTTATATTCAGGCACGTAGGGGTATATTCATTAATCGTAATTCAATAATCATACAGGATAGTTTTCAAATGGATGGGCGGATTGTGGATAGTTGATTAAACATAAATTATGTATCTGAAAACACCATTAAAATATTACGTAAGTCTTTAATGCATGCCTAAGTGATAGTCGCCAGTCTTTACTACATTATTATTTATCGGTTATGGTGCCTATAAACTTAAAACAACAAATTTAGAAACTCCTCCCACAACTGATATTACAATTAACACTAACATTATCATCACAAATAATAATAACATTTATTCGCTTAAAAACTTCTTCATAATATCTTGACATTGAAACATTCTAAGAATGTTTCATATTATCTAACAATTAACAGTTTACTAAATGATATATATGTATATTATAATATACTACATTCTAAAGTTTTAAACGTTTTCAAGGACATTATAAAACGCGAGCCATTATGACCATGTAAGTTATGTCCTACGTCGGTACTGAAAGTGCCTACGAACTGTAGGGTCTACAGTAAGTCTACGTAGTATTGACACTGATAATCTGTAGGTGACATTCCTTATTAGATAACGCACGCCGTATCAAGCTCGTGGATTCTCGCTAACCCACGACTTCTGCGTTCGATGTAGCTTTAGTAGTCTAGATATTGAAAGTTACAGTAATTTAAACTTACAGTAATTTTACTGTGGCAGGGCCACGCAGCAGTCTTCACTGTTGCACGAATGGGCAGGGCCGTCCTGGGAAGTACCGTGACCTTACAAAAGGTCGGCGAGAAAGTGGAAGTGTTACACTTCCGTTTGGTGAGGGTAGTAACCGGAGCCCACTTTATTGAAAGGTGACAATGCGTTTGCCACCCCACATTGAGTGTTGCAAATGTCCATGGGCGACGGTTATCACTTTGCATCAAGTGAACCGCCAGCTCGTTTGTCGCCTTCTTATATATATATAAAGTATATGTTATATTTTTTAGCGTAATAAGAGAAGAGAAATAACTTTTTTCCCACATAGCGGTGCAAATACTCCTTTAATTGTCCCGCATCGTAAATATTCACTCTAATAATTTTTCGCAAACGCACCAAAACAAGTATATCTTCAAACGGTACAAGATAAATGTAACTTCGAACGCGCCGAAAGAACATTTCTACTATAACTACTACACCTACAAGTGGTTGATTACCACGCAAGTTAAGAGTCTAGTTTGGTTAGGACTCCGAGCCCCCTGCCGAGCGCGTGGCGCGGTCCGGAGTCCCTCCCGCGGAGCACCCCGGTGCCGCCGTACTCGCTCCCAGTGCAGCAGGAGGGCGAGTTCCGCACGGTGATGCTGTCGCCGACATCGAGTCGCAACGACGAGGTCATCGACGAGTCCATCCAGAGCCAGGTGAGGCGTGCGACGTTAGGGGTGCTGTGCCAATTGCACCGGCACAGTACCATTTAGAAGAGGAGGCCCATAAAGGCCGTAGTCGCGGAAGATTGCGATTTTTTTATGGGGTACCCGTCTCCGGGACTCCCACATACCCCTGCAACACCCCCGATCCAGTGGCAGGGGTTCCATAAAGGATTTTACCCACGGAAATAAAAAGGTGAGCCGTGCGACGAGCGATGACATTAAATTTGTCATTTACAATGATGTTTTAATAAAGATGACGCATGTTCACACTGCGCGGCGTTAAAAAATTGTTTCGCTTTACATTGTATGACATATGATATAAGTGAATTTGACAGATGATACGGAAAGAGATAGCAGTTTATGGAATTACAATGTAATTACATCAATTGGTATAATTAAGTGCCTCAGTTTCAGGGCACTAGTGTCATATCTACCCCGTATATGTATATCAGATCGTTTAGGCTTTATTTCAAACCTTAAATAAAAAGCTTACAAATGCGGACTCGATACCCAACGGAATTTATTATTATTATATATTTATTATAAGATATATAAATGTAAGGTGTGGCCAACCGTATATACTTCTAAACTATTTCTTTTTTTTTTACTAACGTCTTTAGAAAGAAAAAAAAGGACTACCGATTTCGATTTTTACACTACAGTTTGTCTCAGTTAATAATGCGAAATACATATAAAATTAAGTATAATATGTATATAAAATGAAGGCTCACTATCACAACAAGAGTTCATAAAGATTTCATTTTCATAAAATCCTAAACAGTCCTAGTGAAACAAGGCGAATAAATTAAATCGTTATTAGCGAACGCTCTATTTTGTGTAATTTTTAATTACATTTTCTTTATTAATTGAACTAAAATCCACAAGCAAATATTTTTTTACTCTTGTTATAACACGGCTCTTGTCAAAAATCTATTTTGCCTCTAAAACGTCAGACGAAATAGGTTAACCGAACCACTTTTATAACACTGACGTCCGATTATAGGCTGGACGAGAGCCAGGAACAGTTTTTTATTATTTAGCATTATTAATTAGGTCTATTAAAGTTAGTGACTACAACTACAAGGCAAAAGATAGAAAAATAATCAAAAATAATACTCAATATAACTATTTACATTAAGTTTGAACAAACAGCTTACTGTTTGTTGAAACTCAAATAGAATGATATACTAGGCCGCTAATTTTGCTGGCTGAATCATATCCCGTAATCATAAATATTGCTTGAGACCATTTTATTTTTAAGTAATTGATTAATAATATTCGTACGCGGCAAATTTTATTCTTGCTACCGTTACGTGCCAACGTTCAGAAATTTGTCCAAATTACGAAATCATATCCAGCGGTGAATAAAATCGGCTACATCATTTGCGTTCAAAATCGCCGTTTTCGTTTAACCTAATTATAATGCTTTTTATAAGAACCAACGTCAAAGAAAATCCCAAGGCTTTCCAACGGCTAGGGTTCGTTAAATTCTTTTAATTAACGTTTTAAAATTGGCTGATCGTGATCAAGTCCAAAGAATAGAGAATTCCCCCCGAGAGTCCCGCAAGGCTAGCGGGCTAAGCTGTCGCCCACGTCGACGCCTTCTCCGGCCGTCACATCTCCAAAATAGAATGCATTGAGCGCGAGTTGTTTATCCGAGAGCCGGCTGGAGTACAGTCCGCGGCCGTCCTCAGCACGACACGTCCGCGCCAACGGCTCCCACCGAGATGGCGGCCAATCCGAACTTCTTCCCCAACGGCTACCAGGACCCAATGCACCCCGAGGAGGAGGCGGTCACCAACTGGGTTCGCTCCACTATACGTATTCCTCGCACCTTGCTCACGAGTCAAACTAGTGCTCCACAACATCCCTTCGTGGGAATTAAGTGAATCAAAAGGAAACTAATGTTGCGTACATGAAGCTCGCGTATTGTATAATGTGCTACGATGATATAATAACACGACGTAGTTATCACTCTAACAATTTTTGTGAACGGTTTAAATCATAGACTAGATAATTCTAAAATAAATCATCCATCACTCATTTGATTATTGAGACTCGATTATAGTCTGTTTTAGAGATACTTTGCTTACAAAAGCTTTTCTGTCTGGAACGAATAAAGTAAAGCCATAATAACATAATTTTATTTTTATTCGAATATTTATATTAAATCGATTGTTACGTATTTGAAACTACTTATTTGTATCTTAATAATATTTTACAATAGGGAGATGAAAATTAGAAAACAGATTACGAAAAGCAAGTACTAATGTTAATCTTAAAATAATAATAGATATAATTCTTCATAAATAGTTTCAATAACTGGCCGTCACAACATCGCCATTTAATTTAAGGATCCCAGCTGTGGATGCTATTTTAACGTCAATGTCACATCGCCATCGTTCACATTCCAAACGCCGTAACGGTATGACGTACAGAATTAAACTTTTCCACTTAAATTATATACAGCGCTTGCCTTTTGTCAATTCAATGTAGTTACTCTGACATCTAACGTCGATCTATCTCTCAATCTAAATGTAATATTGTTTGGAACGAAAGTATAAAAATATGGAAATAATTATAACGGATCATTTAAAAATATAACGTAACGTAACGTAAATTACTTAATCATTCAAAATTTTTAACTTTGTAACACCAAAGTTAAAAATTAAAGATAATTAATTTTATATAAAACTTTTAATTTGTTGTGTCGATACTTCTTAAACGCCAAGTTTTATTTATTTATTTATTTAAACTATTACACAAAAAAAATGTGTATAGGCGGACTTAATGCCTTAGGCATTCTCACCCAGTCAACCTGAAAAGTTCTCATACAAAAAAATGCGAAAAGTGAACTTCATGGAGCAAAGTGAGCTATTGCGTCAGTCACCAAACGCGTCTTTGTAAACACGACAGAAATAAAGCAGAAACGTGGCGCCCGCCCAGTGCCACAACTATTCCATCGTGCCTAGTCCTCGCCTTCTATAAAGTGTCGAATAACGCACGTAATGTTTTGCGACTAGTACACGTTACTACTAACGATCGCATTGTCCCATTTTATTGTGCAATTTATTGAACTGTATTCATCAATACATAATACGCACGTGAAGAAACGTACAGGCAATGAAGTACATGCTTATTATCATTTATAATCCAGACTAAATGCTAGAATAATGACGAACACTGTAAACTAATTGTGATAAAAGCATTTATAGACCATAAATGTTATATACTTAAAATAAGATTTTATCTAATGATGTAGCAACGACCGGTCGCTAAAGTTTTATCAAGTCCTATCCCGTAGGACTTGACAAAACTTTCTATTATTAGTAGAGTATTAGTGTTATATTTATAACAATAAGAGTAATATTTATCACGACGATTTACATAAATTTTAACAGCTTATAAAAATAAACGTTAATTTTCCGCCCAGTGACCTCGACCCACATTTATTCGCGTAATCTCAGAAATGTAGTGAAATTGTGCCAGTAATCATAACCTATATGAAACAACCTCGCTTTATATTTAGACCGTGTACGCGCGCCGTTTCAGTGATTGAGGCTACATTTCGATATCGTCTTGCCACACACGAAAATTAACCTAAGGTGAATATAAATAAATAGGTAATGTTTTAAGAATGAAAACTATCCTTATTGTCTCACACACAGACTATCCTCCGACCCTATGAGACAATTAGATGTAATAAATTTTGTTTTTACTGTATGCTTAGGTATTTTTTGCTATAACAACAAAAAATTACTTTCCAATACCGGTTTGCTTAAGGCTTTTAACCCCAAATTTAGGGCTAAAATATGCATATTGGGCTTTGTTTGAGTCCCAAAAATTTAGGGCCATTTCTAGAATCATAAATAATATTTCATGCATAACTATTTTGACTGACCAAAATGAGTAAAAAATAAAGTAAAATGTCAATTTTTTGATAAAATATTAGTACCAATATATAATATTAGTAGTTAATATTTGTAATGAAAAGTAATTATAACTGAGTTATATTTTATTTTCCTTAACAAAACGTGAACCTTTTGATAATTGCATTTAGGTTTATTTACAGGCATTTCATCCTGTTTATCTACTTTAAGTACTAAGCCACACTGTTACAATTATACAGCACTAGCTGCTACCCACGACTACGTCTGCGTAGAATAGGCTGAAGACGTAAATTCAGACAGAAAAACAGATGTACATAAAATATGTATATAAATAATAGCCTATGTCTTATTCTGATGTATAAGCTATATTATTGTAAAGTTTCATTAGAATCTATTCAGTACTTTTTGCGTGAAAGAGTAACAAACATCCATCCACACCTACAAACTTTCGTCTTTATAATATTAGTAAGGATTAGTAACAGTGCTCTCTGTCATTCCTTAATCAAAAATCTGCTACTTAAATTTCGTCATATAATAGATTCGAAATCTATGATAGCCTATCATGGCAATTAAATATAGGAGGAAAGAACTTCTTATAAAAAGTATTTGAGACGCCAATTTATGCAAAGTCCTACAGTCGGAGGTTACTGCAGTAAAGTTTCGAATACCCAGGCTAACACTTCTACTCAAATCATACTCATGCGCAAGAGAGCAAAATGAGTACATACTTATGCTCACGGATAACACACAATATGTGGTATTTATATGTAGATCGCGAAAACGTTAGCAATTATGGACAAGTTTCAAAGGAAAAATACGTGTTAACAAATCGATGATCAAAGTCGAAAAAATAATCCGTTTGATATAAATATACTCGCGAAAACTTTAAGAATTATGACCAGGTGATCAAACGAAAAATACGTGTTAATAAATCGATAATTCAAAGGTAAAAACGTCATCCGTTTGATATAAATATACTAAAATCTTACTTACTTTAACCGATAAGTATGCGGATCGGTGAACGTTCAAGAGACAGAGCAGTGTGAAAGTGTCATAAAAATTTAATCCCCGCACGTACCTCTGCCTTTCTGAGTGACAGAAACGCAGGTTCAAGTCGCGTCAAGTGACGAGATCTTGTCGCCGACAGCCTTACCGCACGACGCCGCTGGTGCTGCCGGGCGCGAAAGTTCGCCGCGAGCCCGGCCCAACAGAGAGCTACTTGCGCCACCACCCCAACCCAGCAATGAGGGCGCCACCGCACCACGACTACCGCGACACTCTCATGAAGCAGAAGGTATCCGCACGTTCGACTTACGACAGGACAACACTGAATCTACACACAGAGATGCGGCGGCACATGTACACACACACACCTTTCTTTTTTTATAACTGATGTTAACGCTTTCAATCCCGAGACTATTAAAGCTCCATCGAACGCAGAATGGGTTCGGTTCAACTCCCATGTGGTCCCATATTGAATTCATTGATACTGGATCTTATTGGTACAACGAAACTGCATAGACATAACCAGGCGGTACCATAAAAAACGCAGATTTTTAAAGAAACTATTTAATAAAACATTACGTGTTCTATTGGTTATTAATTACAAAAAAAAAATCATTTTCCCAAATAAGGCTATATAATGAAACATAAACCAAACCTTATAAACAAATCTGAAAACTTCGTTTGAGTTTACGATTATGATGAGGAGAACATTGGTTCAAAATGAGCCAATTATGCGTTAAGCTATAATAGATAATAATAAGACTCTTTATTATTGCGGTAGTATTCATATGTACATATTGCACAGCAATTTCTATTACTATTGCTATTGCATTCATATTACCATAGAATTACTATTAGTTGGCATTATTGTGACATTGTTTATTCTTACGGTACACGCACGCTCACACACATATATACACCTGCAAATACTATGCTTAACCACCACTATATACTAGAATACTAATATGCTTTTGAAATGCACGCAGCGCCTGAGCACAGTAAGATTATTAATTGACGCGAAACAACGAACCATACGTTAAATATAGTTTATTTATTAAATTCAATATCAAAGAAAAATCCACACTTTTTGGAATCTATCATCATTTATCTGTGGTCTGTCTTAATGGCTTTTCAAAAGTTTTTTTTTTTATTTATTAAGTTCATGAAATAATGTGCGACAAAAAGCTTATTTTATTGAATTAGTAAAAAAAGAAAATAATAGAGGGCGTATTGGTTACATGTGAAATTTTTGAACAAACTCAGGTTGCCGAGTCGGTGTTGCAGCGAGTGGTTGGCGAAGAGGGCAATAAGGTGGTTCACTAAAGCGTTGTGTGATAGTTTCCACATCTGGCCGCTTTGAGCATGATAGCATTAAACTTCTGATACGAAGCCCTTCTTATTTTCATCTGACGTCGAACACGCATTGCAGGATATTTTAAATCAATGATAATGTTTGTACAAATACTTTCATTAAGCATGTATCATTATTCGATTTATCTTTTTTCATCAGAACGTTTTGAACGATAATCTAGAACATCGTAAAAGTTCATTCGACGTTAGTCATTTTGTAAAAAGCTATAAAGGTTGTATTGATAGCGAATGAATAAAAAAAGAAAACAACAGCTCATTTATTACTTATAAGCAACAAATAATCTAAAAATAATTTATAAGAGATATATAAAATAAAAAATAATATATTTTAAAATATATCCTCGCAATATTTGTTCCGTTTCTCAGTAACATGTGTCTATAAGCCGTCGTTGTTAAGCTTCAACTTTTTTTTTATATTGTATCATTTATATCATAAAAGTGAGGGCTGCTGCCTCATTCACCGTCATAATTTTTTACTTTTATGTTAATTTCATACTAGAGTAATTAAGTACTTGTCTTGAAGTCATATGTATCTAAAGGAAGTAACATGAATTTGACAAATTAATGTCACTTCAATACTATCGCAAGTAAACATTATTTTGTCAATTACAATGTTGGATTCACTAATTTGAAAATTAGGACAATTACGCAGTTATATCTAATTCATTGTCTTATAACGAATGTTTCTTTTACAATTTTGTAATAAATGGAAGCTAATTGATTTAATGTCTTTTCAGTTTGTGCACAAACAGTTCAACTCGCCCATCAATCTATATTCAGAACAAAACATCGCCAACTCGATCAGGCAACAAACAACGCCTCTGCCGTAAGTCTCTTTTCTTTTTACAATACCAGATATACACCCAATACATTGTTAACTATATTAAAGTAAACTTTTTAAATTATAAATCACTTTTTTTGTATACAAACAGAAGTACCGTTCATTTTTCAATTCAATCTCAAATACAGTCAATAAAAATTAGGTAACATTTATATGAACTACGGGTTAGCAATGAATTTCAAGAGCATGGGATAATGCCAAGTGACACCGCTTTACAAAATTTACTCCGTGTTTCAGTTCTCCTATGTGACGTATTTCAGAAATGTTTGCTGTACGTTTTAATTATATACAGTTAAATAATGGTTCCTCTACGGCTACTGTTTCCAATGAAAATATTTGTTTCTTCAATGACACCATACATGCATTGGATGTAATACATATACAGCGTGTCGTTACCACCGCGACAATAAATGAACACACATATAGAAGATAACTTTTTAAAATTGTATCAAACATTTACATTCTTTAAACATCAGTATTAACCCAGTTATTAAATTTTCCAAAACAAACAATTTTAGAACACCCTTATGTATAAAACTGTAACGTAAAGTTCATTTGTAAATTCATTTGGGTTGAATGAATTTAAAAGAGACAAAACATACTGTTAGAAGGAGAAGCTTGTAACGCGACGCTGTGGCGCGAGTTGTATAGGATGATACAAATTTTGTTTCTTTTTTACTTAATTAGTTTGTTTGAAAAATATTTTTTTTAATTATGGATTTTGTTTAACGTTAATATTTTTTTTATGATTATTGGCAAGTAGCGTGAGACGTGTGTTCATTTATTGTCGCGATGGTAACGACACGCTGTAGGTAATACCAACAAATTAATATCAGAATTCTTATTATTCTATAAACATGTAGCAGGTCTTGTAATTTACGTCATATTAGACATATTTAATAATCTGTGTGCATTTGATACGTTTCTTTTTTTTAAATGACATTTACATAGAAAAGCAGTTTTTAACCATAATCATTTTTGCTAGACATAATTATGTATTAATAGAGTATTTCTCTGCTCACTTAGCTCTAACGGCCATTACGCGCGGCCGCACGTTGTCAAGAGGCAAGTGTTTTACTAGAAACACAAAAAAAACAGTCGACGCCCATCTCTCATGACGCATTAATGCTTATTTATTTATTTATTTATAATTTCGCTCTCTACTGTCTGTAATCTACTTCGGCTACTTCTCACCGCACACCGACCACATACAGCATGGTGTAAACGATCGACATTTTGCTAATTGGTGACAAAAAAAATTAAAAAAAAAACAACAAAGTGTCAAAATGGAACATCACACAGCGCACCATGCGACACGCACTCACACGTAGCGGACTAGCCCTCAGTAGATTTGGCACTTCACTGTATATTAATTTTAGTGTCTAATATTACTCTGTACGATTAACGTTGGCCCCTCCACTCGTCCCGAACGCTGAGCGCGCTCGAACTAACCGCTTCCGGCGACGAGGTCTAATTCCCTTCTGTTTATTACGCTGCGCCCGCTAACCGACTAAAACCAAACGCCCCCCGCCGCCGCCCGTGCAGCCACAAGCCGACGCTGCTCTACGACCCCGCCAAGTCGGAGACGTACCGCGCGCTGCAAGAGCAAGAGCACGGTGACGGCGGCGAAGCGCTCGAACAGCCGGCTCCCGCGCAGACCAAGCTCTTCACGGCGCCCCCCAACAAGGTATTGCGGCCAGTTTGCGCACTTTTAAAACTTTAGCTTAGATTACGGACGCTGTCTAAAAACTTTAGCTTTGAGCCCAGACGCTGTCTGCTTAGCTCACGAGATGTGAACGTTCTCGGTCTGGACCTGTTTGCGCTCTACTAAAACTTTAGCTTGGAGTACGGATGCCGTCCACTTAGCTCACCAGACGAGATGTGAACGGGCTAGGTCGCGTGATAGTGTGTGGGGACATACACACCCGACCCGTCTTAAATATTGCCAAAACACCTCTTTCTAAAAGTCAGATCTTAATTAATTATAACAGTTCAACCTTATCTTAATATGTTGACTTCTTCACTTGCTTTATAAAACATCACTGTTTTTAACACCATGTCAAACAATGATACTTGATCATGAAATAAAATCTATATTATACTCCCTTTAAAGCTAATTCCAATATTATAAAACGATAATATACATCACGAACGATAAAAATAATGGAACTCATGTCAACAGAGGCCGACGCCCACTCCGAAACCAACGAAGCAACCAGAGGCGAACTCCAATGGAAAGCAAACAACCTTCGTAAGTTATACACAAAGAAATTTATTCATCAAAAAACACAGGTCATAGGAATATTTGAAAAGAGATACTACAATGCACTGTTTGAGTATATACGTTATTGGTTGTTATTAATTTCAGGTGAATTCGTTACAAGAAGAGCATATCCAGCAGTCTAACTCGTTCAAACGCCTCATGTACAACGTGCTCGGCGACACGGAGTTCTAAGACGGGACTTTAAGCCATATAAAACAGTTAATGTATGAACGTGCCAAAAAGACTTGGAAGACGTATGCTTTTACGAATCTTAAGCGCCTTGCAGATTGCGTATTAATTACTTATGAATTCCTTAAAATACATGTAATTTTTTCCGATCAAAATATTGTGCATCCATTAACTGATTTATATTATTTCAATTCGAATCCAAAGCGGTTAGAGAGCGCCGCGTATTTAGATATTTCACTTATTCGTTACGAAGTAAAGACTAACATGATTAATTTAGGATGCTAAAAATATACAATGCTCCTGACAGTGTGTATTGTTGGTTTCGATGGATTTTAATTATTCTAATACTCGAGTATTAGTCATGTAATTTTACAATAAGTAGACAAGTAACTTTAATGTACTAAGTGTTGATTTTCTGTTTGTACAGAAATATAATTGTTTATCTATACCTAAGAAATGTTGAGTGTACAGTCTAGTCACGACGACCCGAGCTCTGGTCGTAACACGCGTATGTGATTCGATCATATTGAATAAATTATTTATTTTATGTAACCTTGCGTTTTATTTGTTTAGTCTTTGGCGAAATAAAACATTAAAAATCTCAAAATACCTATATTTATAACCTGGAGTTAACAATTTACATAACAAAATAAAATACAGTCTTACAAATTTCATGAATGATAAGTACACAGATCTAAGGAGGAAATTTTTTGAGTAAACATAAAAAAAAGCTTAACAAAATATATCACAATATATAGACATGGGTGCCGCCTCACGTTTCGTTTCATATGACACGAACAAATGAATAACGAATAACTATACATAAAAATAAAAACTCATCATTAAATTAAGGCACTACCAACATTATAAAAACTCATAGTAAACAAATGCTTCCTAATTCTCTCCCCGCATAATATAGTCGAACAATGAGATGAATTATTATTAGTTACCCAAGACTATTACAACATCGATCTATATACAAGTCTCCGATTAATTGTGGCGTAATTATGTGATATGTAACAGATGATGTAAGTACGCAAAAAGTGCTTTAAAACATGTAATAACTGAAGACATCTCCAAGCACCCAATTATCATTACTTATTCGTAACTTTATCTATAAATATACACTAGTTTGAGGATTCCGCGCTTGAAAGTTTATTTATACCTCGTCGCAAGAGACACACCATAATGCACGAAGAAGATCAATATTTTTGGAAGAACTCGGCTAAAACGAACCCTTAAAACATATTTTACGTTAACGAACAATACAATATTGAAATATGAAGGGTGTTAGAAGTTCTAACACCTGCATGATCGTGCAAGTTAAACAATACGCGCAAAAGCTCTAACAATAAGTGGGAAAATATAAAAAGCAAATAAGGAAATTAAACATGTAATTTGCATTGGGTCTGTACATTATGTTATTGCCCGCTATTATAATATCAATAAAATGTAACTTTTAGTGCTGAACCCAGCTTTATGAAGATTATATATATAATCACAAATATTGCATAAACAATACAATTAATCTGATCTAGCTCGTATAACATGTGGGTATGCTCTCTATCTATAACAAAAATAGGCGGGGTAGAAAAACTGATTTCCTAGATTAATAAAAGAACAAAAATCAATTGCATTTTAAGAAAATATTTGTTTTTAATTCCAATTTAAATGTCTGAAGTGATGAGATTATGAACTACAAACATTATGACCCACCTCTAGATTAATGTACATAAATTTAAAAGCATTTTCTTTTATTTTTAAATAATACAGCGATCACCTAAAAAATTGTGGTCACTTGACAGTATTGAAGAACGCAAAGGAACCGGTCTGTATGTAGCACCAAATGCCAAGCCATTGATTGACAATCTATTTACAAATAGCTAGGTTTACGTGATGTTTGATTCGACAATACTTATTATCTAACGGAAAATGAGTCGCAAGTCCAAATATTTGTAAATCGATGGCAATTTAGAAAATAAGAAAATTCATTAAAGTGTAGGGATGTTGAAAGTTTCTATATATATCAACATTTTCAGCCGATATATTTGCATCTGATATATCTATACAGATTAATCATTGATTATTTCGTATAGATATATCGGCTGAAAATATATTATTTATTATCGTATCTAAAACAATATTTTTTCAAATTGGAATCCGGGACAGAATCCGTAGGTATGTCAAGTATTTAATACTTGATATACCTTATTTTTGACAAAGGTTTCTAGGACTATATCTGTCTATATCGATATTTTTTCCTCGATATATCGTGGTCGATATTGTTTTTTTTTTTTTTTAAATAAATATCTAAATATCGACACTACCGACATCCCTATTAAAATGGTCTTTGCCTACTAATAAAAAACAACTGCGGTAAAATAAACATATAATTAAGTCGTTAATAGAAAGCAAGCCTCAAAAATATCATCAATTTAATATAAATCGTATCGAAAATATTATACATAAATTTATAAGGATGAAAAAAGTGATTTATACAAGAAATCAGGAAAAATTTAAGCGGATTTGGCCTTTACGTTCAAATTAAGATAAACATTTAAATAGCTCAGATTGGTTTCATCATTTATAATCAAAATACATTCATTTCTAAGAAGTATGTACAAGTCAAATTTTAACATTGGTATTTATTACGTATCACGATAATTCTACAAAGCACATGTTATTACGCCTTTAATATTTTAAGGGTAAAGATGCAGATTGGCGGCACAGGTTATTTCTCTTATAAATATTTTTAAACGATAAAAAAACATACTCTTTACATAAATTATAAAACCAAAATCTACGGAAACTATAGATTTTCAGAAAATAATGATTTATCATGCAGTTTTAAACTGAATATTTTTTATTACTTTACGTACAACGTATACATACTCATGTCGATTGTTTGATTTCTTTTTAGTTAACGAGTCATAGATCCGACACAGAGCAATCAGACACGGACATGTTAGGTTAGACTTAGAACCAACCACACAATTTTTTTAGAACCCCCCAGAAATAGGAGCTTAAAAAATATTGATTATCTGTGGTGTTTCTGTAAGACGAAGCTGTGAATGATTTTTGTATTGGCGCGCTAATATTAACTTTAATGCACGATGTTAATGTGTAAAATATAAAAATAGAAATGTGTCTGTGATATGTTATTTAAGTATCCTGTATCACTATGTAACATCCATCAAAGTAAAAACGTAAGTTTAGTAGTTTTTTTGTATTAGTATTGTATTTCCGTAATGGGGTGAATAAGATTTAATATTTATTTTTTATGATTAGTAGCTAATATCATAGACTTTTACTCTTAACATCTAATTATGGCTACGTTTTTTTTATCGTTTAATAATATTTTTAAGAGAAAAAGCCTGTGCCGCTAATCAACATTTTAAGTTTATAAAAATGACAACAAGCGAACGATGGTCGAAATGGATAAGATGAAAAAGTGTTTTTCCGTTACGACATGGTACAGAATGTTATCAGATAAGCCACTAACTTTACAGACTAAGCAAAATAAAAGAGAGTCTGACTTTAAAAAACAAAATATTTTAAAATTGTATGAGATCCATGTTCTTTTTAATAAATAAGACCAACGCGTGTGACATACTATGATAGTTTAATATTCGTTTTTTTTTTATTGAGATCAATCGAATTTATATTGGTCAAAATGTTATTTGCATTAATAAATGGCGAAAACAAGATAACATTTAAATATTTTGATCGCGCGTTTTTGTATGTTTTATCAATAGTGCAAAGAAACACGAATGAGAATTTATTAAAATTTAACGAGCTGCTATCAAGAATATTAAAACTTGGGACTAGATAAACCTTACGGACGGATTTTAATGGAATTTATAGTTTTGCTTTTATATTCATTAATTTCTTTTATATACAATTTTTATGCCCGCCATTTTCTCATAGCTAGACTAAGTAGCTATTAGAATTTGTATAATCGGGTACTTGACTTTTTTAAGTCCTTTCTAAATTGTTTTTCGATAATTCTCGGTAACCGCTCATTAAATAAAAAAAAACATTTTGGACATAATGTAAACTATCTCATGATTTTTGTCGTAATAAAATTCAAACAATATGATAATGTTACTCTAAATCCATCAAAATATCTAAATCCATCTAATTCCATCAAAATGTATTGTTCATTGGACTCAGATAACTCGAACGATGACAATGTGTGTATTGAATCAGTAGGTATGTATTATAATTATTTACAAAATGGTTATTATATACATTATTTGTTCAAACAATTATAAAATGTGCCATTTACGGCTACCCAATCATTGTCAAGTATTTTACAACTGGTGTTAGCTGGTCAATCGGGACAGAGAATGCGGATTATTGCTTTTATTGATAAGAATCAACAAATTCCTTTTATCAATTATTCCAATTTCTTAATTAGTACAGAGAACATACAAAAAATTTATTTCAAATCAAGTCTTGTTTATTTCTATTTAATGATTATCTAAGAAACTTAAAAAAATCTACATTTCGATTGCAGTCAGATTGAAGTCCTGTTCTGCATTCTGCATCCCAATTTACTTTCTTATAAAATAATCTGTTTCATCATTCACCAACATCTAATGAACTTGACAAAATTATGCCAGTTCGAACCTTATTTATTGCTTTCCCAATTTCTTCAGTTGTCAGATTTAAATGTTTTTTTAGATTCCGATTTTCCAACAAAAAATCTGCTAAAGAAAGACAGTTCATAATGCAGCAATTCAAAAGCACTTTCGTATCGATATCTATCGTATTTAATTTAGAAAACTCATCAAGTTAATTTTATATTTCAAAATTCTTTTTCTGTTTTATTGCAAATGACAAGCCTCTTTTCTGTTTATACATTCATTATAGAGAAGTGGTTTCATTAAAAAATTAGCACCCAATGTAATTTCTAAAAAAGAATAATTGAATTCTAGATTGTAACCAAATATTTGTTTGTTTTAACCGACTTCAAAAAAGGAGGATGATCTCAATTCTTAATAAACTAATTCAATTGGAAATCAGTATGATATTTGCTTATAACTTTTGACGGAAATAAAAAAAGTAATGTCTTAGTTTAGCCAACATATTAAGCTCCTATTCTGAATTTTTGAAAAAAAAACTATATAAATAGGATTTGTTTTATCTATATAAATAAATAAAACAAATTCCAATTCACTTAAAAATTGTACCCACTATATAATTACACAATTTTTTAACTTTGAATCAGATTAAACCTAATATGTGGGATTCAAACAGAGAAATATATACATAGCAGATTATAGTTATATCGGTTCATTCAAATCACAACATAATTTGTGAACAGTGCTTGAAATACACTTCCTTTTATACAAACTCCCAGCATCACACGTCGTCGCATCAATTATTAAAATATAGACTACTAATTTCCCAATACGAACTTCGTCCTTGCCACTTTCCAATCGCCGCACCGAACAATGGCCAATTGCCGCGACACGTCGTCATTTCAATATCCAACTACTGAGATCTCCCCAGTCATATCAATTTCAGTCATTAATTCATTATTACTCCACCGAACGTTACAAACCGAAGCGGCAGTATCATAACGCGTAGTTGAAGCACGAGCATCAGCGTCCGACTTAATTCACGACCCACTCAAGTCCGACCTGCGATGGGGCCACGGTACTTTCTAGAACTCTATCCTATAGAGGCAAGGCTCATGACGACATGACGTCGCTAGTACACGGTGTCGTCGGGGTAGAGTAAGAGCGGCGGCAGAGAGCGGCGCGCGGGGCGGAACTCTCAGGAGCCCTGCTCCTGCGCAGCGGTGGGGGGCGCGTGCGTCGCTTGGGTCACGAGCGTCGCTTGGGTCACGTGCGGCGCGTGGGTCACGAGCGTCGCGTGGGTCACGTGCGGCGTGTGGGTCACGTGCGCGGTGAGCGGCGCGTGGGCGTGGGCGTGGGCGGGCGCCGGCAGCAAGCTCTCGCGGCTGGCCCGCAGGTTGGGCAGCGAGCGGGCCGCGCGCGCCTCCCTCCTCGCCTCCAAGGCCAGCAGCTCCCTTATGTCCGCCTCGAGCGGGTCCACGCTGATGTGGTAGACGCCTCCCTGTCATCAGATCGAAACGATATTTATCCTTTGTTAAATAAAACAATTTTGAGGTTTTTCAAATGCAGTAATTTCAAACAATTTATGCTGAACATGGTCGAGGGACATACTGGTGTTATTAAGCTATTTTTAAAAGACATATCTGAGTAGATAGATCATTTGATTTTTATAATATTTGGACTTGACACGCTCTGCAAATGTCGAGTTGACTAAACCTACGCAAGCATGCACGTCCCAGCCGCAATTTAATTTTGGAGCGGCTAAAAACGCGCAATATTTAAATAAGTTCTATTATTTACTATAGCATCACATTTATAATGGTGTAAATTGGTGATTCCCGATTATTCGGCTTACTTATACAGCGTGTCGTTTCCATCGCGACAATAAATGAACACACATATAGGGGATAACTTTTTAAAGTTGTATTAAACATTTAAATTCTTTAAACATCAATATTTACAGAGTTATATTTTCCAAAACAAAGAATTTTAGAACAGCCTTACCTATAAAAGCGTAACGTAAAGTTCATTTGTAAAGGTCACAAAGCATATGAATGGGTTGAATGAATTTAAAAGAGACAAAACATACTGTTAGAATGAGAGGCTTGTAATACGACGCTGTGGCGCGAGTTGTATAGAATGTTACAAATTTTGTTTCTTTTTTACTTAATTAGTTTGTTTGAAAAATATTTTTTTTTAATTATGGATTTTGTTTAACGTTTATATTTTTTATGATTATTGGCAAGTAGCGTTAGACGTGTGTTCATTTATTGTCGCGATGGTAACGACACGCTGTATATACCTATTTAGTTACGTACCTTTTATCATATATACTACAACTTGAAAATGAGCAAGCTACAAGTTATTTACTATTTACATTGTAACATGGTGCTCGTGACAAGTTGACAAAAGTGACAAGAGTTTGACATAACTAGAGATTGAAGAACTTTTACTCGAATTAATAAATTTCGATTATTGATTCTTAGAACCTATTATTTCGTATCTATTGAACTGAAAAAAACATTCGAAAAAAACCGAATATATTACAGTCATTATAATAAATAGGATAAACTCAGACCTTAACACATCCACCACAAAATCGTTACTTACCGTGAACCACACAGATCATGCCATAGACGCCTAGATGTTTGTACAGAACTTTTTGAGAATGTTGTGTCAGAAATAAATTAATGTATATGCGCAATGACTGACTATAATCTTAAAAGCAGGGCCGGATTTAGGCGAGGGCAATCGGTGCAACAGCCCCGGGGCCTCCACAAAAGACTTACAATAGACTTCGGAAAAAAAATTCAAATTCCAGATTAGTAAAAACAAGTAAAAAAATTTTCATTTTAGATAAAAAAATAGGCTTCGAACTACAATAGGACTGAAAAAAAATTATTCATTTTATTTGGAAAATAATTTGCGGCCAAGGGGTATCCACTCATTTGTTGCCCCGAGGCCTCGCTCTCGTTTAAAACAAATGTTGGGCCAAAGAAACAAGATATTAATATACGATTCAATTTTACGCTACATGCACATACATAATCAGATATTTTAAATTTTGTGCAGTTGCATACTTTACTCGATGATACTATATTCGTGCGCGTGACACACACAAAGGCAATAAAAAGATTTTGTTGAAGTCCACGCTCTTGTTCGATGTATCGACAACATCGACGTAATATATCTATATATTAGCTCATCGGAATGTGCCTTCGCGTCGCGGGCCTACCTCGACGGCGGGCGCGGCCGAAGCGACGAGCGGCGGCGGGGCGTGGCCGTGCGCGCGTGCGGCCGCGGGCGATTCGTGCGTGTGCGAGTGCGCGTCCGAGTGGCGGCGCGGCTCGAGCGCGGACAGGCGGCGCGGGTTGGCGCGGTAGCTCTCGAAGCCGCCGCTCTCGTCCTCCTCGCGGTAGGCGGCCGGCGGCGGCGGCTCGACGCTCGCGACCGCCTGCGCGCGCCCGCCCCGCTCGCGCCGCTTGCACCGCGCCGGCGGCGAACCGCCCATCGGCAGCTTCTCGGGCGCGTTCTGGATCAGCAGGATCCTGGGACGCGGACGCGGTATATTATCATCTTTGTCGCATCGCGAACGTCGTAGTGGGGTCTAATTTGGACGCTAGGTTTCACGACAATCATGATTGAGTGCGAATGCGTACGGAGTATTTAGAAATATTGAAAAGTCGAAAAAATCGTTACTCGCTGATTCGTTCGACGAACTCACGTGTGAATAGCGAACCGCAATCGCCTTTAAATATTACTCGGAAATTAAGATTTTTAAGTTTATTTAATGATTTGAACTCGTTGCCTAGCAAGACGCGTTCGAGGAACGAATGTATGTGCGATTGATGCTCAAACTAAAATCTGTTACTTAATTAAAAAAATTAATATCTTTTTGCATTTAATAAATGCTGGCTACAAAATTGAATTGAATATTTAATATTTTTGTATATTTAAAAAAGTTATTTTTAATAATTTATGGAGTTTATGGTCTTAAAGAAAAATTAAAAGACGATTCAGTAATTTTAGAAATAACACGTTAGATGAAAAGAAACCAAATCTCAACACTATGTACTATACATGGGAAAAAGGTTTATTTAGTATTATTTACCACAGATCAAAAATACCTATGAACAAAAACGAAAGCAACACGAATGTTCAGAGTTACGCAACCGAACACAAACATTGTCACTTTGAGCATCATAGGCACATTACACTAACATACATATGTTCGTTTCATGCCTAATTTAAGGCAGTACGTGCCTCGCCAATTTTTGTATCGCGTATTCTTTATACCATTTTATACCATATACCATACCAATACACAGCGTGTCGCTACCATCGCGACAATAAATGAACACACGTCTAACGCTATACGCCAATAATCATAAAAAAATATTAAATTTAAACAAAATCCATAATTACAAAAAAATATTTTTCAAACAAACTAATTAAGTAAAAAAGAAACAAAATTTGTAACATCCTATACAACTCGCGCCACAGCGTCGTATTACAAGCCTCTCCTTCTAACAGTATATTTTGTCTCTTTTAAATTCATTCAACCCATTCATATGCTTTGTGACCTCTACAAATGAACTTTACGTTACGCTTTTATAGGTGAGGGTGTTCTAAAATTCTTTGTTTTGGAAAATTGTCGCGATGGTAACGACACGCTGTATATCAAAACTTGGAGGTCATATGTGAATGTCATTAAAATTTTTAATATAGTATCTTTCGTATTGAAGAGGAACAATGTTTACAATAATAAGGGTCATGGCGATATCTAATACAAATATATCAATACTAAGTATTTACAATTATAAGTTAACTTGTACATCCATTTTTTGAAATACTATCTATATTATGGCCAATGATTTATATTATTTCTTCCCATTAAAATTCACAGCATGTTTTTTTTTTCAATATTTTAAAGAATTTAATTAAATAAAAATGACTTGTATAACAATTTGCTTCAACGTAACTCGAAGTCAACGCATTTGCATTGTGGCAAACCTGTATGCAATATACAGCGTGTCTTTACAATCGCGACAATAAATGAACACACATTTATAGACGATAACTTTTTAAAATTGTATTAAACATTTACATTCTTTAAATATCAATATTTACCGAGTTATTAAATTTTACAAAACAAACAATTTTAGAACACCCTTACGTATAAAACTTCATTTGTAAAGGTCACAAAGCATATGAATGGGTTGAATGAATTTAAAAGAGACAAAACATACTGTTAGAAGGAGAGGCTAGTAATGCGACACTGTAGCAACGAACGAAAAAGTCTCGGAATGTATGAATTTGTCATTTGTAGTTGTATAGGTGTTACAAATCTTGTTTCTTTTTTACTAATTAGTTTGTTTGAAATTTTTTTTAATTATGGATTTTTTAACGTTAATATTTTTTATGATTATAGGCAAGTATCGTTAGTCGAGTGTTAATTTATTGTCGCGATGGTAACGACACGCTATATATTATTATGGACACATCTCTATTTAAATCAAATTAAATATGCAAAACAGACAGACTTAAATTAAAAAGCGATCATCGTTAAAGCTTATTTATCGTTATATCGTTGTTTAAAAATACACGATGAACAAGCATACGAAAAAGATCTCGACTGCATTAAATAGACCATCTGTTGCTCAATTTTATCTTTCTATTATGTAAATAATAATTACGAATGTAATGACATCTCATATTTTGAAATTCTTCAAAAGATTTGGTCTATAGAGCAAGCCAAAGAATTAGACATATTATATGCATACTTGCGTTCAGATAACTTTAACCTTCCTCGGCAGTCTGTTGCGTGTTGCGGACTGTTGCATGGCCCATGGTAGGGCCACGTAGCAGTCTTCTGTTGCAGGAATGGGCAGATCCGTTCGGGTAAGTACTACGACCTCACGGGTGACCGCCGTGAAGTGGAAGTGTAATACTTGTTCGTTTCGTCTGGTGAGTGAGGTAGCCGGGGACGGCTTTATTAAAAGGTAGCAACGGATCTGCAACCCTATGGGTATTATAAATGTCAATTGGCGGCGGTTTTCACTTAACATCAGGTGTACCATCAGCTCCTTTGCCACCGCCTCCCATAAACTTAAAAAAACCCGAAGAACGGACGCAAATGAATATTTTACCGAAATTAAAAAAAGTGATTCTAAAAACTAACAAAAACATTATAAGCAGATAATTTTTCATACCTATTGTGCGCTCTCCATCTATTGCAGAGGTGCAGGTACTGACGGCATTGTATATACATGAACACAGCGCCACCCGTGAAACCCACCGCAACGACCACCAGTTTCGTCCAAAAGGGCCATGCTGTGAGAACCATAATGGTAATCATCATGAAATATGATGAGAATGTTGAATAAGAAATATGTGCTGGAATGTAGGCATCATTGCTTGGTATTGGCAATCGCTTTACAGAGAAGAGAAAACATAGCCAGGTTTTCTACACAACTTGAAAAAATACCCGACTTGTATTTATTACATATACATTTAGGACAATTTAAAACTTAACAAAATAACGAATTACCCTAAGGCACTGAAAAAACTCTTCTTTTACAGCTATATTTATGTTAATAGATGAAAAGGAAGATCCCCTGCAACCTGCTTCATACAGAATACTTCATTTGAATGTTGTTATAACCTTTCACACAACATTTTTACTACGGCTTACCTTAAATTTATTATATTAACCTTTAGCTTTTGCAAATCATGGTTTTCAGAAAAAAAAAATGGAGGCCCTATTTATCAGATATTAGCAATAGCTTTTTTCACCTTTTTTCTAAACTTTTATTATTTTAATAAGAACAAAATGTAAAGCAAAACAAGACTTAATTTTATTATGAACAAAATAGTTTAAGGGTGGCAATCATATGTAACTGATTAGAGCTGACATAAAATAATCACATAGCAGATAAACAACAATACAACAAATATGAATAGAAAAGGCTAACTTTTACCAATAAGACCACGGTTGACCTCTTCTACTGCTCGCTCAATAAGGACAAACAATGACCACATAACGCAAAGAGCGGCAACACAGTGAAACAAAACAGCGCAGCATAATCTACGCCGTTCCACACCCGACATCTCAAGTAACCGCCACTGTAAAAATAGAAGCACATATAAAGCTTATGATCTCATCATCATAAAATTATTAAAAAGCAATATTTAATCACGGTGGTAGGGCCACTCAGCAGTCTCGGCTGTTGCACAAATGGGTAGGCTCGTCCAGATAAGTACCACAAACTCTCAGAAGACCCGCGTAAAGTGGAACTATTATACTTTCGCGTTTCGTCTGGTGAGTGAGGTGGCCAGAGCCCAATTTTCAAGAGGTTGTCAACGCATCTGGAACCCTCGCGTAAAGCAGATGGCCATGGGCGGTACTATTCACTTAACATCAGGTGAACTGTCTGTTCGTTTGGCAACTTTTCACATTTAAAAAAACACATGTTGCAAATGTCTGTGGTAAAGTGATCTCAAACAAATAACCACTTAAGGGAAATTTCTTCCCTACTAAAGGAAGCTACCCATGCCACTTCAGCCTCAATACTCCATAAGGCATTCAAATAAAGTTTTGGTTTATCTTGCATTAGATACATAAATTACACATGGATGCATTAACAAATTATAACCATTTTCAAGTAAATAATGATGTACAATGATAATCCTTCTTTTTTCATAAAAATTTAAATGATAATTGAAATTATTTTCAATGATTGTTACTATTAAAATCATATACAACTGTAACAATCTCATTAACATGATGCTGTTAAATTGAAAATATTTCACAACTTCCTGATTTACGGCAAACATTTAAGAACACATCTAACTATTAAAAGAATGAAACAAATATAGCAACTTTAAATATAAACTTACTTCATTGAATGGTTTTATTTTTGTATGCATAATGAAATTGAACTTGCACAATTCACATGATCTAGTTTCTGATGCTGTCAACCATTGCTGCAAGCAACTCTGATGAACATATTTAAGACTACCTGTAAATAACAGCGAACAAAGTTTTATATGTAACAGTTCATTGCCAAAGAAATCAGTAACATTCTTTTTTTCATGGCTGTAGTGGTATAAATGCTATGCTCAAGTATAAAATGTTATTAAAAATCATTAACTGATAACTAACCAGAAATATTGCAGGAGATTACTTAATTCTACCTTTACTTAATGTTGAATAATATCATGAATGGTTGCATTTATTATTGGTTTACATGATGGATGCATTAAAATAAAAACAAGCATGAAAGCGAAAAAAAAAGAACTCAATGTACCAAATTTCTCTGAAGTTTTCCTTAATCTAGTTGACATTCTAAAATATATTGACATGGATATGAAACAGTCATACTATAAGATTTGTCAATTTGATATTTCATTGTTACAACTCTCACCCATTAATCACTGATTACTTATTGCATTTTAGTAACAATTTGCAACATATTTCATATTTTTCGTAACAGTTTTTTTGAATACTAGCGAAAATACTAACATAAAACCGGCCAAGTGCGAGTCAAACTCATGCTCGAAGAGTTCCATACTATTTTCTATAAAAACGGCAAAAACTCATATTTGTTGTTTGGGAGCCCCTTTAACTATTTTTTATTTTATTCTGTTTTTTAGTATTTGTTGTTATAACGCAACTGAAATACATCATGTCTGAAAAATTCAACTGCCTAACTATCACAGTTCATGAGATACAGTCTGGCGACAGACAAATACACAGACAGTGGAGTCATACTAATAGGGTCCCATATAATTTAAATAAGTTATTTAGTTTTTGTAAGTTAAACTCATCAAATAAAGAAACTTGTTGAACATATTATGTTACCTGTATATTTTAATATTTATAGAATTTTATATGGAAGGGAAACACATATCATATTAAAATTAATAGGAAATATGAACATAAATACAGTAACTATATAGAAAAACCAAATAGGAAATACAGTAACTACTTATGTATGAGAAGGTAAAATTCTTCTTGTCAAAACTAACTAAAGAGTGTTTAGGTAATTATAAATTAATAAATACAATATAATTAATCAATAATAATTATTGTCATTAAACAAATAAAGAAAAGCGACTTAACTATGAGGTTAAATTAATAAATTTAAACAATAAAACTTTAATAGTACTTAGTACCTCTATAATTATGTTTATACCTTTGGATTCAACACTACACAGACATTTCACTAATGTTCATTCAATTTAATATTTCATTCTGTGTTAAATTCTATTTAAATGTTAAATTTTAAAATACTTAAAACAATGTAGGTATGTTAACTAAATTAAACATTTTATATAGTATAAGAGTACCTTTATATTTCTTAATTTAAGAACTTTAACTAAGAACAGCTGTTAAGCATCAGGCTCAAAAATAAATAATGCCTATGACTAAATTGTACAATGTTATATCTACAACTTAGATAAATGCTTATAAAAGGATATAAAAAGAAACCAAACTTACCAGAGCAGTAGCATGGTGCCAGTAAGGGATTATGAGGTTCACTCTCGCAGTGGCAAATACGACAGATGTCACCACTAGAATTACTACATGACGTGCGGCTGCTTCCCGATCCTGCCCGGACTGCTTCTCTTCCACATCCACCACCCCATTCCCAACTTTCGATATCCGACGAATTCTTAACGTTAATTTGCTGAACTGGCATTATGTACCGCCGTAGTTAACATTCAAAGCGGCTCACGTAACATAATATTAGACCTCATTTAGTAGATACTAAAATAAGATTGTGATCACATCGCGTATTGACAAAGCAGATATTAAGAAACATGTCATCCCTTATTTGCTACTATAAAAAAAATATTAAATTTTAAAACAGGTAAAAATATGTGGTATGTGCACTGAAAAGAAACTTTAACACGATAAACGATTGCAATGCCCCTATTTACTCTTGATTAAACAACATTCAACAAGGAACGACAAAAACATCAATAGCTGCATGATACATAGATTATATAAAAATATATTCCCATTTCCCATATTCTATTTTCTGTGTTCACTGGTGAACTGCAAGTGACTTCAAGTCTGGCTGGGCCTGTCAACATTGTTCTATGAACAGAATGTAGGAGGGCCAGAAAACAAGAGAGAGACAACGATATTAAACTAAAAGAGATGAATTTACTGAATTTAGACATTAATATGATGTTGCCACCAAAAATACAACTTCGTATTCTCCATAATAATGAGTTAAAAATTTATTTTTAAAGTAAAATACCCTCAAATATAATTATCTTTTGCTATTGTTCGGGTTTCGAAACAAATATATTTTATTAATAAATATAGCATATTTAACTGATAACTACATAATAACAAAATATTTGGCGATATTGATTGGCAATAATTGTTTGTACCAATATTTATTTGCAATAAATAAACTACTTCCATTTGATTTTACATACATTAGTAGAGTTGAGTTGAGCCTCCTCCGCCGCGGCGGTGTTTTGATGAAATTAAGTGTGCTGTGTGTATTTGTGAGACATAGACTCGGTGTATGGTTAATTTAGCAATAACTATTGACATCACAGAAAGAGAACTCTAAAATATGTTGCATGTATGGATCTTCGCCATCTAAAGATCCCAGCGTCACTTTATTTCGGTTCCCAAAGCCTGGCTCAAACATTGCTCTGCGGTATGTACCTACTTCTGTACTTTCAATGCTATTAGTTTTAAACGACTTGGAATTAAGAATAACACACCACAACTATTGTCAATGTATTTGATTTGATACCCTTTGCTTATGTATTAAGCTTTGCAAAATGATGTTCCGTTGCACCTAATTTCAAAGTCGTATAAAAAAAACTACTCGTTTTCTAAGGGTAAGGGGTGTGTCGTTTGAATAGGACGAACAATCCCTATAAAAAACAACCCTTATCAAACCTAAATTCGGGATGCGAATTTATAATGCCCACCCGGAATATGATTATTATGGTATGTAATTTTGATATTTTTAAATTGACAGGATCAGAATTATGGGCAAAGTTTTGCTTCCCAAATGAAGCCTGGTCTTCGCCAAAGTTCCAGGACGGACTATATTCTAAACATAAGGTGCTTTGCAACAAAGTTATTGAAAAGAAGTTGTTCAGATGAGAGCTGTACCTGATGTTCAATCCCATAAGGTTGGTACAATAAACAATTAAAAAGTTTATTTAAAACACCTTTATTACAGAGAAATACTGACATTATGTTGTATATACGGGGCACTATACAATTATTGAAAATTTCGGTATTAGTTTCCATTACCACAATTTGATTTTCGAGCTAACAAAAAACTTTTTTCGATGAAGAAAAATTACTAATGAAATAATCAACACGTGGAATTATCTGCTCGCTCACCGCAGCCCGCGAGGCCAAGAGAAGCGAAGGGGTGAGGTGGCGAGTGAAGTGAGCCGGCGAGATCCGTAGCGGAGCGAAGGCCGAGTGGGTGAAGCGACACTCAGGGGCGACATAGTGAGTGTTCTGGCGAAGCACGTGGAAGAGTCAAATTTAATAATGAAATAATAAATATAGAAATATGAATATTTCTTTTACATTAAACAAAAAGTTAAAATTTATGAAAGGTGAATATTTCGTATGTAAAAAACTTCGTAATATCATTAAAAAAAATTAAAGAAAAATTCACGATTAATCTTAATCAGATAAGGCTTATAGTAAGTATAAGGCAGATATATAAAAATGTGCAATTACGAAAAAACCTATCAATTTGTGTTAAATAGACTTGAAATTAATTTATACTACTGATTAAAAAGATTTTATAAAATTTGTAATCGAGTTCCAAATCGATATTAGCATATTGGCTGTATTGATATTTGAGTTCATAATATATTGAATTTAAAAAGATAAGTATTTCCCGTTCTTTACAATTTCCTATTTAATATTCGTATTTGTAATGGTGGGTGGATAATATGTATGTACATATTGTAATCTAGATTTTATTTCTTTTTATAAAATTTTATTAGAATCTGAATCAGATCGTTCAGTATTTTTAATTTTTTTTTGTGTCGTCATGGTGTTCTTGTACAAAAGTTTTGTTTGTTTAAAGTGTGGACAAGACTGTTTTTCATTTACCACAACGGAAAGTTTTTAGATGTTACAATGTAATAATTAAACCAAAGACGAAGAAGCGTCAGTGTTTTTTATTAATGCGAGATTACCATTTGAAAAAGTGTGGGACTTCAAATATGTATGTATTTTTAACAAAAAGTCCTTTAGTAGGTTTATATCTAAAATGTTGTCAATAACAAAAGTTAGGACTTTCTTAGTGAAAATAACGAGTTTTAAATAATTTTTTTCTCGTAAACTATACGCGGCCAGATAATTCTACTTGTTATTTATTTTATTAGTGATTTTTCTTTATCGAATAAAATTTTTTTGTAGCCGGTAAATCACACTGTGGTAATAGAAAATTTTAGCTAACTTTCTGTATTTTAAAATTTTCTGTATTTCTGAATAATATCATTAATATTGTAATATACTTATAATATTATTTTTATTTATGTTTAAAATTTGCTGACGTTTGTGATTCATTATCATTACACCCACTTACGTGATTTTTGTACCAAATTTCTGGAAATGAATACAACTCATGTATGAATTCATGTGAATGTATGTCTGTTATTATATATGTTGCATAAATGAATATCTCATATATTGTATTTATTATCAAGCTAAATAAAAAGTGAAGTACCAATTTATTCGTTTTTTTTTTTTTTTTTTTTTGTTTAATTAGACTGTTCTCTAAAGATGAATAAATATAGCAATTTATGCACAAGTATACTATGTATTACAAACGCATTGTACTTGTGCATAAAATGCAATGCCAAGTACGGTTAAAACTACTACTTTGAAATTCCCGCCCGAGCTTTTACACACTAGTTCTTTTGGGTAGAACACAGATGGCGCCGGTCGGTAAGAAAATATTTCCTCCTAAAATTTGTATGGAGCCGTCATTCTTCTCTTTGATTAAAAGTGTTCTGTACTTCAAGTGATTGAATTGACAATCATATTTCATTTCAAATAAAATGTAGTTTTGCCTTAAAAATACCATAGCGAAATACTCAGATGATTTCATACAATGTTTTAAATAATTTATAATAACAGAATTTCAGGTTTGGTTATTTTAAATAGCGGTAAAGAACGAATATAGAAAAAGAGAGAAATATGTAAAAAAATATCAATTTACTTTACAATAATATAGCTTAAACATCAAAATAACACATAGGCCTGTAATTTATAACATATTATAGGTATATCTCTCTTTCTGTATGAATGTTACGCCTTCAGCCTATTCTACGCAGACGTACTCGCGGGCAGCAGCTAGTTACATAATAAACCTAATCCACGCGGCATGGTGCCAAGAGCTGCATTTCCTCGCTGAATAGTTACTTTTAGCGAGAAAAAAAACAGCTCTCTTTCCACCAACCGCGGCGTTAAGCCTAGGACATAAACTTTTTTAAAAAAATTTTGAATTTTGATGTGTTTCAAAGGCAAATGGCTGTTTTTTTCAATTTAATATTTAAATGAAAAAAAAAATATGTCAAATATTTGTTTTATGAAAACTCGATATTATACTAGGTGACATTTAATTATTGAGAATTTGATTATAATTAAATTCTTGTTCACTTTATTTGCATAATAAATTAAAGTAACTTTAGTTGATGCAATTAATATCCTGCATGCTATTTATACAGAGCTTAACATGTAGTTCAATATTAATGATTTGTAGTACCTCTATACCATGTTGTACTTAGGATAGTCTATAGTAATATATGTATAGATAAAATGCCAACACCGCATCCGCGACAATACTAGTCATAGACAACAGTTTTCATTCGTTCATTTTAATCTTTACGGCTTTGAATCAGTTTGAACAAAAATATCGTTTTTGATACGATTTCGATATTCAATTTTTTATATCGATATATTGGATCCAAATATATCCACCAGTAATATCGATATATTTAAAAATAATATCGATAAATCGATATATCTATATATTTTTTTAAGGTTTTTTTAAATTTATATTTGCAAACCATTCAAAATTCGTGAAAAAGAATAGACATGAATAAAAAAGTAATATTTATTAATAATCGACTCAATTAAATACAATTTATTCGAACCAATAATCATCTGATAAGGACATTAGGAGCACCATTTTTTTAATGTGCTCCTCTGATAAACGGCTTCTATTGTTGGGTACTGCGAGATTCACAGCTGAAGCAACTCATTCTGAAGACACCGAAGAAGTCTGGCAAATAAGATACTTAAGGGTGATTTTTGAATTTCACTTATTTTTAAGGTGTTATTTTGTAAATTTATTAACTTGTAATTTCATAAAATTGAAAAATATTAATCAGTCGGACGATTTGGACTCATTGAACGTGACAAGTGTGCGGGATACTTATAAATAGTTGAAGAATTTAACTAGCTGATCAACTTCTCATGTTACTGAAGTTAACCAACGTCTATTAATATTTGAAACCTTTTTCAACGATAAATTATAAAAGAAAATATTAAAAAAAATGTACTTGGAGTTTTTAAATTTCTACATGTGCAATTTTTTTCTTTTTGTTACAAACAACTTTCTTTCCACGCAACAGTGTTCGCTGTTGCACGAATGGGCAGGTCCGTCCGGGTTAGTACCACGATCTTACAGAAGACTGGCTTAACGTAGAAGTGTTGCACTTCTGCTTTTGGCATGGTGAATGAGGTAGCCGGGGCCCACATTATTAAGAGGTGGCAACGCATCTGCAACCCTACGGGTGTTGCAAATGTCCATGGGCAGGTGGTTATCAGTTAACATCAGGTGAACTGCCAACTCGATGGCCACTTCTTCACATAAAAAAAACTGTTTTTAATTGTTACAAAAAAAGATCTGAAAATTGTTAATTGTTGTACTTTGTTGCAACTTTAGAGTCATATATGTCTCACACTCATGGTTTATTAGTTAAAGTAATTATATTTTCATGCTATTGGCTTAAGGGTCTTGTTACCAGGCCATATAATCTTTATTAAAAAAAATATTATCGTGTGCGCATCTAGGAACAATAGACACTAAGCCAGAGTTGCGTTAAAAAATATATTGAAATTGACATGAATTTGATAGTCGAAAATAATTATCGAATATCGATATATCGTGAATAAAAATATCGACGATATATATCGATATTTACTTGGAAAAATATCGATATTTTTATATATCGATATTTTTTGCCCATGGGTAGAGAAAAGCAAGGATTTATATTTCTTTTATCTGTGGACTTGCGGTGCGGCAGCGTTGCATTCGTGCATCGCAGAAGTTTAAACTTTGTTACAATATAATTCGAAATGGGTGTTCCTTCTGATACTCAGTCTGAGGCCATTTCAATTGTTCACCAGTTCATTCAAACAATTGATAAATCTTTAGCGCAACAATTACTCAAGAAGACTAAGTCGGTAAGTCAGTGTGAAACCTCTACCACGTGTTTGCTTAGCACCACTCCACACGTGGTGCTTAAATGGAAACAGCCGATGGAAAAGTCTTTAGCTTCTTCATTATGTCTCTTATTATTCTTTATCTGGTCTCGTAAATGTTGAGCAAATTTCAGAGTTGATTGTACAATAAAAAAAAAATTAAACTTGAGAAAAATCACTAGTGAATTAATCAACAAGAAGAATTCTTGGGTTCCTTTATTTTCTGGAAAAAATATTTGAACCTTGTTATTTTCATTAGAAAAGTACGCGATTTTATTAATTTGACTCAAAAACTAAATACACGGTTCTGCATAATATATGATTGTTAACAAATTAATACTTGAACGTATTGACGTATAATTATTTTATGATGTATTATTCTTCCCTCGTTTTATTTTCAATTTATATTCATTTCAGAAACCGATTGCAAAAAAGTTGCCAAGTTTGATTGAAATTATATTACATTATAAAAATACAAAAAGTAATACTGTACAAAAGCAAAAAAGGTAATATAATGATATATTAAAATGCGGATGAAGGTTGAACGGAAATTTTTGTAAAGACTTAATGCAATCGATTTTTTTAGCTCTGATGAATCTAGTGATGAAGAAGATACGTCAAAAAAGCCTGTTGCAGTCAATGGTAAGGTACCAGCAGTAAATATTAAACAAAAGGAGTCCTCGGACTCTGATAGTTCTGATGATGAAAAGCCACCAGCAAAGCAAAATGTAAGTTACTAATATATATTTGGATGAAAAATCACATAAAGATACATGATGTTAAAAATGATATTGAAATGTTATGATATTATACTTCATATTCGTCACTACCTCTGATTGTTACAATACTATTGCAAAGTGATAAATTTTATAGGCATTTGTTAATCATTTGTGCATTTCAGAATAAAGCAACAAAACCTCAATTACCTGCAAAGAAGCCAGATTCATCAGATGATAGTGACAGCAGTGAAGATAATGCCACAACAAAACCTAAAAAACAGCCAGTTAAACCACTACCAACAAACACCCCTAAAGTAGTTAAAAAGCAGTCATCATCTGATGATAGTAGTGATGATGAACCAAAAGTTCCTCAAAAGAAAACCACAAATCAAACACCTGCAAAATTAATCCCACCTGTGAAGCAAGTGACAGCAAAACCTAACCTTACGAAAGAGGAATCATCAGACAGTGATGATAGTAGTGAAGATGAAAAGAGTAAAAAACCTGTTGTAAAGCAGCCTGCTAAAGCTGCTCCAGTAAAGAAAAAAGATTCTTCAGATGATAGCGATGACAGTGAAGATGACAAACCTAAGATTAACATTAAAACACAGCCTGCTAAAGTTAATAATGCTAAAGCAGCTCCAGCTAAAAAACAAGATTCATCAGACAGTGATGACAGTGACAGTGATAATAAAGCTAACAAAATTCAAAAACCAAGTCAAAAAACAGCAGCAAAACCACAAGCAACACCAGCTAAGAAACCAGGTAAACTTGAGCCACCTAAAAAGCAAGCACCATCCTCTGAAGATAGTGATGATGACAGTAGTGACGACAATACAAAAAAACATCCCAAAGCAGTCCCTAAACTTCAAGCAACACCTGCCAAAGTAATAACTAAAAAACAAGAATCATCTTCTGAAGATAGTGACAGTAGTGATGATGACACCAAAAAACCTGTGCAGAACCAAAAAAAAACTGTTGCTAATAAACCTGTTGTTGCTAAAACTACTCCAGCTAAAAAACAAAAGTCTTCTTCAGAGGGCAGTGACAGTAGTGAAGAAGAAAAGACAACCAAACAAAAACTACTACCAAAAGCTCAAACACCTGTTATTAAGTCTATGAAAAAAGAGTCTTCTGATGACAGTGACGATAGCAGCGATGATGAAGCATCTAAGGTTGGTCCAAAACCAGCAGCAAAACCAGTTGTGATGGCATCCAAAGTATCAGCTCAAAAGTCATCATCTGATGATGATAGCAGTGAGGATGAAGAACCAAAAAAATCGGCTCCAGTGACAACACCAAAATCAAAACCTAAACCAGTCAAGAAAGAGTCTTCGAGTGAAGATAGTAGTGAAGATGAACCCAAAGCAAAGACACCAAAAAAATCAGATACATCATCAGATGACAGTGATGATGATGGTCCACCAAATAAAATTGCGAAAAAGGGGAAAGCTGAAAATGCACAGGTCTGTTTTGTTTCATATTAATTAAAATTTCTGCATTCTTAATACTAATATTGAAGATAAGTTCTGATAATAAGACCTGTCAAGGATATCAGTATAAGTTGTAAGTTCCTAAAACAACTAAAAATGTAAAAACATTGCAGAAAACCTTAAAAGCTTTATATGATAGGCTTTCCTCTTATATCAGACGTGTAGCCCAAACCATGCCACCTTTTAAATTTATAATGTGCAATGCCTTGACATTCTGGAACTATATTTAGATTCTTCCACATATTGTAGAACAGTTTGCATTATTTCTGCAATAAACACAAATTATATAAAAGAAAAAAAAATTGATTATAAAAAATAAGGTTCTTATTCTTGTTCTTTTCAGGAGTCTGAAAATAAATTCCAAGCAGGTAAAAAAAGGAAAGCATCTGGCGGTGAACCTACACCAGCTAAAAAACCCTACAATAATTTTGTTAAGGTAAGTTTTTTTGTAGAATATTTTTATAGTAATAATTTTTTCTTTCAATGTTAAATATAAATAATAATAATAACTCTGATTACCCCATGATGTCTCTGCCAACAAAGCCAGAAAATGCCAAAGTAATGATAGATTAATGAATAAAACATTTTACATTATACATTGCTGAACCAGACTTGGTTTCAAACAAACAAGAACAAATATAATAGGTATATAGAATTGTTATTTACTCGCCTTCCACAGACTTTGTGTAGCCTAGGGGTGAGCAACCTTTTTAATCAATGGGCCAATTTAAATTCAAATTTTTTTGGTGGGCCGCACATAATAATGTAGGTAAATTTATTCATAATAAATATTAGAATAAAAAAGTATAAAATTAAAAAAAAAGTAAAGATTTCATATACAAATTTTAGTGCAAGGTAAAAACAAACAAGAAAAGAACAGAAAAACGAAAAAAAAAGTTTTCGGTTCAGTATGTACTACCATTTTATTATAATTAGTTTTATAACAATATATTGACGGGAGAAATTCGATAAAATAAATTCAATTTTAGAAAAGCTTGGCGGGCCGCTTAAACATGTTTAAGGGGCCGCAAGCGGCCCGTGGGCCGCGCGTTACTCATCCGTGGTGTAGCCTATTGATTGTGTAGCATACAGTAATTGTTCTCCGACCATGATAGTGACCATGAAGAATTACTATAGCTCCAAATTTAAACCTCCTTGAGTTGTGTATTTTTTTCATTCTTTCAAATTTCAATTTGTTAGTCAATTAATTATTTTGTTTTTATTTCCTAAAATGGCTCAATGTGGAAAATAAAGAAATAAATGAAAAAAAAAATGTAATACTATTATTTTTCGTGTATAAGAATAATTTTCGTTTTAGGTTGAAAAATTAAATATTTTTCAACCTAAAACGAAAATTTTAATAAAAAAACTCGAAAATAATAGAAAAGACTTTAAAATACTTTTAAAATAATGTAAAGTTGGGTTTATTTACAGATAGATTGTTCTCCAACTGTTTAATTCAACTTTAAGTAAATACAATAATATTTTGTTGTAATTATTTATATAAATAAAAAAAATCAAAAAGGTATAACAAAGAAATGTTGGGATTTGATTCCAATCCTTACAGAATGATGTACAGTGGTAGGCCAATAAATCATAAGAAAAAATGTTGAAATTATGCTTTAGTTGTTAATACATATAAATGATTTATAAATACGAAATATGTGAATATAATTTTCAATTTTGTGTTTTATAAAGATTAACTAATAAAATTATAACTCTCAATAATTAATAACGGACCATATTTTGTAAAGTCGAGCGGAAGATGAGTGCCATAGGTACATTTATCAATGCCCCTCATCGCGCTTTGTTTAGCGTGTGGAAATGAAAGAGTACCGAAACAATGTCGCAGTGGCGCTTTGTTTTGCTTGTCGCATTCAAGTTAATTTTAATAAATGAAGTTAATATTTACAAATGTCATACTTCAAACAACAAATAAAGAAAACAGCCCGTTAATATTGTACACCACTTTAATGTCATTAAGATTTATTATTTTATTACGTATATTTTTGGATTTGAAGTTCACTTTTAAAGGTAGTTTCATGATTTTGTTCTATTGGGAAAATTTATCGAGAATATTTTATGAAAACAATGGTCCATTTGAATGTAAAATTAAGACTAAAAAATTTATTTTTTATTTGCTGCTATATAATGTATAGATTAAAAAGACTTTCGAAAAACCTATTTACTTATTTTACTGCATACAGAGGCTCATAGAAATTTAATGAGATGCAAAATAAGTCATCAAGTGTCTCTTCTATAACAACTAAAGGGTAACCCATTATTGAATTTACCCTATTTCTTGGCTTTCTATATTTTACAAAGCGTGGAAATGTTTATATGTTTCACAGGCCTGTAAATATGAGTTTTGGCAACCTTCTTTTATGATTTATAAAGCAAAGACATCATTATCTATCTTTTAGAGGTTTACATCATTCACTGCTTTTTAGGGGCCAAAAGTAGTTTCAACACCCAGTGAAAAGGATATTGAACGAAATACTAAGCCTACCCCATTCAGACGCGTTATACCTGAAAAAGTAGAAGTGGACCCTAGACTTAAGGATAATTCATTTGAGGCTAAGGTAAATGCCCTAAAATTTTAGAAGCTAAGGCAACTCCATGTTTTACTAACAATTTGACAATAGGATTAAATCACAAAAGGCTTATAATTTCGGGCATTTACTTTATAATAATTTAGTCTTAACATTGAGTTGTCTTGGTGCTTATAAACCTATCTCTCTATCAGGAGGGTGAAGAACAAAATGGTGAGGACGAGGATGATGAATCTGAAAACAACAAATCTGGTGGTTGGCAAGATCGGGGACAAGGAGGATTTAATCGTGGCAGAGGAGGATACAATGATAGAGAAGGCCGTGGGGGATTCAAGGATAGGGGGGGTAGAGGAGGTTTTAGGGGCCGTGGGGGTTTTAATGACAGAGGTGGAAGAGGTGGAAGAGGGGGAAGAGGTGGATTTGGGGATAGAGGGGGAAGGGGTGGTAGGGGTGGTTTTGGTGATAGAGGAGGCAGGGGTGGCCGAGGTGGCGACAGAGGTGGATGGGGTAACCGCGGGGGTCGCGGCGACCGTCATTCTTGGGGTGGAGACAGAGGAGGGTTTAATAAGGGAGGGTTTAATGACAGAAAAAGCTTTGATGGAGGAGATAACTCTCAAAACAAAAAAATTGTATTCGACTAAGTAGGTAAGATCTGTTTTATAAATTTGTGATAATAATAAAAACCTGTTGATCTCTGTCAATATTTTTGGAAAAAGAAAGAAAAATTGTTTACTACACCAACTTAAATTGTTATAACTTTAGTGTATGTTGCTAAGCTGACTTCTAAGTGTCTTCACGCAAATATCATTCAAAATTTTTATCAACAGAGTGGAGCTCGCGGATCATGGGGTGAGCGTGCTAATAAAGACTTAAAACACACTCGTGGCAAGTCTTTCAAACATGAGAAGACCAAGAAGAAGAGAGGTTCTTACCGAGGTGGTGCCATTGATACAGGGGTCCATTCTATTAAATTTGAGGATTAAAGTTAAATACACAAATTCAGTTCTGTCATCCTTAGTACATGTGTACAAAACTTTCTTTAATGTTTATATAATTTTAATTCTGTAAGATTTTTAATGATTGTATGTTTTAAATTTGTATCCGAAGTTGACACTTTATTTTTTTTAATGTTTTGTCAAATTAAGCCTTTACTCATACTGTAAACATCGCCCAAATATGCTTAATTTATGACATGTTCATTCATTTGACTATTTTGATTACATAGCTTACTATTAAAATAAGTTCACAATTTTAGTGGTGAATTTCATTTAATTAAATGAAATAATTTGAACTGTGCACCTTGCAAACTTTTTTTTTTCATATTCTTATTGTAATATGTAATACTTGCATTAAATTTAGGTGATTATACCTATATTTAAGGTCAAAACTTAAAATTGAATAACTAATTATTACTGGTAATGATTTATTATATCTGATGAATCTTTAAATAAAGGTGCACTTTATTACATGTAAATAATTTTATATCTAAGCTAAGATTTGAGTCTGCTATTCTGTAAATAAGTTGAATAATATAGAATGCCCATGCATTTAATTTGCTAGTATTGACTTTGTATGTGTATTAGTTACATTAATACCACCTTCAATTACAGACATCTTAAATAATTAATGTGTTTAATGTTTTACCTAAATCAAAGACGAATTAAGTGGTCATTACAGGAATATCTATTTACCTTAAAAGGAGTTGTTTAGTCTTTTTGTATCTATTAAGAAGTACTCCACCATAAGGCTGCCTCTCCATTGACGCGGAACGAGCGACGAACGAACTTTATTCAAGGGCGGAACGAGCGAGCATCCCGAAAATCAATGAATTTTTCAACTAGCTCGTAAAACCCACGCGTAAAATCGCTGGAGCGGAGCAGAGATTTTATGAAAACGTATTGGTTAAAATTTCTTTGTTTCCCCGCTCCGCAGCCTCGCTCCGCTTTAGTGGGACTGGCACCCTAAATAATTGGGAACATATTTTTACAAAGATTTTATGTGGTTTATTAAAATCCTGAATCATTTAATGTAATTTGGTTGGGAGCGCCTGCGAGTGGGAGTGCCTGTAAAATGGGTGGATTCTGAGTGCTGTTGTCATTTGAGCTAGGGTTGGAGAACGATCTAGATACTTTGGACTCGGTGGAGGAAAGATGTGTGACGAGGCAACGCTAATAAAAATATACTATAAATGAAACCGTAAACTATAAATAGTCATCTGGAGCACTTCTGTGAACATGCGAGCGAACGAAATTGCGAGTAGTTTCGAAAGCTATTTTTCAGAAATTGCGGTTAATGTCACATGTACATTAAAATAATTTCCCGCAGACGCAATTTATGTATTAAGAAATAATGTTACCTATTGTCTACACACATTTAAATTTAATCACTTAGATACTTATGATATTATAAAAGTTTTGAATTCTATTAATCTTAAAAATACAGGGGATTTATGGGGCATGTCCATAAAATTAATGAGCACAATAATGCCATATATTGCACCACATTTGGCTTCTATTTTTAATAACTGCATAGATTCTGGAATATTTCCAGATCTTATGAAATTTAGTAAGATAATACCTGTCTACAAAAGTGATGATAAAAATGATCCAGGCAACTCTACATCTCTTTCCATATTGCTATCTCTGAGTAAAGTTTTTGAAAAGCTAATTTTAAATCAACTTTTAGTTCATTTTAATGTGAACAAAATCTTTCACGATGACCAATATGGATTCACTAAAGGTAAATCGATAACAGATGCCGGCGTCGCACTTGTCAAACATATTTATAACGCCTGGGAAAGGTCACAAGATGCAATAGGTGTCTTATGTGACCTTTCAAAAGCCTTCGACGGCGTAGACCATAAAACTCTCCTTCAAAACCTAGAATATTATGGCATTCGTGGCATCGCCCTCAATCTCATTGCCTCTTACCTTAGTAATAGAATTCAAAAAGTATCTATAAATGATGTGAATTCCGCTGGGTCCCCGATGAAAATGGGTGTCCCACAAGGATCAATCTTGGGCCCATTATTATTTTTAGTATATATTAATGATCTCCTCCTTTATGCCAGTGGGTTGTGTGATGTTGTACTGTTTGCTGACGATACATCGCTAATTTTTAAAGTTGACCGAAACGTATTAAAATAAGACGACGTCAATAGTGCACTTGCACATATCCTCCACTGGTTTACTATTAATAATATTTTGCCCTTTCCAGTATAAGAAGGAAAAGTTTTAGTTTAATATTTAATAACGTACCCATTAATCCAGTTGAGTCTGCTGTATTTCTGGGAATTACAGTAGATTCAAAGCTCCAATGGAGTCCCCATATATCATCTCTTGCGAATAGGCTGAGCTCCGCTGTTTTTGCCATTAGAAGGGTTAGGCAGCTAACAGACATTGACACTGCTAGACTTATTTCTTACTTCAGTTATTTTCACAGCATCTTGTCGTACGGTATTTTGTTGTGGGGTAGTGCATCAGATATAAATTCTATATTTATTCTTCAAAAAAGAGCTGTCCGAGCAATCTACAATATCGGAGCCCGGAATTCACTCACGAGATCTTTTCAAAGAGGTTAATATACTCATTGTTGCTTCTCAATACATTTATTGTAATATTTTTTATATACGTCATAACCTTAATTATTACCTAAAGAATAGTAACCTTAATTATTACCTTAAGAACAGACATAAAATAAACACTAGAAATAAGGACAAACTTACTACGCCATTGTTTCGTCTACAAAAAGTAAATAGGTCGTTAATGGGGCAAAGTGTGCGCATGTATAATAAAATCCCACAATTGATATTAAGTCTGTCGCTTGACCAATTTAAGTGTAAAATTAAAAATCAACATATGATTAAAGCAACCATTTCGGAATATTTCGACGACGCCAATGTGTGGAGTTAATACTGTTGATACTCACGTAGGCTAGAATAAGACTATTATACCTATATATTATATTGTACCCTGATATATTTGAAAAAGAGCAACTGTTTAGTTTCTTGCCGGTCTCTTCTCAACAGAAACTGCTTTCCGAACCGGTGGTACCTTACGAACCTATATAGATAATCTTTGATATAAAATTTGACGATTCATAAGAGCGCGCAGACGTCTATTTGAATAAATGTATTTTTGATTTTATTTTTGATTTAAAATTATAATTTCATGAACATTAAGGGTGTCTGGTAAGGAGTTGCCACGATGTTAAGTGTCTTGCAATGAATAACGTGATTTTTAATAATAGTCTGAAGGTAAAACCAAAAACTGGCACTTTATTATTTGACGAATTTAGATCGGTAATTTACACAACTTTAATACCTTTCACCTGCCAATGCCAGGGTAACCAAAACTTCATAATTGTCCATCGTTCTTACATGTCTTGGGAGCATGCGCTGACAAACTTTCAGCTTTTATAAAATGACGAAGGTCTGGGGTTCACGGGCGGGTTTTGTTTGACTCCGTGTGCGCATTTATTATTTTTTCTTTGTTGTTCTACATCTGTATTGGCTGCTGCACAATGAGCAGGCTCGTCCAGGTAAGTACCACGAACTCACAAAAGTCCGGCGTGAAGTGGAAGTATAAAACTTTCTCGTTTTGTCTGGTGAGTGAGGTAGCCGGAGCCCAATGTTCAAAAGGTTATCGACGCATTTGCAACCCTCGGGTGTAGCAGATGTCCATGGGCAGCGGTATTCACTTAACATCAGGTGAACCACTTGCTCGCTTAGCAACTTTTCACATAAAAAAAAAATATCAATATATTTTCGACATCCCTATTTTAGAGTTAAAAATGACACTGACAGTAGACTAACCACTGTCAGTGTCATTTTTAGCTTTTGTTAATTTTGTCATTTACATTATAATTTATATTTCTTGGCTGAATATTGTTAATTTTGTTATGTAACTTTAGAATAAATAGTCTAATCTCTTTGGATATTTACGCTAGTACAGTTAATTAAATAAAAAAATGATTCGACCAGCTCTCCGATTATTAAGCGATAAGGAAAACATAAATTTCTTGCACTTTAGGAAATTTAAAAATTTTGGTCATAAGAAGGAGCGAGTCCCTCGTTTTACATTTTATTGGCATGGATTTTTAACATTTTCTTTTATAGGCCTTGGAATAGAATGGAAAAGGTAGTACAAAAATAAAATGCTGGAGAGCATTGTTCGGAAACACAGTAATATGTCTTTTCTTATAAATTCGTTTTTGTTTTTTAGAATTGGCAGAATGCTTTTTGGTGAAGACATTGAGAGACCGGTATAGTTTGTACCATATTATAAATATATTTTAAACTAAAATGGAGATAATTCTATATTATCAGAATGACAACAAAAAAGAAAAATAATTGCTATTCTTAAATAATAAGTAAGTTTAAAAGCAGACAGTTAAGTCATATATAAATGATAATTGTGATTACTATTTATACATAATATGGTATTTTCACAGCCCTTATGTTTAACCAATGAGACATTTAACAATATTACAAATAGTTACTTTTAACTCTCATGAGGTGTAATAACTTAGAATAATTGTTAATTTAGAAATTTTAAAGCATTATATTTAATGTTAAGGTTATACAAAAATAATTAAAGTTTTTCATTTAAACATTATTTTTATTCCATTACCTTATTCTAGTT